CATACATACCCTGAACCCTGAACTCCGAACCCAGAGCACCAGGACCTGCGACTGTTGCTCAGGGCGCGGCCTAGAATACCCAGTAACCTAAGAATAAAAAGGCCTCTCTTTTTGGTATTGGGTAACTTTATAAGGAACCTAGGACTACAAAAAGGGAATAAGGGTACTACTGGGCATCCTAGACTAGGACCTGCGACTGTTGCTCAGGGCGTGGCGGCTGCGTCTTTGGAGACCTTCTTCTTCTTGAGCCCTAAGGGCTTCTTGACTTTCTTCATGGGAGCCTCAGTCGGTTTAGGGTTTAGGGTTTAGGGTTTAGGGATGAGTGTACTTGGACGGTCGGAGGACTAAGTAAGTAGATAATAAGTAGGCGTAAAAGTACCCTAAAAGGGATTCTAAGTGGGGTTATGATACTTATAACTTATAAGTCTACTTGTGATAGGGGCTTCTTGACTTTCATAGGAGCCTCAACCCACAGAGCCCAGTACCTTTCAATTAAGGAAGATACCTCAAACTAGAAGGGCTTGGTTCTTAATGAAGGAATATACCTTAAACTATAAGGGGCTTAATAGCCAGGGCGTATTGGGATCTCTGGAAATGTAAGTGTATAATATGGGGTTTCCGTAGTGTTTTTACAGTGTTTTTTATGAGCTGTTATAGAGTTTGTTCGGGCTTCATAGCAGGATCCTCCATGTAAGTTGTACATGGGCCATACACGTTTAGGACAGGGTCTCGCTTGTCGTAGGGTTTAGACTCTGGTCTACTTTTTGGTGTGAATGTTCGGGTACTGTATACTATACTTTAACTCAAACGGCACTAAAAGGGAATACTGGTTGTCACTGGTTCAGACCTCTTCATAAAAGTATTAGAGTGACCAAATGCCAAAGCCAAAATCCCGTGCTTATTCCCTGCTTCAGCCGTCAAACCTGACTTCTCCAGATTCCACACTCAAACGGTAATCTCACAGCTGAACCTGAACCCCAAGCCCGTACGCCCAGATCTGTACTCTCTACCTACTTCTCCAGTGTTATGGGGAGCTAAAGCTAAAGCTTTGGGTGTATATGGGTGGTTGTCAAAATTGTAGTCTCTTTTTGGGTACCCTACATATTAGGTGCCGTATTGTATTCAGGACCCAAAAAGGGACCCTAATTTTGACAACCACCCATATAGATATTATGTAGGGATTGAAGTACCCAAAAAGGTTAACGCACGACGTGAGGTAAGCCTTACCTGCCCTACAACTATGTTAGTTGTCACTACGTGGGCCAACAAAGGCCAAAACTTCGGGGCAGAAAGTGCCCAAAGGCTGCACGACTTAATGTAGGTTTAGCAGGCTGCTTGTTATAATCATCGTAGCATATCCCCCAAAACTCAAAACCCTATTCTAATTATTAAGGCCCCTACATTATGCCAGGCCTTGACAAGACCGACGCTACCAAGTCCAAGCCTTCGCTTTCTACTTCCCTTTAGAAGGTACTTTGTTCGAGAAGTGATCTACACTTGCATTGCCATGTCCACAACACTTGATGGTACTTTCAAGAGTTATGGCATGTCTTTTTCATTTTTCTTAGGTCAGCAACACAACTCCTTCGAGTGAAGATTCTTAGACGAGCGAGCCCCAAAAATAATACATGTTGCCAGAAGTGGAAGACTCAAACACAACACCACTTCAGACTCTGAGCATTTTGCCAGAATAGGGTTTGTCTAGAGAAGACCTGTAAAATTGTTCAATTCCGTTTTAAAGTTGTGCAGTTTCTTCCGCACATTGGGACTTTGTCCGCGCAAGTAATCGGGTTTTTGGGGAAGGCTACAACATAAATGTGTTAAGGAACCCTGAGGAATCGTGTTGGAGATTAGTTGGGCTTCCAGATTGTTGCTCCCGACCACTTGGGCTTTCAGGTCCGGGTGGTTATATGCTTGGTGGACTACAAACTCAGGCGTGCAGTGCTGGAGAATGTATGCTACACGCGCCTTGAGCCGAACATCAAACGACAATTTCTGCACATCCGTGGGTTGTGTTTAAACATCGGAAATAGCTGCTCAAGAACACTCTGTCTCCAACCCTTGAGCAATCTTAGCACTTGGTAAACCCTGAATGAACACCATCCCCCGGCCACCGATAACTGCAAACTCCGAACTTGTCATGATGCTGACAGTTTCATGACTCGCACCAATGCCACTTAAGATACCCATATTTTGTGGCAACACCGGGAAGCAAAACAGGCTCGAGTGCCTAAACAAGCCCTCATCGCTGCATCCTCAACTGAAAAACATCCTGATTCAGAGTATGGGCAGGACTTCTCTAAGCCGAGCATCGTTGTCGCAGGAATCTCCAGAGGTTGCGCTTGAGCCAAGTGCGCCACGGCAGTTTCGAAACAGGGGTCCTTAAACCCAAATCCCTTAAGCCTAAACGCTGATCCCTTGAGCATAGGAGGTCTAGAACTTCCTCTTCGCCAAGCCGCAGAGCCTGAATGCCGCTGTAGAATCTCCGAAAAAGAGACCCAACAGCGTCAGCAGCAGTTAAAGGATCATGGGACTTACTAACTAGGGTCATACATAAGGTAACTCTACTTCTAATCCCACTTAAGGTACTTATAGGCCCTGTTTGCTAAGCCCCATGAGCCTCTAAGGCGCCCCAGCAGTCTGAAAACAGCAACCTAGGTAGCCATACCTGCAAATATCTCGTTTTCGGCTACAGGTCCATCCATGAATGTGTTGCGGTTTAGGGTCTAGGGCTTCGAGTTCAGGGTTTAGGGCTTAGAGTATGGGGTTTAGAGCCCTGACGAGCCTTAAAGGAACCTTAAAGGAACCAAGGAGCCCAGTTGAAGGGCTTCTTGGGCTCCTTTTAAGGTTCCTTTTGAGGGAAACCCCGACGAGAATCCCTTATAGGAACCCTTAAAGGAACCCTTATAGTACCCCCCTATAGTACCCCTAAACCCTAAACCCGTAAAGGAGCCCTTAAAAGGAGCCCTAACCCCTAAACCCCTAAAGGATCCCCTTAAAGGAACCCTAAAGCCTTAAAGGAGCCCTTAAAGGAACCCTAAACCCGAAACCCTTAAATGAGCCCTTAGAGGATCCCCTTAAAGGAACCCTAAACCCTTAAAGGATCCCCTTACAGGAACCCTAAACCCTTAACGGAGCCCTTAAAGGAACCCTAAATACCCTAAACCCTTTAAAGGATCCCCTGAAAGGAACCCTAAACCCTTAAAGGAGCCCTCAAAGGAACCCTAAACCCTAAACCCTTAAAGAATCCCCTTAAAGGAAGCCTCAAAGATGCCCAGGGCGCCGGCCTGAGACCGGGCTGTGGCCGGAAGCATCCTCTGCGGCCTCGGCAGGGAAGGTTTCAAGGAAGTTTACGGGCTCCTTTAAGGGTTCCTTTAAGGGTTCCTTTAAGGGTTCCTTTAAGGGCTCCTTTAAGGGTTTCTAGAAGGGTTCCTTTTAAGGGTGCCTTTTACCGGTTCCTCTAAGGGTTCCTTTACGGGCTCCTTTAAGGGTTTCTAGAAGGTTTAGGGGTTTTGCGGGAAGGTAAGGGGTAGGGATTTAAGGCTTCAGGGTTCAGGGGTTCAGGGGCTTGCGGGAAGGTAAGGGTTAAGGGATTTAAGGCTTTAGGGTTCAGGGGTGTAGGGGGTTTAGGGTTGGTTAAGGTTTTACGGTGGTTTATGGCTTAGGGGTATAGGGGGTTTAGGGTTTTTTAAAGTTTTATCGTGTTTTACGGCTTGAAACTTTGAGTTTTCTTTGGCAGGGCTTGGGGGGATGTAGGTTCAGTTTTTTTTTTGAAATCCAGAAATTAAGGAACCCAACCTACTTGTCGGGTATCACGGGGAACTAAAGGTTAACCTTTTTGGTTATATAGGGATTATATAGGGACTATACTACCCAAAAAAGGTTAAAGGTTGCCTACTCCACTTCTAGGCCAAAGGACTACTGAAGCTAAACCATCCATTCAGGCCGCCCCCTATATGAGGCCCTCTAGGCGAAAAAGAAACTCAGAATTAAAGATTGTTAAGTCTGCGGGTTTAGGGGTTTAGGGTTCGCAACAACCCTAAGAAGTCCCAGAGAATCCGGGGCCATGCCTCGTCGCTGAGGGCTGGGATGAGGAAGGCGGCCCAAAATCCAGCCTTTCGGGTAAGAGCTTCTCTGTAGGGATTAGGGCTTAGGGATTTGATAGAGTTCAGGGTTTAGGGTTCAGGGTTTAGGGATAAGGGTTTTTTGGATTTGTAAGAGGTGTACAGATGCTTAACAAGGGTTAGTACCATATTAGTGTCCTCTATTTTCGGAAACTCCCACATACTTACATACATACATTCTTGCATGCATGCTTCTATGCCATGCGGTGCCATGCCCCACCGTACCCTACCATACCGTACCATACCGAACCATACCACACAGTACAATACAGTAAGGTACACTGCAAGACAATACAAGACAGTAGCCGTGCAGCACCATACAATACATGCCAACACCTGCATTGACACACATTTCCACACAAATACTCTCAAGCATGTGCTCTGTCCTCATCCTTCCCTTAAGACTCCTGAACCCCACTTGGAGGGGCAGTGGACTTAGTAAGTAGGTCATAAGTAGGGTCATCATTGGGGTAACTCCATTTAGGGTACTTATAAACATGATTATAACCTACTTGCTAAGTCCCCTGCCCCTCCAATTAGGGTTTAGGGTTTAGGGCCCTTGAACACACCTAAACCCTGCAGTTCAAGCCTTCGCTGGGCAGAGGTGCTGCTGCGGAGGCAGGCGGGGCAGGTCCTGTGCAACTTTTTTGAGTAAAGGTGTGAGGTCGTACAGTTGAGGACAGCGCCAGAGGGGTTCATGTGTAGGGTTTTAGGTTTGGGGCTTTAAGGCTTTGGGGGTTTAAAGTTGTAGGGTTTAGGAGGCGTTTAAAGTTCACATCTTGAAGGATTCAGAGTGTGCAGCCGGAAAGCTTTGATGGAAAAGGGCCATACAATCTGAATCGGAGATTTCTGCAGGGCTTAGATTCCAGCTGAAGCTTCGACACCGTGACGCAGCATCCACGTCTCCAAGCCATAGATCGCCGTCTTCGCGATCCTGTTCGCTTATAACCCTAACACTGAAGCCCTACACCCCAAAACATTGTACTAAGGAACTCTCAGCAATACCACAAATAATTAATGAGGCCGTTGTACTATTGCTACAATCACTGCCGTTAGCAGCCACGGGGCCATGATCCACTGCCACTGGCGTGGGCTTGCCACGGCGATCCGTGCGATGATGACATGACTCCGAACTTGTAGAAACATCGAAGTAACATTACTTAGAGGATCATGGGACTTAGTAATTAAGTAGGTTATAATTGGGGTTATAAGTCCCCTAAGTGGGGTTATCCTAATTTTAACCTACTTAAACCTTACTTATTAAGTCCCATGATCCTCTAAGTACTCGAAGTCCCAACATCCTCTTTTAAAACCTTACAACACAGCACCCAATGTGAACCTTTTTGCTATGCTTATCAAGGGTAAACCCTACGCAACACCTTAACGGAAATGCATAGTAAACTCGACAGAACCCGGAAGCCAAAGCCTCAAAAGCGAAACTCGAAACTCCAAACCCATAAATCCTGAACCCCGAACTCCAACACCCCACATCGAACACTTAGGAAGCACTCCCGGGGTAGATCCTCCGGGGTCGGTGTCTTCGAGAGGATCGTCAACTCACGGAGGAACAGCAGCGCCGTGGCGCCTGGAGTTAGGGTTTAGGGTTTACGGGTTTAGGGTTTACCCTAAACCCTAAACCCACAACCCTAAACCCAAAACCCTAAACATCCTAAACCCTAAACCCTACACCCCTAAACCGGTCAGTTGGATTCCATGAAGGCGGGGCTCTAAGCCGCGAAGTAAAGGGCTCCTAAAACCCACATTCCTAGAGACTCCAATATGGGAGTTTCCGAAAATAGGGGACCCTTAATATAGTACCCTAAATAGTAGGATCCTTATTTTAAGGACCCTAAAATAAGGTACCCCTAATTTTCGGAAACTCCCATATCCCTTCATTAAGGTATATTCCTTAGATCATATTAGGGATCCTGCAACAACTTATAGTAGAAGCCCAAAAGTTGGAAACCCAATAGCCTCCATCCTTAAGAGTAATGTATAGGGAATCCCAGCTCTTTTTGGCCTTAATCCGGTCTCCAAGTTTAAGGGGTTTACTGTAAAGTAAACTCCTTTATTAAACCCTAAACCCACAACCCTAGACCCAAAACCCTAAACCCTAAAAATCCTAAACCCTAAACCTAAGGGGTTTACTGTAAAGTAAACTCCTTTATTAAAGTGCTTCTTCGGGGCTTTGGGACTCAAGGCTTTGGGGCCTCAACTTCCTCAGGTTTCGGGTTCTTTGAGGGCTCCACTTAGAGGATCATGGGAATTGGCATAGAATTGGCATAGCGACCTCAGGATGCTAAATCCTGGAGGCCCGTGTGTCGGCGATCAGGCGGAGTCCCGAGAGCCTCCAGACGCCCTACAGGGAGGGGCCTAAACCAAAGAGGAGGGGACTAAACCCCGACCCACAAAAAGGCATCCAAGGGCGGGAGGATGCTGCAGGCCTGAACACAAGAGCATCCAGCGGAGCGCATCACCTCGCAGGCAAAGCCGATGTGTGCACCAGACGGTAAAACGGAGGTCTAACCGACACCCTGGAGCGCCTTAGACAAGCGACGGGAGGCCTCGGCGGAGGCTCTCAAGACCCGCCTTTCCCAGTTCTGGATCTCTTCCAAGTGTCGCGCAAAAGCCTCGCGCTGCGATCCATGTAGGCGTCGATGGCACTCCGCAGCAGCAAGCGCATCAACCTCGGCGTTCCACTGACGCTGGAGATCAGGATGCGCTCCAGGCCACGGTACCCAAGACGGAGCGGGCTTCCCGTGGGAGGGCACCCAGTGGAGCTGAACCTCCACACCTGAGCGAGCGATGTCAGCGCACAGCATAGCGACATCTCGAACAAGAAGCGGCAGCGCACCTTTGCCGGTCCGAATGGCAGTGAGAGCCGACTGGCAATCAGAGAACACATGCAGCACTTTCACGGCCGTCCGCTGCTCAGAGGGGACAGCACAGAAGACACGGAAGAGAAGGAGAAGCGCATGGAGCTCCGCCTTATAGGGGCTCTGGTCTTCACCAGGCAAGCCGCTGGCAACCTTGACGCGTTGTCCAGGGAGGGTGAACGCGGCAGCACCAACGCTGTGCTTGCTGCTGCCGTCCGTCGCTGCAATGAGAGTCGACTCACCGAGGCACAGGTCCTCCGCAACTTCGGCCACCAACTCATCCGGGGCCACCAGAACCGGAGCAGGGGGCTCCTCAACAGACTCTCGCGCCATCAGGCGTTCCTGTGCACGATTGAGTGGCATCGGAATGCCATGCCTCAAATCAGCAGTGTCAGCACAAACCCAAGACCTGTGAGCCCGACTGGGAGCCGTCAGGCCGCAGGTACAGACGGCATGCTCCTTATCATCCAAGGCATGCATTGCCCCGTAGTACCAGCAGGTGCCGCCAGTAGCCATTGCAGCTCTACGGTCTTCGAGGTCATTGGCAGAGCTCCACAGGGCCCGAGGACCAAGAGCCCGTATGAAGGCATGAGGCTGAGGACCAGGCAGGTCCAAGCCCCGCGCCAAGCCCGCCTCGCTCCTGTGGAAGGCTTGCCGTGTGCGACCACACCGCGCCAAGGTCTTGCGTCGGTGGTATAGCAGGAGCCACTCGCGAAGCACATGGAGGCCGTCGTAACCTAAGCAAAAGCTGCGCTGTCGACCGGAAGCGTCGACACGGTGGATGGCGCTGCCATCCCTCGCCACAGTCCAGCCAAGCTTGGCGAGCAGGGGCGCAGCCTGAGGCAGCGAAAACTGCCACGGAGTCACAAGCTCGTCGAGCAACAGGTTCTCATGCCAAGATCGGCGGACACAGAAAGCAGCCACCGCCGTGCGCAGGACGGCCCAATCGGCACAGAAGCGCGCAGAGGATCGCCACTCAAAGATCTCGTGAAAGAGGACCGGCGGGGCCTCCCTAGTGAGGGCCAACCTGAGCGCCCCCTTCACCGGCTCGTTGAGGGCAGCAAACTCGTTGTCAGAGGGCTGAACAAAACCAGCTGCCCAAAGAAAAGGCGCAAAGCAGAGGCTCTGGAGGTGCAACAGCACTTGCCGAGTGCTATGCGAAACCAGTCCGGTGTACTGAAGCCGTGCATGGACACGCTCCCAGAACAGGCGCTGAAACTGCTTGGGCAGAGTGCAGTCAAGAGGGTGAGAGACACCCAGAAGAGACAAGGCCTCCACTCGCGCGTATCCCAAAGTGTCCGCAAGCCCCTGGGCGTCCGGACCGCCAACAACAGAGGACTTCCCGGGGTCGCAGGCCAACGCAAAGGCAGTGTCAAAGGTCTTGGAGCGGAGGCCAGCCGCGCGAAGCTCCTCACACTGAGCAGAGACAGGTCCTCCCACTGCCAGCATAGTGCGATCGTCCTGGAAAGTCAGGGCAAGAACCGACGGTCCCTCAACAACAGAGGCCCAAACCTGCATGACCGCCGCCGCCACCACAGGGGAGAGAGGGCAGCCTTGAATCAAGCCACAAGTGGCCTGAAACCAAGTGCTAGCGCACCGGCCGCGCACCATGAGCAAGCGCTCTTGCTTGTCGTAAAACGCTGCCAGAACCCGTCGGACCGCAAGAGGCATGCCCCAGCGGGCGAGAACCTGATCGGCAAGCGTGAAGTGCACGGAGTCAAAGAAGCGGCGGAGGTCCTCTTGAACAGCAACCTTTGTGCCACGGAGCAACGCACAGTGCACCCGCTTGTGCACGTCAGCAGTCGAACGGGTGGGCAAACCCCCAAAGGAAGAGGCGCCCGCCCAACGATCACACCAGTCACGCAAGCCGGCCATGAGGCATCGGGCGCCGCAGCGCCAGGCAACACAAGCTAGGGCAATAGGCCTATAACCGCCCGTCAGCTTAGGAAGTAGAACGACAGAGATGCGCTTCCACACCAAAGGAATGGAGCCAGTGCTGAGCACGTTCATCCATAGCTGCGAGAAGGAAGCCCACCACAGCGGCGGGAGGTGAAGCAACTGAGCCGCTTGCAGGCCATCGGCGCCACCACTTTTGCCAGCCATCTTACCCATCGAGCAACGCAAAGCCTCGGGGCTGAGGTCGAAGTCCGTAGGCTCCTCGGACAAGGCTGGCAGCGCGGCCAGCAAGGACGAAACCTGCCGCACGTGACTCTGAAGCTGAGGCGATGCCGTCCACAGGCGAGTCCACTGCCGCCCTTCTTGCTCAAGGACCGCCTCAGGCAACAACGAGGCTTGGGCAGCGCCTTCAGGGGAGAGACCCTTAGCAGTGCGAGCCAGCAGAAGCTCCGCCCTCTCCTTGATCCATCTCCGCTGCTTAGAGGGGTCCTCCTTAGTAGCAGTCTTCCAAGCCTTAATGCGCATCGAGCGTAACGCCTCAACACGATCCTGCAAGATTTGCGTGACAGCAGCAGCAGCGTCCGAGAAGTCATCGGAGCTGGCGAGCACCTGGGAGAGGGAGGGAAAGACCTCAGTGAGCTGTGCAATGTCACGCCGGATGGCACGACCCAACGTCGCCGTGCATCCATGAGAGCCGGCCTGCTGGAGCCTGCGAAGGAACCGGCGAAGACGTCGCACATCCACAGGTTCGGATGCAGTGGCAGCCTTATGTTGCCCCCCAGTCCTACACTTAGGGTCCCAAGGGAGGTGGCGAATCGAGGCACTAGGGTCGCAATCCGTCAAGGCATGGTCAGCAAAAGAGGCAAGGACCTCCCACTGCTGATCCACCGACACAGCCGCACCCCACTGAGCCTGAAAGGCCGAGGTCAAGAAGGCAGCCTGGACCTCCTCACGAGTGTGCCGCACAACACGAAAGGTGGGCGGACGCAGGGGAGGCGAGGCTCCCAGATCCTCAAAGTCGTAGTAAACCCCACTATGATCGGCAATGCCAGTGAAAGTGCAGGCAGAGGAGGCACAGAGCGATGGGCAAGCCAAAGCGTAGTCAATCACCCTAGTGTTACCTGGGCCCGTGGGTGGAGGAGGCTCAGCACGACAGTCGTCGAGATCCACCAAAAGACCCTGCGCAAGGGCCGTGGCGATCGGATACTCTGTCGTTGCAAACTGAAAGTCCCCAGCCAGAACGAAAGGCAAACCAAACGGAGCCAGATCCTCCCTGGCTTTGGCCAAAAGCTCGCGAGTGACCTCAGCATCACCCGCCTTCCCGTAGAAAGACACCAGGAGAAGCTTGAAGAAGGTGCCTCCACTGCGAACCTCAGTGAGAGCAGCTGCCACACGTGAAGAGCAGGAGGCGAGCTGCAGAGAGGTCAAAGGAAGCCTAGAAACCACAGCAGCTCTCGCCTTGCCATCATCAGAGGGGGCAATCACAGCATGCCACCCCTGGGACCGCCAGAAACGGGCAAAGGACAAGGAGTTTTCCAAGTTCAAATCAACCTCTTGCAGAGCACATGCATCAAGCTGGTGATGGCAAAGGGCATCGAAGATGGGCTGGCAGTAGGACCCGCCACCTCTGCCAACATTTAGCGTGCCTAGTCTAAGGAAGGCTGCAGAACGGCATCCAAGGGCTCACCGCGCAGTGCACACCTGCACCGGTTGACAATGATCCGAAAGTCGTGCTGTTGCAGCGCCGAATCAGCAGCATGCTCCGTGAGAGCATCAAGGGCCTGCAACCGCCTCGTCAAGACGATCGGGTTCCGGCTCTTGATGGGGGCGGTACCCGTACACTGATGCTTCACAGCATCGCCACGATGCAAAAAGCAGTGCATGCACGTGTTGCAGCGCCAAGCTCTGAGCACACAGATCCCAGAACGCTGCGGGCTCCACTGGGGCCACAAAAAGGTCGTGCAACCAGCGATGGCCGACCCTTCAGCCGCCCTGTTGAGGGCCTTGCCGCGCTTGATCGCCCTCGCCGAAGCGAGCCTGTTCCCTCGAAGCCGGATCAGGGCGTACCAGTGAGTCAAAGCGACCTCCCGATGCTCCTCTAAGCGATGCTTGCGACACGAGGCGGTGCGTTGCTCGCCCGTGGCGTGAGTCCACTCATCAGAGAGAAAACCCTTGGGACAACAGGGACAGACCCAGCCTAAGGATTGGCCGTCAGCGAGCTCCTCCGGAGACCTGGGAGTGAGGATCGTGTCCTCAAATCGCTGGGCACCCACGTGAAAGCATCCGTTATGAGCAGTCTGATTGTGATTCCACCTGGCCTTCGAAATCTTAGACTGTGATCCAACCACAACAAAAGAGCAGCCCGGAGCGGGGCACTCCCATCGCTTAGGCTCGGCAGGAATGGCATTCCTTCGAAGTCGCTTGCAAGGGGGCTCCGGCTCAAGGTCAGGCTCGAGCTCTCTAATGTCCCCTGGCACGGAAGTTCGCGCCTCAGTGCCAACAACACCTGCCAGGTTGGTCCAAGGTCGAGTCTTGCACCGCAGGCGACGTCGGGAAGGCTTGACCGTAATCCTGTCACAGGGCAGGGCGACTGACGCAGAGCCCTCACCGTGTTGCAGCATGCGAAGATCAGCACGAGTGGGCCAGGCTCTAGTGGCAGCCTTAACCCCGACAGGGTCGCTGGAGACACCCGAGGCCGAGGCAAAGTCCGAGAGCCCTCGAAACAGAGGTTGCTTGCCCACAAGACGTCGCCTCCCCGAACGAGTGTCTTGGACCGAAGCCTCACAGAGATCCTGAGTCAGACCGGCACGAAGTGAGTCAAGAGCACACCTGATATCGGCAATTTGAGCCGGTGTCCACGAACAAAGGTCGGGATCCCTGCACAAAGTGTCGAGCTCCTGATTCAGTAAGTCAGCAACTGGCTCAAGCTGAGCCACGGCAAGACCAACTTCAGCAGCAATCTCCTGAACAAGCTGAACAAACATGTGTGAGTGCAACAGTAAGTCAGCGTCAAAAAAGAGATCACAGAGCCTGCGGTATATGTGATGCTGCTCATCACACCAGCACACCTGAGCAGCCTCAGCAGCCGGACCCTCGAGAGGGGCTGGGAGAATCTCCAAGCCCTGCCCCGTACGGTCACATACCGATCGTGCAGAAGCACAGTCCGACAAAGTGCCGAAGGCAGCACCGGGCAAGCCGTCGTTAAGAACCTGGGTCCAGGCAGAAGAGGCAGAAGCGAAGTCGGAGAGGGTGCGGACAGGAAGGCCACTTGGGTGGCCCACAGCAGAACGTTCAGAAGCACACTCCGACAACGTGAGGGGCCGGGTCATAGCATGCTTGGAAGAGTTTACGGGCACACCAGCAGCAGGAGCACTCTGGCCGTGAGCACCCACAGCATGCTCAGAGGCACAGTCAGAGAGTGTGCACCAAGCAACTTTGGGCGGAACATCCTTAGGAGCCGGAGTCCTGACAGGAGACGCCGAAGCACAGTCAGAGAGGGAGCGGAAGGGGGGACAGGCCGTGCCGCCCAGGCTCAAGTCCTCGACAGAGCGTTCAGAAGCGCACTCCGACAGAGTGAGGAACCGGCGCTTGGCAGGTTGAGGCGGTTGTGTCAACTTGCACGAAACCTGGGCCGCCTGGCAGGAATTCTCAATCGCCACGGGGCTTCCTCCTCGCAAAAGCTGATCAGGGGGAAGGCACTTGCCGCCAAGCTCCTTGTAGCGCTCTTCGAGGTGCTGCTCAACAAAATCAACATAGCACTGATAATGCTGCCGCTGCGGATCGAAGTGAAGAGCGAGCGCCCCTTTAGCGCCAGTCGGGTTGATGAGGTGAACAGCACCCTCACCAGCAACAACAATCCAGATCCTCACATCGGCGCCTCGAGCATACGCCGCGATTTCGAGGGATCCGCCCCAGGAGGCGTTCTGGGTCTGCTCTTGCAAGAACTCCTTCCAGGAACACGCCGAGGTGCGACCTGAGCAGTTGAACTGGCCGCCATTGGTCCACATCTCCTTGAAGTCGGCCTCAAAGTAGAGCAAGTTGTGATTGACCCATCGCCTCACCTGACGGTGATTGTACTCCTTGCCGGCGCTGCCGCCGGAGATGCCCAGTGCATGATAAAGACAATTGCCGGCACCCGGGTTGTCCTTGAGCGTAGCATTGAGCTTCCACACGGTCGCTGCATCAGTGGGTTCGCCCTCCTGGTCCACGTCTGCCTCGGATTCTTCAGCCCTGCGCTTGAGGCCCGGTCCTTGGCGCTCGCGCGATTCCTCATCAGGTTCTTGCCCAGCGTCGCCCGCGGGGCCATCATCAACGATCGCATTTCCCCGTCGGCGTGCAGCTCCCTTGCCCGAAGGCTTGGGCAGTTTCTTGGAGGCAGAGGCCGATTTCACCAAGTCCGTAAAATCCACAGCGTAGGAAGCTGGGATGTCCCTGGTGGCAACCTTGCGTGCACGTCGGGCGCCTTCTTTGATAACGATGAGCTCGGAGACATCGGCATCGTCTGGGTCCCAATACAAGTCCCGCTGGACCACTGAGGATCCGTCGCGTCGCACAGCCTTGAAGAGCCAGTCGGCTCCACGTTTGGAGCGGTGTTTGGCCTGCACTTGGACGTCACGAAACCCAACATCATGCATCAAAGCGGCGACGTGCTCCAATTGCCAATGAGCCGGCACGGCTTTGGCTCGCCAGAGGCACGGCGACTCTTTCAAAGAAGGGTCGTCCACCGTCAACCGGATGCCCAATGAGCGGCCAGAAACAATGCCATGTTTGGCCAAACCTTGCACACGGCGAAGATAGTCGGAGTATCGCTCCTGCATTGTCCAAGGAATCCACTGAACCCTGTACTCCTGGCGTTCCTTCTCTTGAAACTCTCCGAGGATGTTGGTGAAGGCACAGCAGCCCCCAGCTATGGCTCCGGAGTTCTCCCAAAGGGAGCGTGCGGCAGTCGCAGTGTCAACTCGAAGGAGTCCGCGGACACGCGAATCGCCCTCCAGCTGCCAGCCCCAAGAGTCGAGGATGGATCCTTGCGTGAGCCCGAACCCCGAAGCCCAAAGCCTTGCAAAGTGGCTCGGCTTTTTGGCGAGCTTGTCCCAGTTCAGGTTGTAATGCTGCTCAAACACAAATCGCACAACAACGCTCGAGGCTCTCTGAACATCAGGCTTCGGAGGGCGCGATGTGATTTGCAGAGGTTTGCTTTCCTTCGTGCTAAGAGTAGCAGCAGATGCACCAAAGGAGATAACCCAAAGCTTGCGCATGACAAGTCGGGCGCCGATTTTGCCGGGCACGGCAGTGAGGCGAGCACCTGAGGCCCAATCACCCAAAGCGTCAGCATGACCATCGAACATGATGGTGAGAGAGTGCGACGTTTCATCCCCCTCCGCAGCCGTAATCAGATCAGCTGCCTCCTCCGCCTCCTCAGGGCACTGAGTGAGGAAGCACCAAGCAACACCATCAGAAACATCAAGTTCCTCAGCGAGGTCAGCCGGACAATCAGTCCAGCCCACCGCCTGCGGGGCCGCAGCAACCCAAAACTCCTTGGTGATTTGCCATTCGTCCTGAGAGCTTGCCGACTTGCCCTCACCGCGTGAGGTTGCCTCAAGACTTGGCTCAACATTCCGGGATTTGCGGGCAGCCTTTCGGTTTTTCCACTTACCAGCCAGAGCCGACTGGGGGGCCTGGTCACCTTTGCACTGAGTCGTAGTCGAAGCAGCAGGGGCCGACCACTCATCAGCATACAAGACAGTTCTATGTGTGGTCCCCCGCCTCCAAGGGGAAGCATGAGGCTCCCATGCATAACCTGAGCAATCATCATGACTCGGAGTCCACCAATCGTCCTCCCAAGTGCTATGCCATCCAGCCTGGCCCTCAGCCCAAGCTTCAGAGCATGAACCTCTAGGGCGAGCCACAGCAGCACTATGGTCAGTCTGTGCAAAATCCTGTGGAGCTCGAGACGCACGCTTCACTAAGGACTTGAGCTCCTGCAACAGGTTGGAGGGGCGCGCGGAAACAAGTGTTCGGAGCTCGCTCAAAAGCCACTGCTCCGCAGCGTCTCCGTAATCCTCCTCACAGCTTTCAAGGATGGACTGAAGCCCTTCAAGAAGAGATGGCGGTCCAGGGTGCGAGGCCTCACCAACCCTAACACTCACGAACGGATCGTGCCTAAGCTGGCAGGAAACCTGATGGTCCATGTCCCGTGCCGCAGAAGGACCTTGCCAGAAGTTTATGCAGCTCTCCCATGCAGTTGAGCGAGCAATGAGAGCCTGATTCGCATCTGCACCGAAAGCATCCTGAGCAAAGACCTCACCGATCCCCACTCCCACGCATGGGTCATGCCTAAAGCATCGTGACTCCTCACCAAAGCTCCAGGAGGCATCGTAGAGTGCCCCATGAAAGCAAGCACTGAAAACTGAGGCAGGATTGCCATGGCACAGTGCAGCACCAAAATTGTACGCAGTGGCATTGGCACTACTAAAACCGGAGTCCTTGATGAAAAACTGGTCACTCAAAGCAGCTTCCAGCACAGAACTCCTGCCGACCATCCGCCCACCAGAAGCGAGCAGCAAAGCCAGCCATCCAAAAGCTCCACATAGGCAAAGGCACCCAGGTGGTAGAGAAAGAAATCCCAGCTTCTGCGCTCCCCAGGTGCAACCAGGGCCATGGCTGCGGCGAGGGCGCAAAGGAGCATGCCTACGGGCACTAGGCTCAGAAGAGCCGGTAGAAACCCCAGGGCATACCTGCCTCTTCGAATTTTCTTGATTCACTTTTGCCGGTTCTCGGGTCCGCTCCCTATCCTGATGGCCCGTACGGGTCTTGATCGCATCTTGTTGAATTCTTCTAGGTCCTTGGGTCCTGACCCGCAACTTGCTGAGCCCAACAAGGCACCTAGAAACCCGAGGCCTATCAACCGAACCAGCACCGTCTTTTGCCGGTTCTTGGGTCCGCTTCCCATTTTCATGGCCCTTCCGGCTCTTATGTCTTTCTTGAAGAAACCGCGAACCCCTACCTAAAACAGGCGAGCTCAGGCGATCAGGGTCCGGCTTGAAAAGCGCCGATTGCCCCAGCAGCCAACCAAGCTCACGTCCACGAGGAAGAAGGAGACGACGTCGTCTCCTTGGCCACTTGACGCGTCGATGTCCTGCGCGTCTCGCTGCAAAAGCGAGGCACCCTCGAAGAAGGACACGGAGGTGCTGGCGCCAACCCAAGCGCCTGTTGCCAACGTGTCCTGGGCCCCAGCAACGAATGCGATCGCGGAGCCGGTGTCGGTGCAGCGGAGGGAGAGGCCGACCCACACGGCGCAACCCCCGAACATCGATTCCCGTCTTCCCTCGTGGAACGGAGAGGCACATGTTTCTCCACCAAAGTAAAGCTTGAAGCCTTCCACCCGGCCTCGAACCCGGAGGCCAGCTCGAATCACACGTCAGCAGCCCTGAAAAGCACCAAGCCAAGGGGCAGCAGTCCTGCCACGATCGCTGCGTGAAGCAGCAGAGTTTGCACACCATCCACGTAGTTTCGCCAACCAAGGCGATGGTAAAGATCACGGCCAGCAGCGGCCCACATCGAAGAGCAGTCAAATGTCCCGCACTCGAAAAGCACTGTAAACCCAAACAGCACCATCCAAGTATCACGATCCATGACGTCTCTGCACTCTGGCCTGTGTCCAAGCCAGAGCCCGCTGCCACCATCGTGGAGGTGTCGTCGAGGCAGCGAGAGGATCATGGGACTTAGTAAGTAGGTCATAATTGGGGATATAAGTCCCCTAAGTGGGGTTATCCGAATTATAACTTAACTTACTTAAACCTTACTTATTAAGTCCCATGAGCCTTCAAGTATGGTTCTATAAAGGTAGACACTGCCGGAAGACTTGTGGCTTCTGCAGCCACGTCACTCCGCTAAACCCCTAAAGCCCCAAACCCCAATGACCGATAACCCTAAGTCCCCATACCCCCTATAGCCTAGGTTCCTACGTAGCCCCTTACTAACACAGGCACCCTTTTTTTTCCAACTATTCGGTTTGTAATAAGGGGAGCTTACAATCAGAAAGGGCGAAGGGGCACTACTCAGAAACCTAGTATCATGGGGACCCGAAGGAGTGTAGGGACTATACTTATATAAGTCCTTATTATGGGTACTAAGGCCCCCCCCCACCCCCCTCCCCCCTACCCCGACAGGGTCCCTATGATAGTAACCCTGAACCCCAACCCTCAACAGTACCGCTGTGCTCCCTCTATGACAAACCGAATATAGTAGGAAACAAGTACCCATGTTTCCCCCTAAGGGTCCTTATGAGAGTACTTAGAGGATCAGGGGACTTAGTAAGTAGGTTATAAGTGGGGTTACAAGTCCCCTAAGTGGGGTTATCCTAATTATAACCTACTTATAACCCTACTTACTAAGTCCCATGATCCTTTAAGTAACCCTGAACCCCCAACCCTCAACCCCCCCTCCGCCGCGCACCGTAGATCCCAGCCGGGAGCCGCTTCAGAAACGGGCTGGGCTCTTCCCCTGCCACGTGGAAGTGCGACGGTGGTGCTTGAGATTTAAGGGGGGTTTAGGGTTTCAGGGAAAACAAGGTTTGTGTATTCGGGTTGGAAAAAAGATTTAAAAGGTTGTTGTAGGCAGTGTGCTACGGTTGATTCCCAAAATCCTGCATGACTTTGAACATCCCCACGTCTCCCGTGTCACCCCTAATTTTAATATTGCATTGATGCAGGGACTAAAGCCAAGGCCTGTGCGAATACACAAAATCCTGCATGACCCCATGGTGGTGCAACATTGAAATTAAGGGGCTGCGGGGAAAAGGACAGCGCGAGGTGAGCTCTGTGCGATGACCTTGGTCATGCAGGATTTTGGGCATAAGCTGTAGTTATGAGCGCTTACAAAAAATCCCTTGAGGAACATTGCTACCCTTTTCTGGTGGATTTTCAACTCCACAGACTTTCAAGCTCTACATCCTGATCCCTAAGCCCACAACATGAAACCTAAAACCCTGGGCATAAACCCAACGTAGATAAAGCCTTAGGCCACAGACCTGAACCCAAAACTTTGGCCCTGTATCTCCTTCATTCATGGTTTGCAAGACCTACCAAGCCTCTTTACTTCAAGACTATACCTCGAACCTCCACATGAAGTTCTGTATACGTGATTATTCTCAGTACTTGGCTGACTTCTGAACCTCTCCAAGACGTTAAACTTTCAGCCTCTCTATTACAGTTCATATAAAAACCCGAAAAGTTAAAGTCCTAAGAGCTTTCCACAAGAACGCCAAGCATATACTCCTTGAGGGGTATTCGGGCTCTCTGGGTGCACACCCACTATCGGAGGCCTCAAAAGGTGGGATGAAGGTAGGTGGGATATTCCCAATAAGAGTACTTATATAAGGGATCCTTAATCCTACCTACTTTCATCCCAGCTTTTGAGGCCTCCGACACTACACCCAAAGAGCTGACTTCATGACATGCTAAACGCTTGCAAGCACCCTCAAAAGGTCCTGGGGAACACTGGCAACTTGCAAAGAAACAGGAAACCCTGGTGAAATCCTTGGCCTAAACCCGAAACAACCAAACAACCCTAAACCCCTAAACCGCTGAACCCTGAACCCCTGAACCTCTAAACTCTAAACTCGTAAAGCCCGAAGCCCCTAAACTCCTAAACCCGTAAAACCCTTCACTCCGAAACTCCTGAACCCTGATCCCTAAACCTCAGCATGCCCAAAGCCAAAACCAACAAGCCCAGAATAAACACAACTGTTGATGACACAATAAGCAATATAACCTAGCTCCCCATGATACCCGAAAGGTGTGCAACCCTGTAAGTGTTGATACAGTTGATGATGTGAATCCTGCATTACCCAAAATAAGGAATATACCATAATTCCCGCAGTCAAGGGTCATGAAGGCAATGCAGGATTTACATCATCAGCCTAAACCCTAAACCTTAAAGGAGCCCCTTAAAGGTACCCTTATAGATCCCTTTAAAGGGAAACCTAGGATTTACATCATCAGCCCTAGGTTAGTGAGTAGCCCCCTGGCAATACTTGGAGGATCATGGGACTTAGTAAGTAAGGTTATAAGTACCTTAATTGGGGTCATAAGTATAGTTACCTTAATGATAACCCTAGTTACTAAGTCCCATGACCCTTTAAGTAGCAATAATAGTGCTGCCCTTCTTCCAGGAACCTAAAATATCTTTGCACGACTCTCCGGAGTCTGCAAAAACCCGCAACGCTCTCAACCACCGAAAGCCCGTTGCACAACGATCTAAACCTTAAACCCTAAACCCCAAACCCTTAACCCCAAAAACTGAAGCCTAAACCCCAAAACTCAAACCCTAATTCTACTTAAAGGCTCATGGGACTTAGTAAGTAAGGTTATAAGTAGGTTATACTTGGGATAACCCCACTTAGGGGACTTCTAACCCCAATTATAACCTACTTACTAAGTCCCATGATCCTCTAAGTAGCCCTCATGACCCCTACCCTAAGCCTTAAAAGCCTAAACCCTAAAGCACAGCCCAACCGGAACCACGGAAGGCCGACCGACGAGATTCATCAGGGAGCCCCAGCTAGGCAAAGATTGAGACCTCAGATGTCGGGCATAAATAGTCTTAGTGTATATATCATACATATATATATATATGTATGTGTGTATAACGAGCAGTCTTGGAATGAAACAAATAAGCTATAACAACCCTCTCTTCATAGTTATGTAGTCTTACATGTCTAAAGGTCTAAAAAATGTGATGTATGTAACGTGTACTGCATGTCACGAACCTTTTGTATTGCATCTGTAACATGTATACCTGTGAGACGTAACTAACCTGCTCAATGTTATGTTATTCGGTTTAATGGAAACAAGTGAAGTAGTTCAGTAACTAGTTAGAATAATTGGTCTAACAGCAGAACCATTGATGAGATGAGTACGCCAGTGAATGCCAGTGAATATGTCTTTATGTGTGCTTTGAAGTCGTAGACATGATGTTTATACGTAACACATACATACATGCATACATACATACATACACATACAAATACAAATACAAATACAAATACACATACACATACATGCATACACTTACATACGAACATACACATACGTACATACATACATACATACATACACATACATGCATGCACTTACATACAAACACACATACATACACATACAGATACTGATACAGACACACATACACATACAAGTACACCTACACGTACATGTACACCCACACATACACAGGCACCGACACTGACACGCACACGTACGCGTACACATACACATACACACATGCGTACATACATACATACCTACAGTGTGTGTATACATATATATATATATGCTCATGCATATACGGGGAGAGAGATAGCGAGAGAGTGTGTGTCTCATCCTTGTAATTCTAGGATCCAGAATTTAGGGAGAACTTCGGGCTAGTGTTTGGGGGAACCTTCGGGCTGGTGCGTTTACGGTTTCAGGCTATCTAGCAGGCGTTTAGGGTGTGAGGACATTCTGTGATTTGTCAGGGTTTAGGCATATTAGTCAGGATTGGGTTTGAGGAACCGCTTGGTGTTTGGAGGGTCTGGGGCTGCTATTCTACATTGTGTTCCTATAGCCGCTTTTTAACTAGAAAGTGGTCCTATGGAAACTTGAGTCTAGGGTTAGAGATTGGGTACAAGTAGTTACTTTCAACACCAGCCCGGTCCGCGGCGTTCGGAATCCAGGTCGTCGGGCTTCGGGACTGAAAAGCAAATGAAAGGCTGTCCAAGACCTTTAACTAAATGATTCAAGAAAGTCGAAAGAACCTCAACAACATCATAAATACTATATTCATATACATATATACATATATATATACATATATATATATATATATACATACGTATATGTGTATGTATATATATATATATATATATGATTATTCTTGCAGTACCCAGAGTGCAGTCAGAAGACTCAACCAGGAGCACAGAACGTGTATAGGATACGACAGGCCTTTTCTATGGGCTCCTTGTTTGGAACCTGCTGTGCCAAGTGCGTTCTTTGAGAATTTTCATAGTCAGTACCCAAGTTACTAGCACATACCGAGCATAACTTGGAAACCTCTACATGCAGCCCAAGTACTGGGCCCCGAAATAAGGAATAACATAGGGGCCTCAGTAAATAGAATCGAGTTTTGGGGCCCGTTATACTATAATTGTAATCAGGGAACTCCTCAGAATATTATAGGTAATTATTGACCTAAACCCTAAACCCTAAACCGTTTAGGCAGTACAGTTCCAAGCCAGCATGCCATTGGGCGCAAAATCCGCGTAGCAGCTGGCGAACCTCCAAGTCCCCACTGCCCAAAAACCCGAAAACCCAAAAACTCTGACTAGGATACCCAGTAACCTAAGAATAAAAAGGCCTCTCTTTTTGGTACTGGGTAACTTTATAGGGAACCTAGGACTACAACAAGGGAATAAGGGTACTATTGGGCATCCTAGCTGATGTGGAGGCCTTGATAATTAGAATAGGGTTCGGGGCTCCTTTATAGCATGAGCATAATAAGGAACCCTAAGGAATAATGTAGGTAACTATTTAGGCTTCCATATTAATAATTCCTAAAACCTACACCCTAAACCCCCTAAACCGTAGCAAAGCTCTTGGAACTCAGGCAGTAAGAAGCTTAGCTGCAAAATTATCATGAGCCCCCGCTCCCCCGCCACTCGGGGCCCTTACCACTCATAACCCCAATTTTTGAAACCTTTAAAAATTGTCCGCGAATAATGGGGTGCCACTCAGTTCAGGGTTCACTCTCAACCATCCTTATACCGGCAAAACGAAGGTGGCCATTGCACTTGGGCGACAACCAACATCCCAAACCCTCGAACCCTAGTAGGAAAGACCAATTCTGTTGTAGAACCAATACAAGACACCTTAGACGGAAAAGTACAAACATTCAAAAACAATGAATACGAAACCAGCTAAGCCCCTAAAGCTAAGCCCTAAGTACACAGACATTATTAGTAGCAGTATCGTCTAGACGTATTGTTGTACACAGGTATTTTCACATCCCAGAGCACTCGGTAGTAGTCTACTGCTGCCACGTGGCATGCATCCTGCACTGGGTTACTGAGTAGCCCCTTTATCATTAAGGTACCCTTTTTCCAACTGTTCGGTTTCAAGAAGGGGACCCTAAGTCAAAAGAGGCAAAAGTACTCAGGAACCTACCCTGGGCATCAAAGTAGCCCAAAAGCCGAATATAGTATGGTCTTTGGGCCCAGAAGCCTTAATATATGAGTCCTTAGATGCCTAGGGCTAGTGCAGCAAACTTGTAAAGGCAAGCCCTGCCTGCCACAATCCCAATCCCCAGTATCCGGGATGCAGTAAACTCGACATCCCTGCCATCCATAAATGCTCGCCCCCCCCAACCCTCCAAGCAAAGCACAACAAAAATTCAGACACATTGAAGACAGAGCTTCGGGGTCTTTTTGCCCCAAGGATAAGCTACTTACTACATGCCTTGAGCCTTTCCCTGAATCTCCGCTGAACCCCTAAATCCTGAACCCTTCAACCTTTAAACCCCTAAACCCTTAAACCCTTAACCCTTAAACCCTTCATCCCTTAAACCCTTAAAGCCCTAACCCTTAAAGCCTAAACCCTAAACCCTACAGCCCGCCCTTGCCCTTCTCCGCCCCTTCTGACCTCCGGATCGACGTCATCTGCGTGAGGGCAGGGCTTTGGGAATTCTTGGGCTTGGTTTTAAAAACTTGGGGTCTAGGGTTTAGGGGTTTAGGGGTTTAGGGGTTTAGGGTTAGTTGGGGGTTGGGGTTTTCGGGGTTCAGGGTTCAGGAGGACCTCCAGGCTTACGTCAACCCCAGATCTCCAACCTCTGTATGAGCCCTAAAAGCAAGTCAGCTTTTTCTTGCCTTTGGTTAGTAGGGAATGGAGGAATGGGGTACAATTATAACTACTATTACTACCATTCTTCCATTCCCTACTAACCAGAGGTAAGTTTTAGGGTCCATGTTTCGGGCGTAAGCACTTTGGTGTTGAAGCGTTGTGGTTTTGGGTGTAGGAGTTTGCACTCTGGGTTTGCAACCCGAAACCCAGAGGCTCCGACATCACCTGATGCTCGACGTTTAGGGTTTAGGGTTTACTGTAGGGTTTAGGGTGGAGTTTGTCAGCATGACACCAGCCTCAATCGCAAGTCACTATGTCACGAACACTCGAAACAGGGAAACCTACCAACACAAACTCGCGACGGCACACACGGAAGGGCGGATGGGATTTTGCCCATAAGGCCGCCTACTTGTCGGGTATCATGTGGAACTAAAGGTCAACCTTTTTGGTTATATAGGGATCATATAGGGACTATACTACCCAAAAAAGGTTAAAGGTTGCCTACTCGACTACTAGGAAGAGCTTTGGGTTGCAAGATCAGCCCGTGGCTGTCGACAATTTTATCGGGACCGTAGGGGAATATTCATGCGGATTTGCTCCAAACTGCAGCTTCGATTCATGCTTCCCCGCTTCTGCTGCCCTCAAGAACAGCAACTACATGCACCCTCTTTCAACTCACCAACCTCCCCCGGAACCCTTATCTGGCACCTCTTGCTTGCTCTGCGCTTGCCTGGACAGTGGGTTTGGTTGTTCAAGATGTGGGTTTGGTTGTTCAAGATTTCGAAGGCATCATTCAGAGGAGTTGGACAGGCTATTCTTGAGTTTCATAAGGCCCAAAACCCTGTTGGAAATCCTAAAAACTTGGATCATGGAGTGCTCTGGCGTTGAGTTAGAGAAGGTTTTCAAGGCTTTGCTTGTTTCCTGTGTTCTCAGTGGATGTCTTCGATCCTGTGATCCTGCGAACTCGGTTTAGGGTTCACGTTGAGTAGGACGTTCCCTTGAGGCTGTTGCCTTTGCATAGCGCGCCACAATATTCATAGATCTCGACCACGTGGTCTGTCGCAACGGTATGACACTGATACTTTTGAGCTTGACGTCTTCTGATTTCTTCAAAGATCACGCCCCACACCACCGTGGTTATGAAGCTGTGCCCGGGGACTCCCGACGCCAGGCCGTGGCACGAGCGCCACGCATTCCCATCGTCGAGGTAATGTGCCATCCCCTCGAATGCCAAACGGGCGAAGCATGCCGCGAAACCGTGTGCCGTGCATTCGGCATCAGTTTTTCCTTTTGCAGCAGCTCGCTCGCGTGTCAGCTGAAGCTTAAGGCCCTGAACCCAAAAACCTCCCACAAACTCCAAAATCACGCAATCGAGGAAGTTGGCGGAAATCATGTTAAGGATCCCGCTGCAACTTATCATATCCGCAAAAAACCAACCCTTAAACAGCCAACACCGGCGTACACAACACCACGCTCTTCTTCAACAAGCGGGTCCAAAAAAGTTCAAAAATTGAAAGATACATAGAATATGTGAGCAAAAAAGCTTAAAGTCCTCCCGTTGGATATTCAAGCCCACTAACCACCGTACTCTGCCCCTGCAATTTGAGGTAACTTGCTTGGTTGAGGTGTGTTGGAGTCTTGGGATTCTGGGCTGCAAAATATCAACCCTAAAACCCTACAGTAGCCTCATAGAGCCCTCACAGACCCTTATCGAGCCCACAAAGAACTCGTACAGAAACCTTACAGAGCGCTTAAAGTAAACCTTAACCCTCTCCCGTAAAGGAACCGTAAACCCTTTGTTCAATTCCTTTAAAGGTCTAAGGTTTCCCTCACAGGAAGGAAGCCCTTCTAGTAAGGGGAACCATAAGGTTAAGCTTTGGCATTATTTTGGGGTTATACTACCAGTGCCCAAGGGGAACTATAAGGTCAAGCTTTGGCATTATTTTGAGGTTATGCTACCCCCCAAAAAGGTTAAAAGTCACCTACTTTACTACTAGTCCCCAAGGGGTCCTTCCAGAACCCGTATGCAACCGTGCGGGGATCCTGCAGAGCCCGTTAACTACCCAGAGAGTCCAGTACCCCTTTAAAAGTATCGGCCTGGCTGACTTCTGAACCCCTCCTAAAAGTTGAACTTCTAGCCTCCTTATCATATTTCATATAGAAGCCCAAAAGGTTAAAGTCCTAAGAGCCAGCCAGAGGAACGCCCATTGGGTATTGGGCTCTTTGGGTATTGGAAGCCGTTACTTGAAAGCCCATGGGACTTACTAAGTAAGGTTATAAGTAGGTTATAATTAACCCCAATTATACCCTACTTACTAAGTCCCATGATCCTCTAAGTAACCTAAACTCCCCATTACAGAACCCTTAAGGATCCCTTAAAGGAACTCGAATTATAACCTACTTACTAAGTCCCATGATCCTCTAAGTAGCCTGAATGAACTCCCTTATAGAGCCCTTATAGATCCCTAAACCCTAAAGGATCCCTTAAAGGAGCTCGAATTATAACCTACTTACTAAGTCCAATGATCCTTTAAGTAACTTTGACCCGAGGCCTCCCCGGGGCCACCAACGGTTTGAAAGGTTCGGGCCTGAGCCGCTCTCTGCGGATTTTAGAGGGTTTAGGGGGTTAGGGTTTAGGGTTTAGGGTTAAGGTATAGGGCTCCCTGCGGATTTAAAATAGCGAACCCCAGAAAGTTGGAACATGGGTTTAGGATGATTCCCGCTGGGATCCCTTATCTCTTACCTTAAGGGCCTGACAATTATAATGTTCCAACTTTACGGCTTCTACTATATGGTTTCTGGCTTAGGAGGGCTTTAGAGCTGTAATGGCCTTTGGAAGGTGTTTCGGGACTTTCTGGGGGTTTATGTGGGAATTGGTTATCTAGGAGATTTTGGATTTTTAGAGACCCGGAAAGACCCCGCAACATAAAGCGTTTAAAGGAACCCTATATTCATGCTGGGCGACCACAAATTCACGCATTTCTGTGGAGTCCACACTACTCAAAGTGTCGTCGAACAGCTTGAGGCAGCGCCGTCCGGCATCGCGGGCTCGCTGCGCATCATGAAATGCTAAGCCGCACAATGCCCAAGGAAGCTGGCGCCAGTGTGCTGTCTTCACTGTAGCTTCAGTCAACAGGATCTCAGTTGCCAAGCGAAAGTCGGTCTGCAGTGCTGCTTGGTCAGCCCTCTGAGACAGACCTGAACAGCAGACCAGGAAGGCATTCCTTGTTTTTTCCAAGGGTCATTGTAGGAATTTGTCGAATTCCCCGCTTGCAAAATCGTGGCATCGTCGCCCCTTCATGGGACATCCCTTCATCCGGAAACCGTGGCAACTGCAACCCTCGGCCCAAGACGAGATCTTGTTGATCTGCCCGTCCACCAAGTGAAGAAATCGAACATACGCCCAGAACCAACATTATGAAGGCCCCCGATGCTTCCCGCCGTGAGTTCTTCTTGGGGGCTCGTATGTGGACTTCTGGCGCTCGTTTAGGGTTTAGAGCTTAGTTCCAATACCCCTTTATTGGGGACCTGGAAAGAAGGAACGGCTTCATATTATGATTCAGGCTACGTTCCTTAATCAAGGGATATTGGGCTCTCAGGGGGTAGCGGGGTCTTTCCAAGTGCCTATATAGGCTTTAGGCTTTGGGGGTGTGATGTTTAGGGTTTAGGTCCAGGGTGCTAGGACTAGGTTCTAGGGTTTAGGGTGCAAGGTTTAGGGTGGAAGGCTTAGGGCTAGGGTTCAAGCTTTGGGGGTGTGATGTTTAGGGTCTAGGTTCTAGGGTGTAAGGTTTAGAGTTTAGTTAGGGTTAGGGTAGGTTGAGATGACAGCCAGCGGAACCCAAACAGTAGGACATTGGGGCTTAGGTAAGCGTCCAGGGCGCGGGTCCGCGCAAGCTGTCTAAACCCATAACCCCAAACCTCCGAAACCCTAAACTCTTCAACACCTGGGTGGTTGTCAAAATTATGGTCCCTTTTTGGGTACCCTGAATATTAGGTGCCGTACTATATCAGGGACCCAAGAAGGGACCTTAATATTCACAACCACCCATCTGGCGCAAGAAGGACTATCATGTCTATAAGGGCTCTGGGCGTTTAGTGCTCAGGATTTAGGGTCAACACTCTATGCTTGCAATGGTGCCGTACTTTTTTGTACCTAAAAAGGAAACCTAATCTAGAGAACTTCCCATATCCTATCCTGACCACAAGTAGAAAGCCACAGACCGTTGACTTAAGTACGGAGGCCGCGAGCTCAAGCAACAAAGGGGCTTTTCTATCAGGGGTATAGTGGATGTGTTGGGCGTGGAAGGTTTATAGGGTCTAGGGTTCTGCAACCACTTGAGCAAAGCAGAAATTAAATGTGGTTGGTGGCTGCGCAGCTCAGTTGTTGAATCAAAGCTTGCAGAAAAATTTCGCGACGCCAGCATGGGGTGGGCAAACAAGGAACCCCATGTGAGCCCCGTCAGACTGTTGTCGTTGTCTTCGTGTATCCGATTTAATTCTCTGCTTTAAGGGACAATACAGGGGCCTTAATAATTACCTGTACTATATTGGAATTCCGTATTGTAATTTTAATAGAATGGGCCCCAAAACCCTATTCGAATTATTAGATTATTAGAGCGCCGATGATACTAGGTTTTGCCAACTCAAGTACCACAGGTACCCAGAGTCTCCAATACCCCTCAGTTAAGGAATAATCCTCATTAAATAACTTAAACCATATTCGGGATCCTACCCTATTTAAAGGTATATTCCTTAAGTAAGGGATATTGGAGTCTATAGGTACGTTTTACACCGCCTCCAAACCGTCACCCGGGAGCCTCACAACGTATAAGTAAGTCCCTTCGACCCATAATAATGGACCTATCTTCAACCCATCTGAGCTTATGCTATAAGCAATGATTGAAACCTAAGGAACACTTCCTATAAAGTACCCTTTTGTACGGTTGATGATATAAATCCTGCATTACCCATAATAAGGAAGATGCCATCATACCCATAGTTTAGGGCCCTTAAGGTAATGCAGGATTTATATCATCAACAGTAGTATAGGCTCCCAAATTGAGAGTTCTTTGTCCGGATCCACCCGGGGGTCCTGTCATCCCGGAGCCCCGCAACGACTGAGGTTGCTGCAGCCAGCCGCATCCAAAATATCTGAGGATAGCCGCCTGATCGTATTCAGTCGGACGGTTTAGGCTTTAGGGCTTAGGGGCTTTAGGGTTTAGGATTTAGGGCTGAGGGGTAAGGGGTTAGGGTCTGGCGCTTCGGGTGTAGGGTTCAGGGCTTTGGTTTTTACGGTCCAGGGTCTCAGGTTTTGGAATTTCGGAGTTTAGGCTTTAGGGTTAACGACAACGAAAACCCTTTTCGTCCACAGAAAGATCTTGTGCTCTAAAACTACGGCACCCTTGTAAGAAGGACCCAGGGAGCACAGTTTAGACAACGACTCGTGACAACGACCCATATGTTACGTAGGTACAGCCCGCAGAAGACGTAAGATCCTCGAGGTCGGCGTGCATTGATATAGACTGTGGTCCTGAATACTGATCCTGTAAGTCCCGCCAAACCTCGATCCTAAAACCGCAACAGCTTCATCGTTCCGAATGCTTCCAGGCCACTCTATTCTAAGCTCTCTCGTGCTGGTATCTCGAAAGTAAGCCAGCTGCATATTCCCGAACTACAACCCACACAAAAAAGGTGAAACTACCTAGGCAACCTATGCCACTCTTCCAGCTCAAGAGTAAAATAATAACACGACGAATGATACTAACAGTTACTAACAACTAGAAAAATACTGCCAATCATGCCAATCACACTACCAGCAACAAGAGTAGGAAAAAACACAACAATAACAACAATGACAATGATGACACTAATCCTGATCGCACTTGCAAAGCAGCAGAACCATCCTTGGCTGAATTCTGAGCCCCTCCAAGAAGTTAAACATTTTTTAGCCTCCTTATTTGGAAGCCCCTTACAGGTAGGTAGTTCCTCTTCCATAGTACTCCCATAAGACCCCCTTTACCTTATAGGAGTGGTATGGGAGGCTTATGGGAAACTACCCACCTTATAACTACCCACCTGTAGATGTCTTAGATTATTACAGGTCATATAGAAACCTGAAGAGTTCAAATCCTACTAACCAACCAGAAGAACGCCAAGTGGGTATTGGGCTCTTTGGGTATCCCTAAACCCTAAACCCAAATCCTTCAAACACTAAACCCTAAATCCAAATCCTCAAACACTAAACCCTAAATCCAAATCCTCAAACACTAAACCCTAAACCCAAATCCCTAAACGCTAAACCCTAAACCCAAATCCCTAAACACTAAACCCTAAACCCAAGAACGCCAAGCATCCCAGCCTTCGCTGCTGGTTGGCAGGGCCCGCAGCCGCAGCCAACGTTTCAGCAGCTGAAGCACCTGACGAACGTGAGACTTTTGTGGGGGCATTATCGAATTTCCACAAGGCTTTCTGAGGGTTTTGCAAGATTTGAGGGTCAAGGCTTAGGTTTGGGTCAAAGGTTTAGGTTCGGAGGGAAACCACTTATAGAGTTTCAGAGTCTGAGGTCCGGAGACAGGGTCTAAGGTCACTTCTACTTGCACGCTGGAGGTTCTTAGTCAGTAGGTCACAAGAAAACTCTTTTTGTCAAACAACGAAGCCAAAAAAGTTCAACGTTTCTAAGATAGACCGAACATATAAGGCCAAAGTTCCCCCGTTGGATATGTAAGGAAACGCAATGATCACGATTATCTTACGTGGGGACTTGCTACCGCAATTGCAGCCCAAGGTAGGGGCCTCACTAACTAGAGTAGGGTCTGGGGGTAAATTATACTATACTTATAATAAGGAACCCCCAAGACCCTTTCTAATTGTGAAGACTACTTGCATGGTCCCCTGCGCCCTGATGTGGGCTTTACTTGCAAAGCCATCCAAGAATGTATTAGCAAACTATCAGAAGCCCCCCCTCAAAAAAATGAACAAAGAGAATCGCCTTTCAAACAGCACGCGTCTAGAAGCCAGAAGCAGAATCCTTAAACTCTGGAGCCAGTAGCTTGACTGCCCGTAAGCAGTTACCCGTGCCAGCCGCAAGAGCGATGGATTGCATGGAAAAAACAACCTCTTTAACCTGCCCGCCTGCCGCCGGCATAATCGAATGGTGATACGCACTATGCAGGCTCTCGCGACTTGGACGTGTAGGGTTTAGGGCTTAAGGTTTGGGGGCCGTCTAAATAGTGGTTGTCAAAATTATCGTCCCTTCTTGCGCACGATTCCAGGTGCGACCCAAAAAGGGACCACAATTTCGACAACTACCATATAGGGGCCTTGACAATTACAATAGGGTTTTGGGATCCCTTAAATGACGTTTATAAAAAGGAACCCCCAAAATACTATTGGTAATTACTTTGGCCCCTATGTTAGCGCAGGCTTTCGTACACCAGCGATATCCAACGACACGACGGTGTCGAGACTGCTGTCGCACCTGGTTCTCTGAAGATTCTCGATGGGGTATACCTTAGAAAGGGCCCCCATCCTGTAATAGTGCTATAATAGGAATATAATAGGGCCCTAATATAATCCTTATAGTCACTATTACAGGGTGGGGGGCCCTTCTAAGGTATACCATCTACAGAAATGGACCCGAGGCCCAAACCCCCGAATTCCTAACCCCTAAACCTAAATCATCAAAACCCCTCTGAACCCCAAGACCCAAAACCCACATTCTAAACAGTTATCCCCTAAACCCTAATGCCCTAATTCCTGAAAACACAAACCCCAAACCCTCAAAACCCTTAAAGCCTAAACCCCTGATAGTTTGACCCTTAAAGCCCGAATTCCTTAAAGCCCAAGCCCAAACGCATAATTTCTGTATCTTAAACCATAAGCCCTTGAACCTTAATTCCTTAAAACCTAAGCCCCTACCTCAACCTACCAAGACCTACTTTTTCGTAGGGTCCCTATAAATTCCATATTAGGGTTTATACTACGAACCTACAAAAAAGTAGGGCTTGGTAGTTTAAGGTACCTTTAACCCAAAGAAAATTCTCCGCGCAGCCTCAGGAAGCCTGGGGAGCAGCTCGAAGTAATGGCGAAACAAGATGGCATCTCGGACGCTGCCTGGGGGGTTTACGCTGGCTTACTTAAGGACTGCCTAGGGTTATTTTAATAATAAGGGGTCTATAAGGGATCTATAGGGTTTAGGGTTTAGGGGGTTCCAATATCCGTTAAGCTGCCTGGTGGGTTTACTTAGGATCTGAGGTGTGCAGCTAGTTTGATGACAAAGCAAGGTGTGTAGGGGGACTGCGGATTTGAGGGCTCTTGGAATGCATTGTTGTCGGTTTAGGTTTAGGGTTTACTTGGAGGATCATGGGACTTAGTAAGTAGGTTATAATGGGGGTTATAAGTCCCCTAAGTAGGGTTATCCTAATTATAACCTACTTATAACCTTACTTACTAAGTCCCATGAGCCTTCAAGTAGGGTTTTCTTACGATTGATGGTCTCAGGCTTGTGGCCGCTGACCGGTACTGTTTCTCCAAGGATGCAGCAGAAGGGCGGAGCAGTTGTGTCTCGACACACGGAGGGAAGAGAGCAGGTCACACTCCTCAGAATCTATACCAACAAGAAGGCCCCAAAAAACGCACCAGCTTCCGGACTAGAACTTCTATGAGGGCCTTGATGTTTTGAATATTTAGGCTTTTTGGGGCAGGTTACAAGATGACTAGTAGATGTTGTAGAACGGCATGTTGCTACTGTACGAAAGAGTTGCACTCTGCCTTGGCGTTTCGGGCACCTCGAGCGCATGGAAGGGCAGGGGACTTAGTAAGTAGGTTCTTAGAAGGCTCCTTAAAGGGATCTAAAGGGTTCCTTAAAGGGATCTAGGGGGTTTAGGGTCTACTTGGAGGGGCAGGGGACTTAGTAAGTAGGTTATAAGTAGGGTTATAATTGGGGTAACTCCGTTTAGGGTACTTGTAACTCTACTTATAACCTACTTACTAAGTCCCCTGCCCTTCCAAGCGAGCCAGCCAGTCCGACAGAGGACTTGGTCAGGTCTGAGCCGCCGGCTGAGATTGCCAACCGTACACATATCGACGTCGAGAGGCTCTCCGTCCTGCGTTTCAACTGCAAAACCTGAAGAAAAATTACGGTGACTGCAAATAGCAACCCAAAGCATGATACCGCACACCGAGACCAGAAAACGAATTGCACAGCGCGCTGCGGCAACAAAACAAGGTAAGCGTGCAATCATGTGATGTCGTTGCTGTTCTACAGGCATGCCCCTTTTTCTGTCTGTGTGCCGACACAGGCACAGCCGGAAAATACGGTGTGTTCATGTCCGCACGAAGACCGCGTCAACAAATGCCGAAGTTCGAGTACATGCAAAACACATGCGTGAGACTTTAATGGCACAAAGGTATATATGGGTGTATGTATATCGGTATGTACATGAATATATACACATATTGGCATACAGATACGCATACATACATATATACCTACATACATGCACACATGCAAATATGCGTACATTATGCATACATGCATACATCATGCATACATGCCTGCAGACATACATACGTGTATATATATATATACACACACATACATCTCTCTCTATACATATATAACTACAGATCAGTTTGTAACACATGCCATGCTATACGAAGAGTAGTATGTATACAGCATGCAGTGTGCCGCACATGTGTCTGAACCTCCTGGAACTGAGCCCCCAAAACGATGGGCCCTTGGGATGTCGGGATGTCAGGCCTTTAGGGTTTAGGGTTCAGGGTTTCGGGGTTATAGGGTTTAGGTTTAGGGTTTAGGGTTAGGGTTTCGGGGTTATAGGGTTTAGGTTTAGGGTTTAGGGTTAGGGTTTCGGATTTATAGGGTTTAGGGTTTAGGGTTTAGGCCTTGATGACATGACATGGGTGTCTCACAGAATCAAGGTTGTTTTTCCTTATGCGGCTTTACACTCCTTTCTATATAGGGATTTCTCGGGTCGTATAGCGTCTCGTCATGGTGTTGTAGGAGGTTTTATGGGCACCGTTCTTCTCATCGTATACTTCCTTCTCCGACGATTGTTGTGACGACTGCCAGCACGAGCTTTCTGGCTGTTATGTCTTCGTAACGCCATCTTGTCGTACTGATGGGTTCTGAGTTCTCCCGCGGCGGTCAATCCATAAGGGTTCCCTTTAAGGCAACCAGGTCCACCCTAGACTCAAACCCAAACCCCACAACACCCAAACCCTAAACTCAACAAACAGCGTAACTGCTCGTTGCGAGTCGTCGACAAAACCCTGAACCCAAAACCCTTAACCCCAAACCCCTAAACCCCAAACAAAACCCGGACCCAAGGAATCTGGGACTGCCGGGTGCAGTTCTCGCCCCAAAGCGTTCAGCCGGAAGCCAAGTCTAAAGCCCTAGAGCCTGCAGCCCTAACTACTTTTTTTTTAAGAAACAACCAAAAAATAATAAAACAAAAAACCTATATTACCACCATAAGGAATATTTCTTTTTTAATTTTTGGGTGTTCTTAAAAGCAAATAGTAGCTAAAACCCGAATAATCAAAACACCTAACTCCTCAAACCCTAAATGTCATACCCAACAGCCCTAAAGCCAAAACCACTAAAACCTCAACCCCCCCTAAACCCTAAACCCTATGTTTAGGGTTTAGGGTTTCCTTCCCAGTCGCACCTGAAAGGTCCGTATTGCCAGCACTGGCATACTGGTGCCGACACCGTAAACCACGCAATGTGCGGCCTTTTCAGCTGTTTGCGGTTATGCCAATACGCATCGGGGTCTTACTCATTGGATATGTCTTGGGTCCTGGGTTGTATTTCGATATACTTACAATAGAACCCTCAGGAATATCGTTGTAATTACAACTTCCATTCACGCTCCAACTATTACAGATGGTGGGGTCTGTCAACTGGGTTGTTTTAGGCCGTTGATAGGCATCAAGTCGGTGTGCACTGTATATGCCCCATTTCAACGTCTTAAACTACGATGACCATCAATGTAGACCCTTGATTCTGCGCGCCTTTTGAACAAGGATTCTAATATCATGAGGCCCTTCAAACAGAAGGGTGTATGAGTCAGAGTGAGATCGCAACTCAGGAGCAACCCTTGTATCCATACCCACAGACATTCCACATGGCCGTGACGAAGCCTGTCAGGGAACTCCCCCCCCCCTTCCTACCCCCGGAAGCACTCGACCCCAACAAGGATCTGCTCTGACACTGGCACATCCCCCACTACAACCTTACCTTAACCTACCAAAACCTACTTTTTGGTAGGGTCCCTATAAATTCTATATTAGGGTTTATAATACGAACCTACAAACAAGTAGGGTTTGGTAGTTTAAGGTACTTACTAAGTCTCTTGAGCCTTCAAGTACTGCCCTGTTAAAGCAGCAGTGGCTCTTGCCTCAAGGCCACGCGGCGCTTTGCCCTTGGCCTGTAGCCTAAGTCAGTGGGCTGAAAACTGTATGTGTGTGTATATATATATGTATATGTGATTTAGCTGCAGCCCGAAACCCTACCTTTTTTAAGAAGGAAGCATACATAAGCAAGCAAGTATGCTTAAATAATAAAAACAGATAAATAATTCTCTATATATATATTATATCTATGGGTAGTTGTCAAAATTATGGCCCCTTTTTTGGGTACCCTAAACCTAAACATTAGGTGCCGTATTATAACAACGACCCAAAAAGGGACCATAAGTTCGACAACCACCCATATAGAGAAGCTATAGATGCCATACTAATAAGGAACCTTGAAGAGGCAGCTTTCGGGTTTGAAAATTGTAGGAATGGGCTTCCTTTGGGGGGGCTTCCGTTAAGGGGTTCCACCAAAGCTTTCTCCAGGGGGTATTCTGGCAGATTTGAGGGAAAAGATCTGGTGTTAGGGGGTTCCGTTAAGGGGTTCCAGTAAAGCTTCTTCTGAGGGGTTTCAGTGCAAAGATCTCGTGGAAGAGCCTAGGCGGCTGTGCAAGCAATTCTTGCCTTCGAGTTGGCAGCCGCCATTTTCAGTGCCCGTGCCATGAGGTAAGGATTTCACGGAACGATCAAAATGTACAAAGAACCCCTAAAACAAGGCAACACCTGAAACACCTCGTCCCAAGAAGGATGGAGTCAAAGCTTCGCAGTCTTGGGTTCATCAGGTGTTTAAGGTTCAGATTTCTGGGCTCGTTTAGGAAATAGAATTTCATTTCTCTTACACCTTGCCCTTTAGGGTTCTCGTGTTTAGGTGCAAAGCATTATCAAGTGAGGGCAAGGTTGAAGCATGCAAGGTGACCCCTACAGCCGAAACTTGAAGCTCTGCCCCTAAACCCTAAAACCTAAACCCCGAAACCCCTGAAACCTAAACCCCTGAACCCCTAAACCCTAAACCCCTAAACCCTAAACCTAAACCTTAAACCCCTAAACCCCTAACCCCTAACCCCTAAACCCTAAACCCCTAAACCCCAAACCCCTAAACCCCAAATCCCTAAACCCCTAAACCCCAAACCCCTAAACCCTAAACGGCTACGGAGGATTTCGACTCTGAGCACTCATTGGACTTCCAGCCCTAGGCCCAAAATCCTAAATCGTGAAACCCCAACTTACATCGCTAAAATCAAAATTTCTGACCCCGAAACTCCGCTGTAGAGGTCGGAACGAGTAGTACTGATATCCCCTTCTAGTACCCATTTCATTCGGAAGAAGAGTATAACGATATAACCTTATTCAAGCACATCTTATATCACATCTCTCAACACCTATACCTATTACAAACAATATCTCTAGTAACTATAGTATACCTTTATTCAGACATTCACATTACATTCAACCTAAATCCCTGAACCCCACACCCCATTGCCAAAACAGAGTTAGACTCAGCTCGGTGCATCTGCAGCTTGTGGCAGATCGCAGTCAAGACATCAGAGTCGCTTTCGGACTTGCCTGTAGTTTAGGGCTTTGCTATACTGAACTTAGAACCCTAGCAAAAATTATAATTTTAGCCGTTTCTTAGGGATTATAATAACTAAACATTAAAAATTATTTCTAAGTACCACTAAGTTTGGGGGTTGCAGGGGTTTGGGATGGTTCAGAGCTTGGTTTAGGGATATTTAGGGCTCAGGGTGTAGCGCTTGCACCTGCGTCTGCTCCTGCTTCTCGGCAACAGCAACGGCCTACGGCTACGACTACGGCAGCAGCAACGGCAACGGCACGGGCTTCGAATACTGCTACTACTGCTGCTGCAACTATTGCTGCTGCTGCTGCTGGCACCACCACGACGACTACTACTACCAACCACTACCACTACGACGACGACTACATCCACGACTACGACTACGACGACGACTACTACTACCACCACTGCTACTTTACTACTCCTACTGCTACTACGACGACGAATTGCCATACCCACCGCTACTGCTGTTGCTCCCGCTCCTCCTGCTGCTCCTGCTAGTGCTCTTGCTACTGCTAATTCGACGACGACGACGACGACGAGCACGACCACGCACCACCAATGGAACCATACAGACAGAGAGCATTGATGGTAAAAGCACAACATTCATGCATAAATCACAGGCCGGCATTCCGACACACTCGAGGCAGTCGCTGTTTCTATCAGCAGTGCTACTATACAACCATCACAGCAACAGCAGGTGACAACACACCTAGCGGAACTATGTGCAATCTTTTAAGCTCTCCTCCATTAACGAACGTTTCGTGCTGGACACGCCCTAAACCCTCGGGTTTACACCCCAAGCCCTTTAACCCCTAAACCCCAAATCCCCAGACCCTGATCCCAATAAACCCCTTAAAGCCTTAAACCCCTTAAACCCTATAAGCCTTATAAACGCTATAAACCCTATACACCCTATAAACCCTGCAAACCCTATAGACCCTAAAAACCCCATAAGCCCTAAACCCTAAAAAAACCCTGCCCAGCCTGTGGCCACCACGACATCTAAGTCCGAGCCCTCGATGTCAATTCCCCAGGCGAAGCTTCCGACTGGTAAGACCTCTTTGGGTGTCTGCTTGCAGGGTCGGGGAACTTAGTATGTAGGTTTTAAGTAGAGTTTTAAGTACCCTAAATGGAGTTACCCCAATTATAACCCTACTTATGACCTACTTACTAAGTCCCCTGCCCCTCCACGTGGGGTTCAGGGCTTAACGTGTGTTTGACACGGTTTTGCGCGGTACAAGGGAGGTTCCATCATAGTGTTCAGGGTTCAATGTGGGAAACCTGACAAAGGGACTGACTGGGGCACTATGCTGGGAGATCGTCTGTTTACACGCTGGTTGGGAACACCGTCATCTGCCCGACTTGAGGTTCCAGCGTTCGAAAGTATTGAACATCAGAGGAGTACTTACTCTACACAGTTTGCCCGCAACACCCTTGAGGTAAAATCGAGAAGCAGTTGGGACTCAAAAACCGCACACCCGAAAATCCACTAAAACTCGTAATCCCTACAAGATTAAATTTGATCCCTACACCATGACAAAACAACATATAGCATTTTTGGAAGGTAGACTATCGATCGTATAACTCTACTGCAGAATTTCTCTCACCAGAACCAACAGGGAATTCCCGCAAGCCTTCACACTCCTCACATTGCACCTGAGGCAGCCTCACAACACCCTTTGACAAGAAGAGCCCTGCTAAACTAGATGTAGGGTTCGAATGGGGTTTCTTAATGGCTCAGGAGACAGCACTACACCCTAGCCTTAAAGCAGAGCGCATGGCCCTGAACAACGAACCCTAAAATCCTACAGCCCCAAAACCGCAGCAAAAGCCTACCTGCTCTCTCGGACCCTAAACTCCTAAACCCGAGCAACCGCCAAACCTAAGCACTCGGACCTAAATCCCAACCCCCCCCCCCCTCGCGTGTTCGTATCGGATTCTTCTACCCTGACCGAATTGCCTAACTCCCCCCCCCCCCCAACCGTACTTAAAGCCTCATGTGACTTAGTAAGTAAGGTTATAATAGCTTACAACTAGGATAACTCCACTTGAGGGACTTGTAACCCCAACTATCACCTACTTACTAAGTCCCATGATCCTCTAAGCAACCTAACCCCCCCGTATAGAACCCATATAGATCCCTTTAAGGAACCCTTTAAATGAACCCTATACTTACTAAGTCCCATGATCCTCTAAGTACCATTCCCTAAACCCTTTGATCCCCTAAGAACCATTCCCTGAACCCTAAACCCTTTGATCCTCTAAGAACCATTCCCTAAACCCTAAACCCTTTGATCCTCTAAGAACCATTCCCTAAACCCTAAACCTTATAACCCCAATTACAACCGATTACAACCTACTTGCTAAGTCCCATGATCCTTCAAGTAAGTGAACCCTATACTTACTATGTCCCATGATCCTCTATAAACCATGCCCAGGATTTCTCTCGGGCCTGGCAACCTGGCCGCGTAAAGCCGGCAAGCGCCTTCACCGACCTTGGAGTGGCACCACTGAAAGGATCATGGGACTCTGTAGGGTTCCTTAAGGGCTCCTTTAAGGGGTCCTTTAGGGTTTAGGGTTTGGGCATCTAAGGGTCATGGGACTTAGAAAAAGGGGTATATAAGACCCCTACGTTTGTCAGGGCCACTGATACAATTTCGAGGCAGTGGGCAGAGCTCCTGCAAACACAACACGCAGTGGAGGGCACAAAAAAAATGTAGAACCAACCTGATGGGTTTAGGGTTTAGGGTTTAGGGGATGAGCTTGGTGGTAAACGGGTGCCCATGCACCGATTACCACCATAAGAACCAAACGGCGGAAAGCCTGGCCAGCAGAACACATCATCACGAATGCTGAAAGATCACGGCAGGAAGGAACCCACCGAGGGGATCATCGTTGCTACTTGTGGAGGCTCTGGCTCCGGCTCCTCTTCGTCTGCACTTAAAGGCTCATGGGACTTAGTAAGTATGGTTATGAGTAGGCTATACTTCGGAGAACCCTGCTTAAGGGACTTATAACCCCAATTATAACCTACTTTCTAAGTCCCATGATCCTTTAAGTATTCCTGCGATTCGGTTTTCTCGCTTTTGCCCGCTCGGTTTCGGGCTTCGAGTAGCGAACTCCTACTCTCGAGACTCTAAATCCCTTGAACCCCAAACCCTAAGTTCTCAAGCCCTAAACCCTCAAATCAAAGTTGCAAAATATAAACCCCAAGCCCTAAATTCTAAACCCTCGGCCATAAAACCCAAAACTTAAATTTCAAACCCGAAACCCCAACCTAAACCCCAAAACCCAGACAGGCAAACCTTAAACCCCAAAATTGACATGTCTGGAGGACGTCAAAGGTTTCCTGGGCCTAAAGGAGGCAGTTTAAAGGTAAGATGAAGATTAAGGCCTTTTATAAGGACTCTTATTTTCGGATTGTTTATCTACCTTCCTTCTACCCTTTCGAGCCCTTTGAGGTGTAAGGCAAGGGTTTGCATGCTACAGGGGACGCCGCAAGCGCCGAATGAAGCGTGCTTAGACCTTCGGTTTTCTAAACCGGTTCTGGGTTCAGGATTTCGCGTTGAAGGTGTTTTTTAAGAGTTCCAATATTAGGGTATATAACTTGAACCAGAGGAAAAGGTTGAGAGCTTTTTTTAAGAGTTCCGAAATTAAGGTATATAAGTTGAACCAGAGGAAAAGCCCTTTGACTCAACGACAATTGCTGAATCCAGAGGTTTTGGAGACTCTGGGCAAAGCTAGTTTCGCAAAGTCCAAGGTTTGAGGCTTTACCTTAACCTACCAGAACCTACTTGTTTGAAGGTTCTTATTGTAAACCGCTGTATGGAAGTTAAAGGGAAGGTTTAAGATTGGCACACCTATATCCCCTCACTCGGACCAGCAATCTGTTCCCAGCCCTAGACGCAAAACTTAACATGGGGCCTTAATAATTGGAATAGGGCTTATAATTACTTAGTTACTGAGTTCATAATCCCAAAAAAGTGCACACTTTCAGTTCGATAGTGGGTGATATGATCCCAAAAAGTGTAATGCGTATCCACTCAGCTACTAAGATTAGGAACCCCCGAAATAGTTTTGGTAAATATTTAAGCCCCTATGGTGCTCCTCTTCCAAGCGAAATCATGCGCATGCAACTGAAGCAAAACCCCTCTGAACCTGTTTCCCCGCTCTCAGTAGTATCAAGAGTGCCTGTTTTTTTACTGGTCAGGTTTCACACAGAGACCCAAAGCCAACAAGGGCAAAAGGCTACTACTGGAGATGCAAAACTCCAAACTTTAGGCCCCTAAACCCTGCACCTCTAAACCCCTAAACCCAAAACCTGAGAATATATATATATATATATATACACATATATACCCTTTGTAGCCATTATATACCCATTATATAGCCCATTATAGGGTAATTAAGGGTCCCTCCTTTACCCTAAACTCTAAACTCGCGCTCTAGACCGTCGCCCTGCAAGTCTCCGGCTTGAGCAATCCAGCACGGCCTGCAACTTGCGAGGTTTGGCCTACCTGGACCCTAAGGAACCTACTGACTTATATAAAGAAATCATATAAGGGAGCCCTAAAAAGGTAGGTTCCGTAGGGTCCAGGTACTGTAAAGGCCTCAGTAGTTAGAGCAGAACAAGGTTTTGGGCTGCCCTATAGTATGATTTACAATCAGGAACCAAAAGGAAAAATGTTGGTAATCATTTGCGCTTCTATCATAAGCAGCCCGTGGGAGCGCGTGAGGCAGTAGGGATTCCTCTTGCCGGTTGTTCAACTTTGAAGGGAAACCGACCCCCAAACACATGAAAGCAAGCTGGTACTATTTGTGAAGTAGAAAGCTGCTATACAACATAACCCAACCCCCCACCCCCCAATAACAAAAACAAAAAAAAAGCTACTACAGTTGGGAGCCTGGCAAGCGTGCGAGAGATCATTTTCTGTCCAGAGCTCTCTGTTGTGACTTTGGCCCTTGGAAGTGGTCTTAACGTTTTGCGTAAACTCACCACCCTAATCCCTGTAACCAAAACCCGTCAAGGTCGAAGGTTGAGGGATCTCCTAACCTAAAATCAACCTGGCTTCGAAGCCCCTCAAGAACCAATCTTGCTCCTACTTGGGGCATCTTTGGACTATCATAGAGTCCTTCATATTTCGATTAAGCCTTTCCAATATGTTTCATGGCGATTATCATAGGCAGCTTGGCTGATAGGCACCATGGACGAAGCCGCAATCGGTAAACTATTCTACTATTTGCTTAAGAACCCCCAAAAAATAAAAAATGTATTCCTTATAGGGATAATATAGGGATTATAGTTTTTTCTTTTTTGGGGGGTTGTTAAGCAAATAGTAGTATTCTGCTGATGACCAGCCTCGGTGAACCCTGCAGTTGCCGCCGGCAAGGAGCTGATCCCAACTTAAGGGTTCCTTAAAGGGCTCCTTTAAGGGATCCTTTAGGGTTTATGGAGCTATAATATAGGGGTTCTATAAGGGGGAGTTTAGGTTACTTAGAGGATCATGGGACTTAGCAAGTAGGTTATAACTGGGGTTATACGTCCCCTAAGTGGGGTTAGTCGAAGTATAACCTACTTATAACCTGACTTAATAAGTCCCATGAGCCTTTAAGAAAGGCTTGCACGATGCTTCACTTCTGCTGCCTCCACTGGATCTGGGAGACCATCGTATGCGAGGTGCACGACGTGCTGGTCTCAACAAGGTTCCTGTACAGCTGAGGCATGCGCCTTCATGCCAATCTGAGGCATGCCCTTGCAGCAGTGCGAGAGGAACAAGCGTACTTTTGGGGCCTTAATAACTTGAATAGGGTTTGGGGTTACAATAAATCTGATAAGGACCCCCTCCCCCCAAAAAATAGGATAGGTAACTATTGATCCCAAACTTTCCAAACTCCCTACCCCAAGACCCGAAACACTGTCTCCGATAAAATCACCCAACATGTCCCAAGACCAGGTCAGGGTAGAGTAGCGACTCGCTGCCGGGTCTCGCGAGGAAGTAGGTTTAGAGTAGAGTCTGCCGTTGAGGTTTCATGGCTTAGGATTTCGTACCGCGGAGGTTTGTGGTTGCCGCTTGGGGGTTTAGGAAAACTTGCTTAAAGGAGCCCTTTAAAGGAACCCTATACCCTTACAGTACCTTATTCATTTAGAAGGAGCCCTTTAACGGAACCCTATACCCTTATAGTTTTTAAGCCTCCGGGTTTAGGTCTCACGAAGATCCTGGTTATAAATAGGTTATAAATAGGATAGCCCCACTTACAAGACTTATAACCCCAATTATGACCTACTTTTCTATAAGTCCCATGATCCTTTAAGTAAGCCTCTGGGTTTAGGTCTCACGAAGATCCTGTGAATCCCCGCGCATGCTCCGGACGAGCCTTTGCCGACAGCTACGCAGTCGTCACCTGCACAGACCCCTCAAAGGATCTGAAAAGTAAAACCCGCAGAAAGGTGTCCTACAAGTATATTATGGGTTAATTAAGACGGTTAAGATACCTGAAGCTACCCCAACATCCTTCTTTTTCAGGTTCTTATTCTAAACCTTAGCAAAGCATTTAAAGGGACCGTACAAAACATAATTAGGTTTTCTGGCTATGGTATATAAGCGTTGCTTAGCTCCCTTCTGAACCCAAAACACGGTTCAAACCCTCTAAAAAGGACCCCAAGTGGGGTTATGATACTTATAAGTCTACATCATAACTACTCCTAGGTCCCCGGACTAAGGAACTTGTACAGCCTCCACCCAGACACTCCCAACAAACCGATGCATTCAGGAATATACCCTGGATCGTATAGGGTTCCCGTCAAAATTTGGAGACTTACTTAGAGGATCATGGGACCTAGTAAGTAGGTTATACGTGGGGTTATAGGTCCCCAAAGTGGGGTTATTTTATGTATAACCAACTTATAACCTTACTTACTAAGTTCCATGAGCCTTTAAGTAGGGTATACTCCTGGATTGAGGGCTTTTGGAGCCTCCGGGGCACATCCCAGCCTGAAGCCTGACTAAATTGACTGAGACCGTTACGGCCAATCACTAAATGTGGAAGCCCGGAGACTCAAACTTTCTTGTGGGGGATCCCTGTAATATGAGTATGTTCAGGAAGCCCAAGCTTTTTGCTGCAAACTTATGTCCTGCTAGGTCCCGAAGCCCAAAACCAGCCAAGTACTCACAGTCCAATCAGCTCAGAGTAGCCCTTCCCGAACCTTTATAGCACCCCTCAGGGTAGCCCTGAGAGAAGCCCTAAACCCTAAACCCTAAAACCTAAACCCTGAACCCTAAACCCTCAATAGAACCTGTAAGGTACTGAGCCTCGGTTCGAGCCCTCAGACGCCCAAACGGGCTCCGTCTCTCTTTAACAAAGGAGCAGCAGCCTCAAGGCCTCATACGAGTGGTTGTCAGAATTATGGCCCCTTTTTTGGGTACACTAAATATCAGGTGCTGTATTATAACTAGGACCCAAGAAGGAACCATAATTTTCACAACCACCCATGTAGGGTTCCGAGCAGTCTATAATTTCGTCCCCCTTGTCCCCACATATAATGAAGCTACACATCTTAAAACCAAAGCCGTATATCATATATCAAAAATAACTATCGTATAATCTCGTTTAAACCAAAGCCGTATATAGCAAAAACTTTCAGAGCAGACGGAAATTCGATCGCACCTGTGCGTTCCAGGGTTGACGTCTCCAGGGCTTGGCTTGAGCTTTACTTAAAGGCTCATGGGACTTAGTAAGTAAGGTTACAAGCAGGTTGTAATTAAGATAACGTCACTTATGGGACTTATAACCCCAATTATAACCTACTTCTTAAGTCCCATGATCCTCTAAGTAGGAGAGTAGGCTGTAGGGCTGAGGGTTTAGTATCCCCAGACGCAGAAGCACGAGTACTTCCGAAATCAGGAAGGAGCAACAAAGCCAAACTTTTGGTACCCCAAACGAAACCCTAAACCCTTTAACCCTAAACCTCTAAAACTAAATCGCATCGCACAATGCAGAACTCAGGGACATGAAGCCGTGCCTTCTTCGTCATCAGTGCCATCTGTGCCATCTGACGTCACAGGTGCCTGCAGCTGGAATGAGAAAGGGTCTGAATCACAGGTATTCCGCTAGGACCCAAAAAGTAGATCCCTTCATGGGTTCCTATAAAGTACCCTTAGTAGTATAGGGCCCCGAATTAGGGGATCTACTTGCTAGATCCTCCCGGGGGTCTGGGTAAGAGTATCCCGGTATAGTCTCTGTACAGGCATGTCTGCTTGCTTCCTCATGCGCAAACCCCTTCTGCGGGTTTAGGGCAACACCAAGAAAGGAAAGAAACTAAAATATTTCTTAAGAAAACCTACCCTAAACCCTAAACCCTAAACCCAGCTCCATGATCTTAGTTGAACCAGAGTTTTGGCCAGGTATGTCACGTCTGATCCTGTGCCCATACATCCGAGGCTTGGGGCTCTACACTTGTTGTAGGGCTTAGGGTACAGGTATAGGGTTTAGGGTTTAGGGTTTAGGGTTTAGGGTTTAGGGTTTAGGGTAGGTCAGGTGTACTGAAGGCCTATCCTGTAGTGCTATCAAACCGCTGGATTGGCACATTACAAGTGTGTGTAACAGCGAACCAGACAAGAAGCACATAAATAGATGCATGAGTATAGAAGCAATACATCCTACGATAATCTTGTACAGATTGATAGCGAAACAGCCGAAACTTGGTTCTAACCATAAAGGCCTCAGGGCCTCTGTATTAGTTCGTCGCTGTGTTCGAAGAGGCTTGCTGATACAGACTTACGGTTTAGGGATAGCTGCTAAGGGCTTCAGGACTCAGGGCTTTCGGCTTAAGGTTTCGTTGGAGGGTTTGGGGTGTTGGGATTCACTTGCATTTATGGCCTAGGGTGTTCGGTGCTAGGCGTGTTCTCTCGGTAGAACTCTATGCGGACCGCAATCTAAGCCCCTCAACCCTGCTGCACCCAAAGCTGGAGATAACATAAGTGGGGCGCAGCCCCTAAACCCTAAATCACCCTAAACTATAAACCCTAAACCGTGAACCCTAAACCCTTAACCCCACCCTAAACCCTCAACCCCAAACCGCGTGAACCTTAAACCCTTAACCATCCCCTAAACTGTAAACTGTAAACCCTAAGCTGTAAACCTAGGCCCTGAGTTACAAGTTAGAGGCTGCTGGGTTTAGAGTCTAGAGGTTCCGGGGATAAAGAGTTTTAGGGTTCAGGGTTTAGGGCCTATTGTTAGAGTTTACCTGCAACCGAAAAGTATGGTAGAATTATGGCCTTGTAGGGGTGTTCGGCCATCATTTTACCTACTTTTGGGGCTTTAGGTTGGGTTCAGGGCTTAGATTCTAGAAATCTGGGGCTTGCAGAAGCATGCTAACTGCCGAGCCTTCCGTCGAAGACTAAGATGTTAACCCTACTTCAAGTGTTGGTTTAGGGCTTTTAAACCCCAACGCCGAAAACCCCCCTTAGACCTTAACTCAAAGACCAATGAACCAAGGCCACCCCAAAAAATAAACCTAAACCCTTCAACCCCCAAGCCCAAAACCGTCCCCAAACCGGTCCTCCAAGGGTAAAAGGAGGGACCCTTAATAAGGACCCTTAGGTATATACCCTTAGTATAGTTTTGATATACCCATTATATAGCTTATAGCCCATTATAGGGTAGGGGTCCCCATTAAGGGTCCCTCCTTTTCCCCTTCGAGGCCCTAAGGCCGACAACCTTCAAATCCTGAGCCACCATAGCCGCCTTAGCCCTAAACCCTAAACCCTAAACCCTAAACCGTAAACCCTAAACCCTAAATCGTAAACCCATCATGGCACCTGAAACCACTTCTAACGTTAACAAGCTTGAGACCCTATCATAAGAACTCCAAGGACCCCCAAAAAGACTGCTTGAAGGATCGCGGGACTTACTAACTAGGGTTATACACAAGGTAACTACTTATACTTATAACCCCAATTAAGGTACCTGTAACCTGACTTTCCCAAACCGCAAGACGGGCCTTGAACGGGTATCCTAAGTGCTTGAGCCCAAGCAAGGACGACCGTAGGGCCTGGGCGCCATGTTAAGGTGGGCATGCAGCGTAGGCTTTGGGGTTTAGGCTTTGGGATTTTTGGGGCTTGGGGTTTGGGCACGGTTGGGGAGGTTGGGGATTTGGAGTCGTTGACCGGTCTTGTGCTCCATCCGATCGAGATTCACGCAGGCGCTCCAGCAAGGGCAAAGTCTTTTTCGGGATGTCTCGTGGCTTTTGCCGCCACCCCACTTGCACCCCGGCCTCAGCAGCCGCACAACCAGGCCGTACCCCGGTGACGGGCCATCCACCTGGAAACTGGTCCTGGTCTGCATCCGGGTCGAACGTGAACCCCCACTCGAACACAGAAACCCTAAACCCTAAAACCCTAAACCCTAAAACCCTAAACCCTAAATCCCTAAACCCTAAACCCCCCTGATTCAGGGCCATCTCGTCCCAGCCGGGAGGGCCCTGCAAATGTCACCAGCCCGTCGGCGCCATCCCGGGTCGTAGTGTAATCCCTCCTCCACATGAAACTAAAACTATCAGTATGAAGCCCCTTATAGCTCAAGGTTAAGGAGACTGGGTTTAGGGTTCTAAGGATAGAGAAACAGCGCTCGTTCTCTCAGTTGGTCCAGGAGCCTGCAGTTCAGAGTGGCATCACTTCAAGGCTCAGCGGCTATAAGCCTTCAAAGGGGGCCTAAACCCTAAACTCCAAACTCCACCCGAAAGCCTGTAACCCGAAACTGAAGACCCTGAGCCTTGAAGTAGCCATGTGAAGAGACGGCCCTATGCTCTCGTCCTTAATGGAGAGACTCTCTGATGAACCTATTACTGCAACTGCATGAACACAACCCTCCCGCAGAATCGAAGGGCGTAGGGATTATAAGTATAAGCCCTCCTCTTAACAGAAACCGTTCCCACCGAGTGCAGAGTCTAAGGCATAGGGTCTTGGTAAGGTATACCTCTGGCCGCATGGCCGCAATAATCGGATCCGTCTTATAAGGCACCCAAGGAGCCCAATACTCCTTAATTCAGGAATAAGGGCTTAAATTTCTGAGTTAAGCTGTATTCCATCCTTAAGGGTATTGAGTTTTGTTTTTAGGGGAGCTTCCGAGTCTTAGGTTTACACAATTCTGGGTTGTGCTTTAAACCCTTTGAAAATTATTTATGAATAGGTTCCCTTTATAAGGAAATAAGGGAAATTAAGAATTATCCCAAAGCGCAACCCCCACTTGGTTTAGGGTGTAGGGTTATGAACCTCGGGTTTACAAAAACTTACCAAATCCCTCGAGTCCCTAAGACAATGGTGACTTTAGGGTTTAGGGTTTTTAGGGTTTAGGGTTTAGGGTTTAGGGTTCCCTAAGCGCCAAAGTGGGGACACGGGGATCTCCTAATTGCAACTGGTTCATTTTGACACCAGGACGGTGGTCATGGAAGTCGAAATCCGCTAAGGAGTGTGTAGCAACTCACCTGCCGAATGGACTAGCCCCGAAAATGGATGGTGCTCATTTAGAAGCATGGTTTAACACTTATGGTTAGTGTTGCGCTATGGTTTAACTTCATAAAGTTCAACACAAAAATCCTAAGCACACTACAGTATAATCTGCTCGTCGAACCCCCTGAGCCTTCCAGCAGGGATATAGAATCGATTCCACCAGGAACCGGTAATAACGTAGAAGCCTGAAAGAGTACCAATCTTCTTCCTCCAGCCTCCCATGATATTTAAGATACAACATAACCAAAACCCTGTTTTAGTTATCAAGGCCCGCTATATAAGTAGCCCAGACTTAAAGGCTCGTGGGACTTAGTATTGCAAGGCTAAACTTCGGATGACCCTACTTAGGGCACTTATAGCCCCAATTATCATCCTAGTTGCTAAATCCCCTGAGCCCTTAAGTAAATCCCCCAAACTCCAGAAACCTTTTGGACCTAGGGCTCTGGCGCCAAACAGATTGCCAGGCGCATTCGCAGCAAGACGCTCCTGTTGCTGGTTGACGCGCCAAGAGACCCTTCAAACCCTGAACCGGTCAGAATTTCGGATGTAGAGCTTTACGGGCACTTAAAGGCTTAAAGGCTCAAGGGAATCAGTCAGCAGACTCAGTATACTTGGGGCTAAACGTCTCAATGGCTATCCGAATTACTTACTATTTAAACTGCTACATCTAACCTACTTGCCAAGTCAACCTGTACCCTGATCCTTCAAGGAGGTTTCAGGGTTCTGGGCTTAGGGCAAAGGCCTCAGGGCGGTGTGATTAGGGCTTAGGGTCTTTTGGATGTATAGGAATAAGCTGAACTAGCTAGCATGCAGAAATCCTAACACCAAGTCTCGAAGAGACGATCCTGGCACCAGGAGGATTGTCAGCTTGAAATCTAGCCAAACCTTTCCAAGCCTTCTTAGGTTTTAGGCTTCGGGTGTTAACCCGCGCCCCCCTCCAAAAACATCCCAACGCCCTTGTAAGGACATATAGAAGAAAATCATAATGACGAACTCAAACTGGAGGCTTTTCAATGTTCAAACAAGTAAATTGGCTTGTCGGATCCATGCAACGGCTGGATCTCTTCTTGTAGGTTTAGGCTTTCAGGGGCGTAAGGCCGTAAGCCTTTAAGGAGGCTCTGTAAGGCCTTAAGAGTTTAAATTTTGAGTTGATTTGGCAATAGCCTTTGTGTTTAGGGTTCAACTGAACCTGAAACTCGCGAAACCCTAAACCCTGAACCCACAAGACCCGTCAGCCCTAAGACCTACAGTGAACCAGAAACCCCGCTGAACCCTGATCCCTCAACACCACCAAGCCCTAAACCCCAGAAGCTCCGAGCCCTGAACCTGAAGGACCAAATGACCCTTAAAAGTAGGGGCCCTATACCCATATACTATGAATCCCTATATGGTATATGAACCTTAAACCCTTTTAAGGTGCATTTCGTCCTTGAGGTATGCTTTAAGATTTAGGGTGTAGGCGTACGGATTTATGCGCCAGAAGTAGCAGACACCGAAGAAAGAAGCCCCAGTACGGCCCTCATAGCACTCTTATGGAACTGCATAGAAAACAAGCCTGACGAAACCTGAAACCTGAGCCCCTGATATAGGGGCATCAAAAGAGTAGGGCCTTAGAGTAAAAGCCAGAAAGTTGGAATATGATTGTCCTAAACCCTTTGTGGTAAAATATAGGGTATCCTACCCTGAAACCATATTCCAACTTTCTGGAGTTCCCTTTACGCGTATTTTAAAATTTCAGTATGTTCAGGAGCCTCCAGGAAAAATGTGGCTGATTAACCAGGCCCGTATCCACGCACCCTTAAGAGCCTCAAAGAAACTCCTGCAAGGCCCTTCTGATAACCCTAAATCCTATACATAACAAGGTCAGGCGTCTGGCGTTCCCGCCCCCAATCCCCCCCCCCCCCCCGCCACCACCCTATAACGCTGCGCGTGCTCCTGCTTAAATTCACTTAACCTGTACTTATAAAACCCTGCATCTACTTGCAACCCTAGACCAAGCTTAAAAGCAGGCTCTAAGCCTAGAGCAGAACGTAGACCGTCAACGCTAACGAACCTACCTCAAGGACGAAATGCACCCTAAAAGGGTTTAAGGTTCATATACCATATAGGGATTCATAGTATATGGGTATAGGGCCCCTACTTTTAAGGGTCATTTGGTCCTTCAGGTACACCCCAAACCCTCCCTAAGCCCTTGGCGACTCGAAGCCTGAAACCTTTCAACCCAAAACCCCAAACTCAAAAGCTTAAGCCTAGGATGCCCAGCAACCTGGGAATAAAAAGGGCTCCCTTTTTGGTATTAGGTAGCTTTATAAGGAACCTAGGACTACACAAAGGAAATAAGGGTACTACTGGGCATCCTAGTTAAGCTAAACCCTAAACCCGAAACCACAACCACCCCGCAAGGGAAGAGGGGCCCCGCACCCCTGGGAAGGTCGGGGGACTCATTTACCCGCAATTAGAATCCCTTTGATGCTCCGTAAAACCCTATTTATTACCTACTTACACAATTCCCCGACCCTCCGGGTAACTCCCCCTCTTGAAGGGCCTGCATGGTTTAGGGGATTAAGGTTTAGGGGTTCAGGGGTTATGGGTTTAGGAGTTGAACGTTTTTCTTAGGGGCTGTGTACCCAAGCCCAAGAAAAGGTTAACCTATGGAGCTTTATAGCAGGATAATATGGTTAAAGGTTAACTCAGCTCCTAAACCTAAACCCTACTTAAAGGATCATGGGACTTAGTAAGTAAGGTTATAAGTAGCTTATAATTGGGATAACCCCACTTAGGGGACTTATAACCCCAATTAAAACCTACTTACTAAGTCCCATGATCCTCTAAGTAACCCCTAAGTTTTAGGTTTTGCTACTCTCCGCCTCGTTGCTGAATGCATCCTCCACGGCTTGTTTCAACTCCCCGAGGCTGCTAAAGGTGGCCAACTGGCGCGCGACGATTCGAGCGGTTTGGGGTTTAGGGTTCGCTTTAGGGGTTTGGGGTTGAGGGGTTTTAGGGTTTAGGGGTTCAGGAGTTTATGCGTTTGGGGCTTGGGGTTCGGTTTGGGGTTTTGGGTTTACCCTAAAGCCTAAAGCATGATTAGGAGAAGATTGTCTCGGCACAACCAAGGTCTTGGACGGTTTAGGGCTAAGGTTGGGGTCCAGGGTTCAGGGTCAGGAAGCCCCTGGTGCAAGGACTCAGCCGTGAAGCCTTAGGGCCCATGCAACTGGCCTGCATATGGAGCTACTCAGCAGGCAGGAAGAGCGTGAGGGCGCAGAGATACCACGCTGTTGGAATACATTCACGCTTGGCATTGCGCACCCCGTCCTCTCAACTCGACCAAGGGCCCACTGCAGACCCCACGTCCTCTTCATCTCGCTTTCATCGCAAGTGAACTTCAGGTCAGGGTTTGCAATGCACAAGCAGTCAGGTCAGCTACGACAGCTTCCGACGCATCTGTGCTGTCGGCGATATCATGACTGTGGTAGACCTCTGTGCAGCAGCTGTGCTTCGTCAGCTTCTGTACACCTTGAAATCCTTGAAAAATCCCGCGCAGCAAGCCGCCTTCGATGATGCCCTGTGCGCCGTGCAATTTGCGGCCTTGGGCTTCATCGCCGGAGGGCTGCTCGGACGAAATCAGGCTTTGGCATGCATGCTTCGTCCTCAAGAGACAGTAAAGCTCTCTGTGCAGAAGTACGGCTGCAGAAAAACTTGCTGTCGAGCCGGTCGACGCCGGATGGCAGGGCACGGAGAAAGAGGTACGCCACCTCGACGGCAGTGGGCATGATAATGCCGACGACGCCGTTCCGCGTGTCCTAAACCCTATCCTAGACACTCCAATATCCCTTAATTAAGGAATACACCTTAATCATATTAGGGATCCTACCATAGTTTAAGGAACATTCCTTAATTAAGACATATTGGAGTCTCTGAGTACAACCTGAACCCTACAGGGAACTCCAGAAAGTTGGAATATGGTTTCATGGTAGGATACCCTGTAATTTACCATAGACTACTATTTGCTTAAGAGCCCCCAAAAAATTAAAAAAAACATATTCCTTATATGGGGTAATATAGGGATTATTATTTTTATTCTTTGGGTGTTCCCGAAAGCATCGCGAAGGGTTCTTCCGTGTGGAACGCCGCAGTTGAGTACATAGATGACAGACATAGAATCAACTTACTTGACTCCTTACTCTACACTCTACACTTGATACTTGACTCTACACTTGATACTTACTTACTTACTTGCCCCTATGACTGACTCTCTACACTTGACACTTGACTCTATGATACTTGACTCTACACTTGATACTTGACTCTATGTTATGCTTACGACTTACTTACTTACTTACTTACTTCAATCTACTTATTAACTTACTTGACACTTGACACTGGACTCTATGTTATGCTATCTCTATACTTACTTATACTTACTTGACTTGCTTACTTATACTTGCTATACTTACTATACTTACTACTTACTGACTTACTTACTGACTCTACTTACTGACTCTACTTACTTACTTATTACTTATGATTATACTTATGATTACTTACTTATACTTATGACTGTCTCTCTATGCATCTATGACTTACTATGACTTATGATGACTTATGACTTACTCTCTACATACTATCTACAAATCTCGGTATCTTAATATTTCTTTTTAAGGGCGGGGGTGGCACCGTCGGGGTCCATCGGGAATGCAACCCTTCCCAGGGATTCGCTGCCTCGGGCGTTCAAACGCGAGGTAAAGTTACACATTTTAGGCGCGCGGGTGAACCCTTCCCATGGATTCGCTGCCTCGGGCGTTCAAACGCTAGGTAAAGTGACACATTTTAGGCGGCCGGCGCAACCCTTCCCAGGGATTCGCTGCCTCGGGCGTTCAAACGCTAGGTAAAGTGACACATTTTAGGCGCACCGGTGAACCCTTCCCAGGGATTCGCTGCCTCGGGCGTTCAAACGCTAGGTAAAGTTACACATTTTAGGCGCGCGGGTGAACCCTTCCCAGGGATTCGCTGCCTCGGGCGTTCAAACGCTAGGTAAAGTGACACATTTTAGGCGCACCGCGCAACCCTTCACAGGGATTCGCTGCCTCGGGAGTTCAAACGCTAGGTAAAGTGACACATTTTAGGCGCACCGCGCAACCCTTCCCAGGGATTCGCTGCCTCGGGCGTTCAAACGCTAGGTAAAGTGACACATTTTAGGCGCACCGCGCAACCCTTCCCAGGGATTGGAACTCTCGAGCGCCCAAACGCGAGGTAAAGTTACACATTTTGCGGTGCCCGCGCAACCCTTCACAGGGATTCGCCTCCTCGGGCGTTCAAACGCGAGGTAAAGTTACACTTCTTGCGGGCGCCGCGCAACCCTTCACAGGGATTCGCCTCCTCGGGCGTTCAAACGCGAGGTAAAGTTACACTTCTTGCGGGCGCCGCGCAACCCTTCACAGGGTTTGGGTGCAGTTCAATTTTTTTTGCAACCCTTCACAGGGATTTGCATTTTGCAACCCTTCACAGGGATTGGCGTGGTCGGGTGTTCGAACGCGAGGTAAAGTTGCATTTTTTGATTTGCATTGAAATGAATTTTGCAACCCTTCACAAGGATTGGCGTGGTGGAGTGTTCGAACGCGAAGTAAAGTTGCAATTTTTGATGAGCATTGAGCTGAATTTTGCAACCCTTCACAGGGATTGGCGTGGTGGAGTGTTCGAACGCGAGGTAAAGTTGCAATTTTTGATGAGCATTGAGATGAATTTTGCAACCCCTCACAGGGATTGGCGTGGTCGAGTGGTTGAACGCGAGGTAAAGTTGCAATTTTTTATGTGCATTGAGATGAATTTTGCAACCCTTCACAGGGATTGGCGTAGTGGAGTGTTCGAATGCGAGGTAAAGTTATTACTTTTGATGTGCATTGAAGTGAAACTTGCAACCCTTCACAGAGATTGGCGTTGTCGAGTGTTCGAACTAGTACTAGTACTACTACTACCACTACCACTACTACAACTATTATTACTACTACTACTGCTACTACTACCACTACTACAAAAGAATACTACTACTACTACTACTACTACTACTACTACTACTACTGCTATTACTACTAGTACTACTACTACTACTACTACTACTACCACTACTACTACTACTACTACTACTACGACCACGACTGCGACTACGCGACGACGACTACTACTACAACTACTACGACTACCACTACTATCACTACTACTAGTACTGGTACTGCTAGTACTACTACTACTACTACTACTACTACTACTACTACTACTACTACCGCAACAACAACTACAACCACTACAACTACTACTACTACTACTACTACTACTACTACTACGACTACGACTACGACTACGACTGCGACTACGCGACGACGACTACTACTACAACTACTACGACTACCACTACTATCACTACTACTAGTACTGGTACTGCTAGTACTACTACTGCTACTGCTACTACTACTACTACTACTACTGCTGCGACATAAAGTGACAATGCATAGAGTCATAGAGTCACGTTGAAACCACAGTAATCAGGGATGTCTATATAGTGAGGTTCCGGAGCTAGGAAAGGAAGACTTCTGCGTCATGTTGGACTATACCCTAAACCCGCTAAACCTGAACATTAGTGTTCATAGAGTGAACTACATCAAGTCAAGTGCGTGGTACATAGATGACTCCATGACTCTATGACTCTTTCTCACTCTGACGCTATGACTCTATAACACTATGACTCTATGATTCTGTCTCACTGTGACTCTATGACTCTATATGACTCTATGACTCTTTGAACTATGACTTGTGCTTGACATGTACTCGACTCTATTTCTCGATGACTCTATGAACTATGACTTGTACGACTCTTGACTGTATGTGATACTCCGACTCTGTGACTCCGTGCTTGTGACTCGGTGACTCTATGACCCTATACACTGGATTCTATGACGTAGTGCAACACTCTTCGCTGATGATGCTTTCGGGCCAATTGTCTTCTAGTTTCTTAAGCAAATAGTAGTAGAAGGGTTAGGATAATCATATTCCAACTTTTTGGCTTTTACCTTAGGTCGTCAAGGCGCCCCGGGCCGTTCGGCCCACCAGTTGTCGCTGCGGAGCGCCCTACTTGGAGGGTCGGGGGACTTAGTAAGGGCTCCTTTAAAGGGGATTCTAAGGGTTCCTTTAAAGGGCTCTATAGGGGTTAGTATAGGGTGTAGGGTTTAAGGTTCAGGGACTTAGTAAGTAGGTAGTAAGTAGACTTATAAGTACCCTAAAAGGGACCCTAATTGGGGTTATGGTACTTATAAGTCCCTAAAATCACCAGTTACTAAGTCCCCCGACCCTCCAAGTACTGCTTAAGGGCTCATGGGACGTAGTAAGTAGGATTAAAAATAGGGGTCATAAGTACCCTACTTACTTATAACCTCACTTACTAAGTCCCATGAGCCTTCAAGTAACATAGATCCCTGCCTACTACACACCCTCCTCTAGTGGAGATTGTGATGGTAATCCTCATCCCATACCCTAAAGCCTGAAACCAGCAACCCTAAAGCATTACGGCCTTTCATGGAAGAGGCAATTACTTATTAGCCGCCTGCGGCCCATGAAGCTAGTCAAACTAAAGGTTAACCTTCGGGTTTATATTTGAATGTACGGGTTATTATACCCCAAAAGGGTTAAGGTTTCTTACTTTACTACTAAGGAGCCAGAGAGCCCAACACCCAACAATCAACGAATATAGATTAAATCTTACTATGAAGCCTCCAATGACTTATGGCTATCAATCTAAGAAGCCCCCCCATGACTTATGGATATCAATTAGGTCTACTTAGAGGCTGAGTACCCTAGCCGAAATAAGGTTGACCTTTTGAATATTGGTAGGATGATGTATAAGGTTCAAAAGGTTTAAGGATACCTACTGCACCCCTAAGTCTAGTGCTGGCTACCTATCTACTACTGGGTTCCTGAGTAGCCCTTCATGATAAGGGTGCCCTTTTTCCGACAACCCCGAAACAAAAAGGGCGAAAGGGTACTAGTCAAGAACCTAAATAACCCTAAACCCCTAGCGATCCCTTATAGATCCCTTATAAAGCCCTTTCAGGAGCCCTTAAAGGGTACGACGCAGGAACCTAGACTACTAGGTCAGGGCTTTACGATAGACCTGGCTCGGAGGCCCGGGCTCAGCTCGGGTTTAGGTTTTACATTTTGGGCTCACCAGGACCCCCCAAGTACCCTTTAAAGGGCTCTAATATTTCTCATAAGGAGGTAACTAGGGATTACAATAAAGGGCAGTTGGGGGGTCTAGATAGGGCTTAGAGCTTAGGGCGTTTTAGCTTAGGGTTTAGGTTTTGGAGCTCAGGTTTAGGGTTAGAGTTATAAAGTTTTTGGGTTTAGGTTTACGCTAGGGCTTCGGGTTTGGAGTGCGGCGTTTCGGGTTTACAGTTTAGGGCTCAGGGTTTTTAGGGTTCAAGGTTCAGGTTATAGCGTATAGAGTTCAGGGCTTTGGGGCATATTTGGGCTTGTTAGAAGGCGTATTTGGATCGAAGTGTGGATGGCATAAGGACCACAAAATTACCCAGAACCTCGCACCCTGTCTGTCTCGGAGTTTAAGTCTTGGGTTTAGATGTATGTTCCATGCAAACAAGGTTTTTAACTGCTCCAGAGCCTGTTTTTTGATGAATATACCTTGGACCTTAAATTCATATGGATATTCTTGATACATTCTAAAGCATATACCTTATAAGTCCTACCAGAAGCCCTGGCCCCGTAAAACCCGATAGAAACTCCTATAGATCACCTCATTCCTGAATTTAAGGGTTTTGGAATCTCGGGGGACCCGTTACTGGCTTCCCGCGCCTGTGCGCCGAAGCAAAATCGCTGCAACCGCAGCCAGCTGGACCTCAGCTCCAAAAAGGTGGGGATGTTGGGGGTTTAGAGCTCATCTAAGGCTGTTGTTTAGGGTTTTGGGTGATCCGAAGAGGTTTGAGGTTTAGGGTTCACTTAAGGGTTCTAGTTACAGGTGACCTTCGATCCATGGAGGGTTAAGGCTTCAGGGCTCCTTTTTTGCAGGGTTCCCGATAAGGGTTGCCGTGATTGTTTTGTAAGAGGTTCTGGGTTTAGGGCTTAAGTCTGATTTGAGGGTTCCCTTTGAGTTCTTTTATTGTAAGGTCTCCGTTTGACGGTTCCTTTCAAGGTTTTACGGCTTTAGGCCAAACTTTGTGTTTTGGAGTTCAGAGCTTAAGCCTTGGAGTGTTTTCCGGATTTTAGAGTCTTGGGTTTTGAGTTTTGCGGATTTGGAAGGCTTAGGGTGCTGCTTCAGGGCTGCCGGCTTTAATGCTAAGAGCTTACGGAAATTTGTAATTATAAGAACTGGGATACCCAGTAACCTAAGAACAAAAAGGCCTCTCTTTTTGGTACTGGGTAGCTTTATAAGGAACCTAGGACTACAAAAAGGGAATACGGGTACTACTGGGCATCCTAGAGAAGGAACCCTAAACACGTAGGTTGCATGTGGTTTTAGGTTCGTGGTTTCAGATGTTGAGCTCTGGGAGGCTCACCGCCCGGAGAGTGCAATACCCCTTGATTAGTTACTTAGAGGATCATGGGACTTAGAAAGTAGGGTTATAAGTAGCTTATAATTAGGATAACCCCACTTAGGGGACTTATAACCCCAATAATAACCTACTTGCTAGGTCCCATGATCCTCTAAGTAGAGGATCATGGGACCTAGTAAGTAGGGTAAAGTTAGGGGCTTTAGTCCCCCGAGTGTGGATATCCTGATTATAGCCTACTTAATACCTTACTGACCAAGGAATCTGCCTCACATTACAGGGAAGAGATTTCGGTAGGGCCCTACAAGGGCGTTTGGTAAGGGCTGCTAAGGAATGTGCCTGAAACCACAAGTACACCAGAGCCCACGGTTTTGCCGGGGTCACGGGGCACAAACTGATGCGGAATGTTTAAGGACACGACGATGGCAAAACACAATAGGAGGGTCATAACACACACTCGCGCCGACACAGAAATCGCAAGGATGCAACAACACAGCGGAATAAAGAAAATTGCTGAGGTGACGGTGCCCTCCGTACCCCAAGCGCAAAAAGGTTCGAGCCGAGGTGCTGCCATTTATCAAGGGCAAAATGCTGCCACCTGTTCGATCCAGGTGTGGTGAGGCTCAACGGACCGATAAGGGTTTGCCTCCAGCCACCAGAACTCCCTTTTCCGTCGCCTATTACAAAGTTCTATCAGGTGTTTGTTCAGCCTGTGAAGGCCAGCCTAAACTCTCAACCCCTAAACCCTAAACCCTCGGGCTCTTGTGCCTGCAGGTATCTCTGGTGCAGCCTCCGGGGGAGTGATGATCCCAGCAGGCCTAGGCGGGCGGGCAGTTGGCTCTGTGGCCGTCGGAGAAGGGGAAGAACCTTAGTTCCTTTCGGGGCTTTGGGATTCGGGGGTTGGGGTTTACACTACTCACTGGCCCAAAATCCAAGGAAATAAAAGTTGAAACTTTCAGAATCGATTACCTTATAAGAGCCCCAAAAGTTGAAAAGTTGAGTTTACAGCCAATATGACTATAACAAGAGTCGTAGTTCCTTTTGGGGATTTGGGCTTGGGTGTTTTGGTTTAAAAGTTGTTTACACCAGAACTAGACCCAAGAGTAACCTACGAAGAAAAAGGGTGCCCTTTTTGGTTTAAAGGGGGTTATAAGGGAACCTAAACCCTAAAAAAGGGAATAAGGGCCTACTCTGGGTCCTAGAGAAGGATTTCTGGTTGTCGGAGAAAGGGAGAAGAGCCTCACTTCCTTGAGGGTTTTTAGGGTTTAGGGGTTCAGTGCTTGAGGTGATCCAAAGGGTTCCTTCACAGGTCTTGTAGAGGATCCAGAGCGTCAAACTATAAGGGTTTCGATAAGGGCCTGGATGATTGGAATAAGATTTGCTAGCACGTAATCGGGCTTCTGACGGTGGTACAGGATGTTTGAATGTGATTTTCGGTTTACGTTGCGAAACATCAAGGCCAGAGACACAGTACAAGCGTACGAGGCGGCGGTAAGAACGGTACTCCTAATCATTCAGGCTCTCCTGCTTAAACCCCTTGAAGGCTTTCTGGGTTTACTATGCGAAGTTGAAAAGAAGCTTCATATGTTAGAAGCTGCCCCCACCCTGTAATAGTGACTATAAGGATTATATAGGATTATATTGGGGCCCGAATATATTCCTATTATACCACAGGGTGGGGGCAGCTTCTAATTCATATGCGTCTATCGAATGGAGGGGTAGGATCCAAAGATGAAGCTTTGCTAAATCTCCCCGCGGGCCCTGTTTAAATGTACTTTCAAAAAGGGAGCACTTTTAGTTTAGCCAAGGTTTAGGGTGTAGGATCCAGGGCTTAAGGTTAGGCTAGGGAGCCTATAGAATAGAAACCATATACTTAGTTGCAGCGGTAAGCAGGAAGTGCGTGTCTGGGTTGGGACATCCGTGTAAAAGAACTTTATCGTATAGGGGCTTACGACTTAATTTTGAATTTAGGGGTTTAGGGAACTCCTGCACCACAACAGCAAAACTAAAAAGGTAAGCAACAGCTGCAGAGAACCTTGATCCTGTACCCTAAACCCAGACTCAACTGCTCAAAAGAAATCTAAGGCCGCACAGAACCTTCACTGAATTTCTGGCAACCTGCGCTGCAAAGTCTTCCTTACAGCCCCTAGTAGACCAAAGTCACCCTGATTCTAAACCCTAAACCCGACATAAACCCTAAACCCGATTATAAGCCCTAAACCCGATGGTAAACCCTAAACCCGTTAATGAACTCACTTACAAAAAAGCATGTCAACCCGATTGTAACATAAGGCCTAAACCCTATAATGAACTCACGAAGAGAAGCATCTAAACCCGATTACGAACCCTAAACTCTAAGTGAACTCACTTTCAAAAGGCATTTTATAACCCCCAAAGCCCCAACCCTAAACCCTAAACCCTAAACCCCTGAACCCTAAACCATAAACCCCCTAAACCCTAAAACCCTAAACCTCTAAGCCCTAAACCCCCAAAGCCCCTCTCCGGCCTGCAGGAGCAGATCCGGTCCCACAGGCTGGCTCCCTGCTTAGGAGGATCCCCAGAGACTCCAATATCCCTTAATTAGGGAATATGCCCTAAATTATAGTAGGATCCCTAATAGGATTTAAGGAATATTCCTTAATCAAGGGATATTGGAGTCTCTGGATCATGGGACTTAGTAACCAGGCTTCCGAGCCACGGTTAAGGGTTTAGAGGGTTTAGGGTTGAGGGTTTAGTGTTGAGGGTTTAGGGTTGAGGGTTCAGGGTTGAGGGTTCAGGGTTGAGTGTTCAGGGTTGAGGGTTTAGGGTTGAGGGTTTAGGGTTGAGGGTTCAGGGTTGAGGGTTCAGGGTTGAGTGTTCAGGGTTGAGGGTTTAGGGTTGAGGGTTTCGGGTTGAGGATTCTTATAATCCCTTCATGGGGTTCCTATGATGTAGCCTTAGTAGTATAGGGCCCCAAATTAGGGGATCTACTTTCTAGATCCTCCCGGGGATCTGGGAACCAGACTTCCTTACAGGGTTCCTTAAAGAGGGTCCCTTTGAGGGATCCTTGAAAGGTTCTACAAGGAGGAGTTTAGGGCACTCGGTAAGGTTTAGGGTTCCTCTTAAGGGTGCTATGGGGTGCTATAATAATGCTCCCTTTACAGGTTTAAATAGGGTTTATAGGGTCTACTTAGAAGGATCATGGGACTTAGTAACCAGGCTTCCTTATAGGGTTCCTTAAAGGGGTCCCTTTAAGGGATCCTTTGAAGATGAGTTTAGGGTACTTAGAGGATCATGGGACTTAGCAAGGTTTAGGGTTGCTCTTAAGGGTGCTATGAGGTTCCGTAATAGGGTTCCCTGTAAGGGTTTAGGGTTTACACACAGGATCCTTAGACTTCCCTGAAGCGTAAGCCCTGAACCCTAAGCTCGAGAGTTTAGTGCAAGGTGGCGTTTTCGATTCAGGCTTTCGGGTTGGATCTGACACATGGAATGCTGGTCGCTTCTATACCTCCATGAGGCCCAGGTACTACCACCACTACGACACGTACGAATTAGGATGACTACCACGACTACTGCTACTGCGACTGCGACTGCGACTGCGACTGCGACTGCTACTGCTACTGCTACTGCTACAGTACGACTAGCACTTCTTCTACCACTGCTACAGTACTTTATACACTCCCCGACGCCCCTGCTGCGCGTGGCACCAGGCCTTCCGCAGCACGGGCTTTGCGTGCCTAAACCTAAACCCCAAACCCTAAACCTCTAAACCCTGCACCCCAAACCCTAAACCATAATTAAACCCTAAACCCTCAACCCCTACACCCTTGAATCCTAAAAAGCTAGCCCCTTCAACCCCGAACCCCAGCCAAACCCTAAACCCCAAACCCTACACCCTGCGCCGCAAACCCTGGACCCTAAACCCTAAACCCCAAACCCTGAACCCCAAACCCCAAACCCTAAACCCCAAACCCCCACCCCAGACCCCAAACCCTGAACCCTAAACCCCTGCCTTCCGCAGCAGGGGCTTTGCGTGCCTTCCAGCCGCGCCTTCCCGAGGCCTGGCGACTTGCGGCTCGCTTTCCGCCCACACAAAAAAGCCCCCCAAGACCCCTCAATTAAGGAACATACCTTAGGGCCCTCAATTAAGGAACATACCTTAGGGCCCTCAATTAAGGAACATACCTTAGGGCCCTCAATTAAGGAACATACCTTAGGGCCCTCAATTAAGGAACGTACCTTAGGGTTTAGGGGCTAGGGTTTAAGGTTTTCACTATAATATAGAGCCTTAAACTACTATAAAGGACCCCTTAATGAAGGATTAAACCCTGAACTAGAATGGAGCCTTAAGTTAGGGTGCCCATGAGGGCTCCTTTAAGGCTAGACCCAAGAGTAACCTACGAAGAAAAAGGGTGCCCTTTTTGGTTTAAAGGGGGTTAGAAGGGAACCTAAACCCTAAAAAAAGGGAATAAGGGCCTACTCTGGGTCCTAGAAGGACCTTATAATTTACCATAAAGGGTTTAGGAGAATCATATTCCAACTTTCTGGCTTTTGCATGAAGGGTTTTATAAGGGCTTTCACCCCTTAAGGAACCGAGGCTTCAGTTCGGGTTAAGGCCCACATACCACTGACTTACCTCGTGGACCAAATGACTCTTAAAAGTAGGGGCCCCGCACTAATATGCTATGAATCCCTAATGAGGTGTAGGAACCCTAAACCCTTTTAGGGTTCTTTTCGTCCTTAAGGTAAGGGCTCCTTCAAGGGGCACAGAAAAGGGCTTCATAGGGATTTATATACCCCAGAATTGAGGAATATACCTGTTTCATAGGATTTTTATACCCCAGAATTAAGGAATATACCTTTCTCGCAAAAGGGGCTTCATATGACATTTCAAAGTATATTCCTTAATTAAGGGGTCTTGGGGTGTCTGAGGGTTTGCAGCGGTCTGGTGCTGAGTCTTGGGGTTTAGGGTCAAAAGGTTTTGGGTTCTTGAGGGTTTAGGCCTTTAAAGGGAACTCCAGAAACTTGGAATATGGATTAATGGTAGGATCCCCTATAATTTACCATAAAGGGTTTAGGATAATCATATTCCAACTTTCTGGCTTTTTACTGTAGGTGTGGGAAAGGGTTTTTGTAGAGGTGTGGGCTTCGGACGACCGTTTCGTCGGCTTATGTGGGTGGGGTGGGGCTTGATCTACAACTTGGGAGGGTATTGACGGGTTGAGGATTTAAGGTTTAAGGTTTAGGGGTTTCGGGGTTTAGGGTTTGGGGTTTAGGGGTTTAGGGTTTGGGCAACTTTCTGTCTTTTCGTGGTTTCTGGGTTTTGCAGGGTTGCGACGGCGAGTGAACGGTTCAGGGTCGAGCTTTTTGCTTGTTGCTCCTCTTGTAGTATCCTTAAGGGAGGGGGGTCCAAGGGGGGTATATAGCCTAGTGATCCCTAATTCTCCCTAGTACTCCCTAAGGTTCCCTTACAGTCCCCTAAGGATTCCTAAAACCCTCCCCCCTTGAACCACCCTCCCTTAAGGATCCTATAATAGTTACTATTTAGAACCCAGCAGCGCGCCTACAAACCAACCATGACTCAGAAAACCATGCATCAGAACTACCTGTAGTCTCCATTGTACTTCCTTTTGGGGGTTACCTTATAGGATCCTGATTATATATGTGGTTAAAACCCAAAAAAGGAACTACAATGGAGACTGTAGTTAATATTGGGTTGCAACTCCAGTGAAACTCTGAAGTGCAGACCCGCAAACCAGAAGTCCTCAGCTGTTTAACGTGTGCTGGCGGGCAGCTGACCCTAGATGGTGAGCCTGATCGGCCTAAACCGGAATATCTCCAAACCTAGCGCCATAGACCCTACGTTCCCCTAAACCCGAGACCACAAACCCCAAAACTCGAAACCCTAAACCCTAAAGACTAAACCCTGAAGCGCTAAACCCTAAACCCTAATCCCTAAACCTAAAGACTAAACCATGAAGCGCTAACCCAAAGCTCCTATAACCTGGACACAAACTCCGAAAGCCTGCTAACGGTACTTGGAGGGGCAGGGACTTAGTAAGTACGTTGTAAGTAGAGTTATAAGTACCCTGAATGGAGTTACCCCACTAAGTCCCCTGCCCCTCCAAGTAGTACTGGTAACCCTGAGTTGTAGCAGCCTGGCTCTGCGTACTCCATGGAGGGACGGCGCACTGCGTGAGGTAGCCACTCCTCTGCAGACTGGCAATGATGGGCCCTAACCCTGACGTCTGTTGGGGTTCAGGGTTCGGCGTTCTGTACGGTTTTAAATCTGATACTATGACGCATGACGGTTTGAATACCCTAACACAACGTCTCCGCGAGATGGTCAAGCTCACCAAGGTTATACCCTAAACCCGAGACCCTAAACCGTTTCGGGTTCAACCTTCAAATGGCTCCTTGGTTAACATTCCCCCTTGTGTTTCTCAGGACTATACTCTGCATCGCCTTTAAGGAGGGTGGTTGATTCATAAGGTGTCCACATGACACAACTTCAAAACTCATCACAGGAATCTTGCGCCGACTGCAAGGATCCGGAGTACAAGGTTACCAGGGTTTGAATTGGATTCAAGACTTTAACATAACAATTACGATTTCCTGCAGGTTTCATCATGGCATTTGGAGTCCCCTCTATAAGTGAGGAAACCTATACGAGCTTACCTTGCCGATATAGCTATACTAAAGCATTCCCGAAATTCTCCTGTGAGTTTATAGCCCGAAAGCTATTCGCTTCTTCAATACCGTGCCCCAAAAAAGTTCAAACTTTATAAGATAGACCCCAGATGTATATATATATATATATATACATATATATATATACCAAGCCAAAGGTTTCACGTCCTCCCATAGGCTAGGCCATCTAAGGTTAAGGGGCTGGGGCCAGAAGATCTCCGCAAAGTCCCAAGCAAGGTTTTCCTACTTGTCGGGTTTCAGGAAGAACTAAAGGTTAATCTTTTGGGTATATATGGATTATATAGGAACTATACTATCCAAAAAAAGTTAAAGGTTACCTACTCGACTACTAGGCTTATTCAGGCCCCTATATCATATACCCCTATTATAGATCCCTTGTGGTACCCTTTAAAGGAGCGCGTAAAGGAACCCTATTCTAAACCCAAAAAGGGTTAAAGGTTACCTGCTCTACTACCAGGCTTTGCTTCGAGGCTACTTGGAGGATCATGGGACTTAGTAAGTAGGTTATAATTGGGGTTATAAGTCCCCTAAGTGGGGTTACCCTAATTATAACCTACTTATAACCCTACTTACTAAGTCCCATGATCCTTTAAGTACTCTCTGAACTGCGCCCCCTGGCAGCGCCTCCTTCACAGGGCTCCTTTCAGGGTTGCGTTAAGTAAAGGGAACTCCAGAAAGTTGGAATAATGTCAGATATCCGCATGAACATGGCACACCAAAAAGCACCATGCGCGCAAGCCCTCTTTTGCATGGTGGATTGGTGTCATCAGACGTGCCATGGCCGCATCCATTTCCTGGAGCCGCTGGTTCAAGGTAGTATCGTCCACCTCCAGAGTCGTGAAGGAGGTCAGGGTGGAGTTCACCGTCTCATCCTCCTGGGCAGAGAGATTGTGTGCCAGGGTAGCACGGGCCAAGGCCACATCATCATCCGGCTTCTCCCATTCCGGATCACTGTCCCCTATGTCATGAAGGGGGACCAAGCTCTCAACCGTCTCCATGCTGGAGGCAAGGACATCATCGACATTAGCAACGGGGGTGAATGCCATGATCGACGGTCGCGAGAGAAAAAGCGGGAGCGAAAGTTTCAAATTTTGAAGGACCCAAGGTCCACGATCTTGGGCCAAAATGGCAGAGCCATTTTGGCAGACGTCTCCTAACATAAGACTTGCAATTCGGCAAGCTCTGTTGCAAGTAGCTATGGTTTAATGGCAGGATCCCCTATAATTTACCATAAAAGGGTTAGGATAATCATATTCCAACTTTCTGGCTTCTACTGTAAGGGTGTCCTGTTCAAAGGCTCATGGGACTTAGTAAGTGAGGTTATAAGTAGGTTATAACTAGGATAACCTTACTTAGGGGACTCATAACCCGAATTATAGCCTACGAACTAAGTCCCTTGATCCTGTAGGTAGAGTTCATGTCTTAGGGTCTAGCCCCAAACTACGAACAACCAAAGCCAAGGGTGCCCCTAAAGGAGCCCTTTAAGCTTTCAGTGTTGAGCGGCGAAGTCCTTACTTGGAGGGGCAGGGGACTTAGTAAGTAGGTTATAAGTAGGGTTATAATTGGGGTAACTCCTCTCAGGGTACTTATAACTCTACTTATAACCTACTTACTAAGTCCCCTGCACCTCCAAGTAAGGTTCGGGAGGCCCAGGTCTTTTTGAAGCATCAGAGTGGTTAGAGACACCAAAATCTGGGACTTAAGGAATACCTGGACCCCATAAAAACTGCCTTTTGCAAAATTTCGGAGATTTGTATGAGGAAACCGTGAAAAGGAACCCTAAACTTCTAGGTCCTTTGGGATCCAGGTATACCTTGAACTCACATTCGGTGAGCCTCCCCTGTACTTTGAGCTGGTAACTTTTGGAAGCTTACAGAACCCCATCCGCCGCCTGACCAAGTGATCCGACAGCAGGGGCAGCCAGAAGGCCAGATGTGCGGCATTGGAGAAGTCCATATGGGGCCCCTGTCGTCTGTCGGTCTACGTATATCTCTCTCTCTCTCTCTCTGTCTCTCTCTCTCTCTCTCTGTGTCTCTCTCTCTCTCTCTCTCTCTCTCTCTCTCTCTCTCTTCTCTATAAACGTATCGTTGTACGTATGTATGTTTGTACGTATGTATGTATGAATGCTACATTCAATATGTACATACGGAGGACGGTATATGCATTTCAGATCGCTACGATTGATGATATGAATCCTGCATTACCTTAAGGACCCTAGACGATGTGAATTATGGTATATTCCTTATTATGGGTATTGCAGGATTTATATCATCAACCGTAGCACGGATTGCGCGGTACACACCAGTTGCTTCAAATCACGACCGTGGCTCTTTGCCGTTTAAGTTCACTGTTGCTGTCGGTGGGCTTGGTAAGGAGTGTGCCGGGCACTGGGATCGGGCAGGAGACTTAGGGTAGCACTCGTTCTGAGGTTTAGGGCTCACGGTTTGGGATGCTTTGTGTAGGGTCCTCTCTAGATTCCCCAGTGACACCCTCGTAGCAAGGGTTTTCAATTTGAAAAGCCTCAACACACAAGGGCATAGGGGTGACAATCTAGTACAAGCCCTATGCAACATATAAACACCAACAAACGACTCCTTATTATGACTTCCTCAAACCTTTCCCTAAAGAAGCTAATGTAGAGGCCGCAAAAACTAGAATAGGGTTTTGGGTCCCGTTATAGTATAGTTAAAATACGGAACTCCAAGGAATAATCTAGGTCTTATTTGGCTTCTATATTAGGTTGTTGCGAGTTTGAGACTGGGATTCACCACTCGCAACAGTAGGTTGGCCCGCTAAAAGCCTCTGAAAATACTCGTAAGCAAGATACGCCTATGCCAACTATGCGGTATGCAAAATATCCTAAAGAACTAGCCCCGAGCATGCCTGATCCCAAACATACTAAGGTCTTATACACCCCGCAGCAACGACGCTCGATCTACCTAAACCTTAAGTCTGGTAAATCATAAAGCCTACGATAAAGGCCTGAAAACTAGAATCGTGCTTTTGGACATTTTTGGTGTATACTTTACGATCAGCAGATTCGTGTCTACAAAGGGATACGATTATACAACTTCCGACATGTTCCGAGCGCTATGTTAGGCCTGCGATGCTGTCATCTCAGCCGTGGAGGCATCCACGTCGCCATCGGTGGCCTCCTCCGTCGGGTTTCAGAGCTGTTGAGGAGTGTTCCAAACTATAAACACTTAAAACTGTAAATCCTAAGACTCTGAAGCCTAAAACTCTAAAATGAAGCCTAAGACTCTAAACCCCCAACTCTAAATCCTAAACTCTAAGAAGCCCTGAGCCCTACAGGCTGCTGGATTGACGGCTGAGCTTTTCTTTGCCAATTGAAGCTTCAGGCTTCGGGCTTTCAGCGAGCCTTTGTGCTCCTCCTTACCCTGAAAGACTCCAACTTTAAGGGATCCTTTAAGGGATCTATAGGGTTTAGGAGTTCAGGATTTAAGGGAATTCTAATATCCCTTCAGCAAGGAATATACTCTGAAAATAAAGTAGGATCCCTAATATGATCTAAGGAATATTCATTAGTTATACCAGAAGTCTTGAGGAGTAGGATCCCTAATATGATCGAAGGAATATTCAGTCATTAAGGGATATGCGAGTCTCTGGATCCCCCCCGCAGTATGAACTCGGTACTGCGGAAATAAAAGCTTACAATCAGTCGTATATGTTGCGTTCCTTACCCATGAGCAGTGTGCTGTGGGCGCAACAGGGGCGTGAACACTAACTCGGCTGTACATTGAAAACATGGCATGTATGACCTGAAGGACCAAATGACCCGTGAAAGTAGGGGTCCTATACCCATATAATTACTATGAAACCCTATATGGTACATGAACCTTGATCCCTTTTAGGGTTCATGTCGTCCTTAAGGAAAACCAAAAAGACATAGGCCAGAGCCCTAAGAGAGGGGCCTTACGTAATAGTTACCGATGTTCCATGTTATAAATAGAGTATAATGGGCCCCAAAACCCTATTCTTAATTATTAAGGCCTCTATATTCAGGACTGGTATTCTCTTCTAGACCCAAGAGTAACCTAGGAAGAAAAAGGGTGCCGTTTTTGGGTTAGGGCCTTATAAGGGAACCTGAATCCTTGGAAAAGGGAAGAAGGGCCTACTCTAGGTCCTAGTCTTATGTAGTTGTCAGTCATGGTGAAGGCCCCTACACTGCGAGCCCCACATGCCTCTCGTCCCCTTAGAACGACAGCAACTGCCGAGGGTTTGGCCATGACAGCAAAATATAGGGACCCCCAAAAGCACATAAGCATAAGCATGTTATAGGGATATCGCTACCTTATTGGGCTTCGATATAAGGGGGTGTATATGGGATATCTCTATCCTCATTTTTGCTTATGTGCCGTTTTGGGGGCCGTAAAATAACGGTCACAGAGGGCTTCAGGCGGCATAAGTATTGGTTATTAACTAGGATACCCAGTAACCTAGGAATAAAAGGGGCTCTCTTTTTGGTATTGGGTAGCTTTATAAGGAACGTAGGACTACAAAAAGGGAATAAGGGTACTACTGAGCATCCTAGTTAATATCCCCGATAGCCATGTGCAGCTTTACCATACCCCAGCCCTTTTCGAACTATTCGGGTAGACAAATATTACTTACCCCCAAACCCAAAACCCTTCGACATGTTTTGGGCCATTCGGAGCAAGAAGTGCTGCTGTCCCCTTATAGTCCTTGTACAGTCTAGCCCTTTCTCAGCATTTGCGTGGACGTCTTGCACCGTTAACCCTAAGCCCAAACCCTAAGCCCGAAACTCGAAACCCTAAAACCTCAACCCTAAACCCTAAACCTCAAACCCTAAACCCCAAACCCTAAACCCCAAACCCTAAACCCCAAACCTTAAACCCCAAACCTAAAACCCCTAAATCCTATGCCCTAAACCCTCAGCCCCAAGCCCTATAAGCCCTACTTTAACCCACCAGAACCTATTTTTTGTAGGGTCCCTATACATTCCATATTAGGCTTTATAATAAGAACCTGCAAAAAATAGGTTTTGGCAGGATGAAGTAATTAAGCCCTAAACCCTAACCCCTCAAATAAACCCTACGACTTTAGGGCCTTAATAATTTGAATAGGGTTTGAGGGCCCATTCTTCTATAAATATAACAAAGAACCCCCAGCATAGTGTTGGTAGTTATTTAGGCGCCGAAAGTAAGCACTCTTTTGAACTGCAAACCCTAAAACCCCAATTCTAAGCCGTAAAACCCCGAGCCCCAAGTCCCATAGGCCCTAACTAAGCCGCAAACCCTAAGCTCTCTTTTGAAGGGCACTGCTCCGCGTGTCTTTTCCCCTAAACCCTAAACATCCCTAAACCCTAATCCCAAAACCCAAAACCCTAAACATCCCAAAACCCTAAACATCCCTAAACCCTAAACATCCCTAAACCCTAAACATCCCTAAACCCTAAACATCCCTAAACCCTAAACATCCCTAAACCCTAAACATCCCTAAACCCTAAACATCCCTAAACCCTAAACCCTAATCCCTAAACCCTAAACCCTAAACCCTAAACCCTAATCCCTAAACCCTAATCCCTAAACCCTAAACCCAATACCCTAAACCCTAATCCCTAAACCCTAAACTGAAGCGAGCTGCGGGCGCTGCGAATAGCAGCAGCGAGCGTGCCGAAGCGTCAGTGAGGCTGGCTCCGTAGCTGGCGCGACAGGCGCAGCGAAGGAGCCCCAGCACCGGCTCAGGTGCTGGCGCATGCGACAGGCATGCTAGCCAATCAGAACTATATGACCCTAAACCTCCAAGCTCGGAGGGCCCCATCCCTTAGGTTTTAGGATTTAGGATTTAGGGTTTAGGATTTAGGATTTAGGATTTAGGATTCAGGATTTAGGATCTATGGTTTAGTTTTTATTAGGATTTAAGATTTAGGGTTTAGGATTTAGGATTTAGGATGTAGGATTTAGGGTTTAGGATTTAGGATTTAGCCTATGCGCCTGCCTGGGTGGGCCGGCCTGGCTGTGGCAGGTCTTGGACCAGGGACTGTTGCGCCCCATTCTCCGCTTGTCCCGGGCCCCCCCCGGGACAGTTGTCCCAGGGCCCGCCCGGGACAGTTCTACCAGGGGCCCCCCCGGATTGTCCCGGGTTGTCTCGGGCGACCCTGCCCTGTCCTTCCCTGCCCTGCCTGCCCTGGCCCCTGCTCCTGCTCTCCCTGCCCTCCCTGCCCTGCCCTGCCCTGCTCTGCCCTGCTGCCCTGTCCTGCCCCGCTCTGCCCTGCTTGGCCTGATTTTGGGCCACCGCCAGACCAAGCCACAAACCTTGAAAAAAACCCTAAACCCGACAAAGGTCATAGACTGGGTGGGCGGGTAGGGCGAGAGCGTTGAACCTAGGCGCACACCACAACACACGTCTCGCGTGGTGGTGTGCGCGGAGCATCGACACACCCTAATCCCTAAACCCTAAACCCTAAACCCCCGCGCGCCTGCGAGGTGGGCAAGTCGGGTACGGAAGCCTCGAGGTCGCCCTCGGCCGCCTCGGAAATTTCGAGAAACACCAGGGAACCTTTAGGGCTTAGGCTTTAGGGTTTTAGGGTTTAGGGTTTTAGGGTTTAGGGCTTAGGCTTTAGGGTTTTAGGGTTTAGGGATTAGGGTTTAGGGGTTTAGGGATTAGGGTTTAGGGATTAGGGTTTAGGGTTTAGGGTTCAGGGTTTAGGGATTTAGGGTTTAGGGTTTAGGGGTTGAGGGTTTTAGGGTTTAGGGATTTAAGGTTTAGCGCTTGTTTTCCGTGAAAGGTGTACCCCCAATCGGCACGAAGAAAAAGGACGCACGTCCGAAGTCTTCAGCAAAAGCGTCGTTCGTCACGTACGCGGAGCTCTTACATACCCACCCCAACGAAGCCACCCAGAGCTCTCGTACTGAGCTTAAGTTCTTAAGCGTTTCCGACAGAGAAGCATCTGCACACGAAAGTGCAATGTCTGGTATAGTACTGACAGTACTGTCTAGAGAATATATTAAGGAATACTTGTATACACACATGCAGTTACCTGTAAATGGCTGTAATTGTAGCTTTACAATTACCATTTACCCCTAGGTAAGACTAGAATGTCTTTTGTTTCATTCCCGTAACAGGTGGTATAGTACTGACAGTACTGTCTAGAGAATATATTAAGGAATACTTGTACACACACACACACACATGCAGTTACCTGTAAATGGCTGTAATTGTAGCTTTACAACTACCATTTACCTCTAGGTAAGACTAGAATGTCTTTTGTTTCATTCCCGTACAGGTGTGTTACGCTCCTGTACGTGAGAAGGCATAAGCTGAGCATTCAGGCTTAAGAAGACCGGGATGGTTTAAAGCTGCCACATGAAAGGATCGGCGCTGCACCGGATGGTTTAGAGCAGGCACACGAAAAGAACGGCCCTGTTTTGCTGCAGAATGTGGCCCCGAGCTGCTTGGGCACACACGAGCACTCGAGGGTCCATTTTTCGATCCTAAGCCTGGGAACCCAGTTTAGAGCAGGCATACGAAAAGAACGGCCCTGTTTTGCTGCAGAATCTGGCTTTGGCCGCTTTGGGCACCCAGAGGCATCATATGGTTTAGAGCAGGCACACGAAAAGAACGTCCTTGTTTTGCTGCAGAATGTGGCCCCGAGCTGCTTGGGCACACACGAGCACTCGAGGGTCCATTTTTCGATCCTAAGCCTGGGAACCCAGTTTAGAGCAGGCATACGAAAAGAACGGCCCTGTTTTGCTGCAGAATCTGGCTTTGGCCGCTTTGGGCACCCATAGGCACCGGATGGTTTAGAGCAGGCACAAGAAAAGAACGGCCCTGTTTTGCTGCAGAATGTGGCCCCGAGCTGCTTGGGCACACACGAGCACTCGAGGGTCCATTTTTCGATCCTAAGCCTGGGAACCCAGTTTAGAGCAGGCATGCCAAGCCTGGGAACCCAGTTTAGAGCAGGCACACGAAAGGAATGGCCGTGTTTTGCTGCAGAATGTGGCTTCAGCCGCTTTGGGCACCCATAGGCTGGCTGGTTTAGAGCTGCCACATGAAAGGATCGGCGCTGTTTTGCTGCAGAATGTGGCCCCGACCAGCTTGGGCACACACGAGCACTCGGGGGTCCATTTTTTCCCCAGATTTCACTCGGCTTAGGGGGGGGGTTTAGGGTTATATATCTCTTATATTACTGACAGTACTGTCTACAGAATATATTAAGGAATACTTGTATCCACTCATGATGTCTACCTGTAAATGGCTGTAATTGTAGCTTTACAATTACCATTTACCTCTAGGTAAGACTAGAAAGTCTTTTGTTTCATTCCCGTACAGTTGTGTTACGCTCCTGTACGTGAGAAGGCAGAAGCTGAGCATTCAGGCTTAAGCTTTTGAGTTTAGGGATTAGGGTTTAGGGGTTTAGGGATTAGGGTTTAGGCTTTAGGGATTAGGGTTTAGGGCTTTGGGTTGTGGGCTTAAGGGAGAAAGGAACTTCCCAAAATACCCAGGAACCCAGGCTTCCTTGAAGGGTTCATTTAGGGCTCGTTTAAGGCTTCATTCAGGGTTAGGGTTTGGGATTGAAGGTTTCGGGTTTAAGGTCTAGGACTCAGGGGACACAGTAAGTCGCAAATAGGGTTATCATTGGAACCTAGGGTTCCTCAAAGGGTTCCTTTAAGAGTTCATTTGAAGGCTTCCTTTAAAAGCTCCTTTAAGGGTACGTACCTTAGACTTAGGGGTTTACGGTTTAGTGTTGGTTAGGGTTTGAGGTCCTTCAAGGGCTCATTCAAGGGTTCCTGAAGGGTTCACAGGTTTCGGGCTTAGGGCTGGATGCTTGAAGGTTCATGGGACTTCGTAAGTAGGTTGCAATTGCGGTTATAAGTCCCCTAAGTGGGGTTATCCTACTGTGATTATAAGCTACATATAACCTTACTTACTAAGTCCCATGAGCCTTCAAGTAGGGTTTCGGGATCAAGGTTCTAACAACTTCGAGAAATACAAGGAACCTTGAACCCAAAACCCTACTTAACAGCTTCTACAAAGGTTTCTATCAGGGTACTACAAGGGTCTAGGGTTTGGGTTGGCCGAACCGTTTTCTGATGTTGTCTATGGTTGTGTAGAGCCTCTCCAAGATTCGTCTGATAAGTTCTTGAAGAGATGTAGTTAGACTGTTTTACATGATTTTAACGGGGTTCGCAGCGTGTGGATTGTATAAGGCCCTAAATCCTGAACTTCCTAACCAAATCCGTAACCCCTAGACGGAAGAGATTAATGAGTTGTATGTGGATGTGCGCGCGTTGCAAGGTTTTCTCTGCAAACATCCTCAGTCCTTATACTTTACTTGGCTGACTTCTGAACTCCTCCAAGAAGTTAAACTTTTAGCCGTTCACATAGACCAAAAAGTTGAAGTCCTAAGAGCCAACCAGAAGAACGCCAAGCAAAACCCAGCCAGGATGCCAAAATACCCTTCATGGGTAAGTTTGCTCAACTCTGAAAAAACCCTGAATACCCTCAAAACCTATTCCAAAATCCTGCTTAACAGGAGCTCGCGGCATGTCCTTGAACCCAACTCTGAAAAGCAATGTTTTCGGCCATACATGAGGAAATCAAGCTAAAGAGCACCAAAGCTGTCGGTTTTACAGGGTCCAGGTAAACCCTAGCCACTCCGGCGCCTGACACTCCGCATTAACAACCACTTGTAGCAGTCTTGTAACAACCCTGCATGCGCTTTAAGCCTCAACAACTGAAATCCCGAGAGACCCTAAACCCTGCAACCCTGGAAGCTTTTTGCCAGACCCTTCAACAACCTACTCCTCTTGGAAGGTACGCAAAGCAAGGCGTGGGATATCCATGAAAACCAGAACCATAATCCCAAAAAAGGAAAACAACACCAGCAACACAGCAGCCAGATGCTGCATACAAAGCTAAACACCTAAACCCTAAGCCCAAAACCTTAATCCTAAACCGTGAGGGTCCCAAACCCTTGTGTAACCCTTAGTTAAACCTTAGGTAGGCCTTATGCTACCCTTATGCAACCTTTTGTAATCTGATGTAACCCTTAACAAGGGCTTACACTGCCCTGAAGATACAAAGCACTCTCCCCAGACTTACTTCCCCAATAAGTCACAGAAATGAAAGGTAAAACTTCCCGGTTCCTACTAAACTACAAGACCACAAACAAAATTAAAGGTTGGGTATTGGGGAACTAAGTTGCACTACCCTGAAAATACACGGGAGTTTCCGAAATAGGGGACCCTAATATGGTACCCTAAATAGTAGGATCCTTATTATAAGGGCCCCAAAATATGGTACCCCGAATTTTCGGAAACTCCAAAACCCTTTATAGAGCCCTTTAAAGGTACCCTTATAGTACCCTTATGGTAACCCTTTAAAGGAACCCTAAATACTTCAGGTACCCCCTAATTTCCCATATTACAAAGCACTCCCTGAAACCTAATTTTCGGAAACCCTAAACCCTGAACCCTTTGTATAACCCTCATAGATCCCTTTAAGGAACCTTTAAGGAAATCTAGGTACCCCCCCAATGTTCGGAAACTCCCAAATCCAAAAGCTCCAAAGCCCTAAACCCTAAACTCCATAGATCCCTTAAAGGAACCCTTCAAAGGAACAAAGCTATTATCGGAAACTCTAAACCCTAAACCCGTCAAATAACCCTTATAGATCCCTTTAAGGAGCCCTTTAAAGGATCCCTGCATACTCCTGTTATCCCTTTAAGGAACCCTTTAAAGGAACCCTAGGTACTCTTTAGTTCAAAGCACTCTCATTATCGGAAACTCCCACAAGGCACTCTCCCTGAGCCCTAAACCCTAAGCCCGAAGCCCCAAACCCTAAACCCTGTTCACCCTAAACCCTAAGCCCTAAAACCTATCCTACGGTTGATGATATAAATCCTGCATTACCCATAATAAGGAAGATGCCATCATACCCGTAGTTTAGGGCCCTTAAGGTAATGCAGGATTTATATCATCAACAGTAGTTTACAAAGCACTCTCCCAAGAGCTCCCGCCATGAAGCGCCTCTGCCTCGGTGGAAGCCTCGACTTCGGCGGTGGTCTCCACCTTCCGAGGGTTTCTGCGGATTTTTTGGGTTTATATAGGGTTTAGGGTTTTAGGGTTTAGGGTTTCTGATGATTTTGGGATTTATAGAGGGCTTCCTATAAGGGTACTATACGGGTTCCTTCAAAAGGGCTACTATAAGGGTTTATAGTGGCCCTTTTGAAGGAACCCGTATAGTACCCTTATAGTTTCTGTGGCTTTTGGGATTTGTAGAGGGTGTAGGGTCTTAGGGTTAAGCGGTTTAGGGTTTTAGGTTTTGGGGTTTCTGTTGATTTTGGGATTTATGGAGGGTGTAGGGTCTTAGGGTTTAGCGGTTTAGAGTTTCTGTTGATTTTGGGATTTATAGAGGGTGGTTGTCAAAAATTAGGGTCCCATTTTGGGTACCCTAAATGTTCGGTGCCGTACTATATTAGGGACCCAAAAAAGGACCATAATGTTGACAACCACCCATATAGGGTAGGGTTTTGGGGTCGCGAGACCTAGTAAGTAGGTAGTAAACAGACTTTGAAGTACCCCAAAAGAGGCCGTAATTGGGGCTATGATACTTATAAGTCCGAAAATAACTGCTTGCCCCGATCCTCCAAGTATAGGGTGCAGGCTTTAGGGTGTAGCTTAAGCTGTTTGTCTTGTGGTGGGTTTAAGGGTTTAAGGTCCAGGTGTGCGGGGTTTGTGTGGGCTCAATTTTTTTCGTCCGTTCAATGCTTTTTTTGGCTCGGTCTTTGTTCGTGTCTTGGGTATACGGGTTTGAGGGCTACGGTCTATGAAAGCGCTCGAACGACCTACGCTGAACACCCCCTCCGGTTTCTACTTTAAACCCTAAACCCTAACTACTTTAAACCCTAAACCCTAATACCCTAATCCCTAACCCTAAACCCTAAACCCTAAACCCTAATACCCTAATACCCTAATACCCTAAACCCTAATACCCTAATCCCTAACCCTAAACCCTAAACCCTAATACCCTAAGCCCTAACCCTAAACCCTAAACCCTAACCCCATTTCAGCCTCGACCTCGGCTTCAACCTCAGCGCTCCCCACGCCGGACGCCTCCAAAGAAGTTCGCTTGCGCTAGCTGGGATTGGGGGTTTAGGGTTCAAGGGGTTTAGGGTTTAGGGGTTTAGGGTTTAGGGTTTAGGGTTTAGGGTTTAGGGTTTAGGGTTCAAGGGTTTAGGGTTTAGGGTTTAGGGGCTTAGGGTTTAGGGTTTAGGGGTTAGGGTTGAAGCAGAGACTCCAAGGTTAGGGAGCTGGAAGGGTTTCGGTCTTCGTCCGTTCAATACCTGGGTTGTAGCTTTGGGGGCTCTGGAAAGTATTTTTGAATGGGAACCTCCATAGGAACCATAAACCCTGGGCATCAAAAAAGCCCAAAAGCCTTGTATAGTATGATCTTCGGGCCTTTTAGCCTTAATATATGCGTCCTTAGATGCCCAGGGAAAAGAAACTAAAACAGTTTCCCAAATTGCCACCTAGTAAAACTGTAAATCCTCAACTCTAAATCCTAAATCCCAAGTCCTAAACTCTAAATCCTAAACCCTAAATCCTCAACTCTACCTAGCTAGTGGTTGAAGCAGAAACTCACCGGTTAGGGGTTCAGGGTTCAACCCAGGGCTCCTCTAGGGTGTTTCCTTTAAAGGGAACTCCAGAAAGTTGGAATATGGTTTCAGGGTAGGATACCCTATAATTTACTATAAAGGGGTTAGGATAATAATATTCCAACTTTCTGGCTTTTACTTTAAGGGTTCCTTTATGGGTTTCCTTTGGGGTTTCCTTCAGGGGCTTCTACGAAGGATTCCTGCAAGGGTTTCCTTTAGAGGTTCCTTAAAGGGTTAGGGTTTAGGGGTTATGGGCTTAGGTTTAGGGGTTTAGGAGAGGTTAGGGTTTAGGGATGTGGGGTTCGGCGTTTAGGGGTCTAGGGTTTAGAGTCAGAGGTTAGGGTTCAGGAGTTAGGGGTTTAGGGTCCATGGTTTCGGGTTTGGAGGTTTAGGGTCAAGGGATTACGGCTTAGGTTTCTTGGGGGGCTCCTTCTTTAAGTGGTCTTTAAGGGGTTCTGTAAGGGTTGCTTTGGTGGTCGGGCTAGCTTGTTGTGTGGTTCTCCCAGAGGTGGAGCACATATTTGGGTTAGCTCAGCCCAAATATAGTCCCAGGTCGCATAAAGTGAACGTTCAAGTTGCAAAGGGGGCAGCCAAGAGACTTATGGGCAAACGGAAGCCGCCAACCCTATGCCGACAACAGGCCTTAACATAGGATCCCGGTTTTAATCCTTTCTAAGCTACAGGGTGTAAATAATTGGGTTGGCGGGGTGCCAATATTGGCTCGGATCTAGACAGATTTGTCTAAGACTCTAACTCCACTCCCTTTTGAAGGTAAGTACTCAAGAGCCGCACAGTCAGGCTACTTTAAGCTGAGGACATTGCAGGGATCCTTAAAAGAAGGGTGCACATGTATGTAACTATACTTTTAAGTATAAACATAACCGTCCATGAAATATAAACAAGTGCAAAATAGCTATGTCGTAATTTCTTCAGAATGTGTTCAGATAAGTTATATGCCTACACTAGATTACAGTTCAGATGTCGCAGCGACTGCATGGCTAAGCTTTTCAATCCAACAGCACTGCTTGTCCTGCATTTAAAGCTGAGTACCTGCATTCAGCATTGAGTCTCCTTCTCCTAGTCCTTCAGGTCATCATCGTCATCATTGCAGCTGCGGCTGCTGCTCCTGCTTAAGGGAGGGAAGGAAGTGGGCAATGCCAGCTCAATTGCGAGGATCACCGCAACGACTAATCGACACCTGAAGCTAGGACCATACTGCTGTCACCGCCAAGTTCAGCATGACCCCAACTCACGATGGATCCGTCTGTCAAGACGGCAGCAAAGGCTCGCCAAGTTGCTTGAATATACTGCACATTCTTCAGCCGATCTCTGACCACACTGCTGTCACCGCCACTTTCAGCATCTCCCCAGGTCACGATGGATCCATCTCTCAGGAGCGCGGCGAAAGCGTAAAACGTGGCTTGGATTTGCTGAACATGTTTCAGCTGATCGCAGACTCCACTGCTGTCGCCACCGGCATGGGCATCGCCCCAAGAGACGACGAAGCCATCTTCCAGAATTGCAGCAAATGCTGCCTTCGTTGCTTGAATCTGCCGTACATTCTTCAGCTGGTCTTGCACAGCACTGCTGTTTCCGCCTGAGGGTGCATCGCCCCAGGTAACAACCTAGGCGTTGATTGCCACCGTCCCCGAAAGTATTTACAACTAGGGCTGTACATGTGACATTTAAAAGTATTCCAAATCGATACCTTAGAAGGGGCCCCCACCCTGTAATAGTGACTATAAGGATTATATTAGGGCCCTATTATTATATTTCTATCATACCACTATTACAGGGTGGGGGCCCCCTCTAATCGATAGATAGCAACAGAACCATCCTGGAGAACTGCAGCGAACGCTCGTTCAGTTGCTTGAACTTGCTGCGAGCTCTTGAGTTGGTCTCGAACAGGACCTGGGTCCGGTGTGACCCTAACAATAGGGTACCCTTGTCCTGTTATTCAGTTTCAAGCAGAAAGGGAACCCAAAATGAACCATAAACCGAAAACCTTAAACCCTAAACCCCTAAACCCTAAGGGCAAACCTAGGCACGGCTGTCGCCACCATAGGCCCCTATAAGACCCCACGTCGCAATGGATCCGTCGTTCGAGATCGCAGCAAAGGCCATGCCAGTTGACAGGATCTGACACACGCTCTTAACCTAGGCTGCCCAATAACCTGGGAATACTGGCTTCCTTCTTGGTACTGGGTAGTTTTATGAGGAAGCTAAGCCCACAAAAAGGAACAAAAGGCCCACTGGGAGGCCTAGTAGCGCAATCGCATACAGCACTACTGTCACCACCTTAGTTGCTGAGTTTATAAGCCCCCCAAAAGTGTACACTTTTAGTTTTATAGTGGGTGATATTATCCCAAAAAGTGTAAAGTGTATCCACTTAGCTACTAAGCCACCGAAAAGACTATGGCCCCAGGTCACGACAGATTCGTCTCGACGGATGGCAGCAAAGGCCATGCTCGTCGCTTGAATCCGCTGTACGTTCTCGAGCTGATCTCGCACCATACCTGGGCTTTGAAGTAACCAGGGAGAAAAAAGTATAAACGATTATTTCATAATGGTTTCATTCAGAAAAAAGTATTAAAGTACGGTACTCCAAAGCCCAGATACTGCTGTCCCCACCACAAGAGGCAACACCCCAGGTGACGACAGATCCGTCACTCAAGATCGCAGCAAACGCACGGGAATTTGCCTGGACATGCTGCACGTTCTTGAGCTGGTCTCGCACGTGACTACTGTCACCACCACAATTAGTATCGCCCCAGGACACGACAGATCCATCACTGAGAATCGCAGCAAATGCGGATTCCGTTGCTTGGATACACTCGACGTTTACGAGCTGATCTCGCACCATGCTGGTGTCACCACCATAGCCAACATGGCCCCAGCTCACGACGGATCCATCGTTCAAGATCGCAGCAAAGGCTCGCTCAGTTGCTTGAATATGCTGCACGTTCTTCAGCTGCTCTGTCACCATACTGCTATCACCACCAGATTCGGCGACGCCCCAAGTAGCCACGGATCCGTCACCTAGTATCGCAGCAAACGAAGATGCAGCGCGACATATTTCGACTTTTCGAAGCTGCAACGTGAGCAGCTCCCCATCGTGCTGTCTGACCTCACTAACCAGAGCACCTCCATCCAGGACACCTCAGTGTTATGATAAATCACTACTGGCCCTATTGCCCTTCGCACGTGAACCCTAAACCTTAAACCTCTGTGGACTCGCCGGAAACCCTCTATTCTGTTGAACAACAATTCGGCAGCGTGCATGAAATGGAGCCTAAACACAATGTAATGATAAATGGAATGGGATTTTGTGGCAAAAATGTCGTATAGCGTATGAGGACTATTCGGGGGTCGAACCCTTCAAAATCGCTACAACACCGAATAGAACACCTTATAACACCTAGAAAGCCCATACAAGCCCTTGGAATACGAAGCCCGTATCAAAAAGGTTGCTATAAACCCTGATGAATCCTAAGTAACACCCCTAAACCCTAAACCCTACAGTGAACCCCATAAAGTTGGAAACCGGATTAAGGCCAAATAGTGCTGGGATTCCCTATACATTACTCCTAATAGGATTGAGGCTATGGGGTTTCCACCTTTTAGGCTTCTACTGTAACCCTCATCAAACGAGCTCCCGACCGCCAAGGGAGTTTGCTAGCCGTCCTCTTCCAACCCCGAGGGCAAGCTGCGCACGCTGTCCTCTACTGAACTTAGACCCCTAACAAAAAATTGACTATTTCTTAAGAACTATAGGAACCCAAAAATACAAATGTAATTTTAGGAACCAAAAAAAATTTCCAAATTCCACTAAGAGTCGCAGTGAATCCACGGATTCATCCGGCTCTGCCTCTGGGGGTGTACGACTTACGGTTCTGGGTGTAGGGGCTGAGGGCTTTAGGGTTTAGGGGTTTAGGGGACAATTTTTCAGGGGTTTAGGGGTTTAGGGTTTAGGGCGCACGGTTTACTAGAGGCCTGGAGTCTATTCCTGGAGTCTATTCCTGAAGTCTGGATGATATAAAGAGAATTGATAGTAGTCATAACAATAATGGTAATCATGACGATAAGGACACGAGAATGAAACCTGTCGCCCAGCAACCTAGGATTAAAACGGGCTTCCTTTTTGATATTGTGTAGCTTTTTAAGGAACCTAAGACTACAAAAAGGGAATAAGGGTATTACTGGGCATCCTACGGTTGATGATGTAAATCCTTCATTACCCATAATAAGGAATATATAATATACCATAATTCCCATAGTTTAGGGCCCTTAAGGTAATGCAGGATTTACATCATCAACAGTAGTCAATAAGCTGGCCCTCCCAAAAAATCAAACTTTCTCAGATGGACCAGATATAACAGGCCGGCAAGGGTTTAGGGTTTAGGGTTCAGGGTTTAGGAGGGGTTTAGGGTTTTGGGTTTAGGAAAGTTATCCACTTGGCAATCTAAGCCACGGTTAAGGATTGTTTCAGCTCTGGCTCTGCTCTGGCTGTCGCAAACTTTCGTGATGGGGCTGAACCGAAATTTGGGTGGTTGTTTGTCAAAAATAATGACCCCTTTTTGTGTAATTTAAATATTAGGTGCCGTAGTATAACAAGGACCCAAAGAGGGACCCTGACTTTTGACAACTACCCATTTAGTTCCTTCTGTTCGGCCGTGTGAAGCTTTCAGGCTCAGGGGGCTTCGGAGCCAGGGGGAGCCTCGATCCCCTGAGCCCCTAAGCCCCCTAACCCCTAATCCCCCTAATCCCCCTAAACCCCCTAAACCCCTAAGCCCTAAACCCTAAACCCCTAAACTCCTAAACCCTAAGCCCCTAACCCCTAAACCCCCCCTAAACCCTAAGCCTTAAACCTAAACCTTAAACCCCAGACCGCCTAAACTAAACCCCTAAACCCTGAACCCCTAAGCCCTGAACAATCCCAAACGATGACTGATCAAGTTGAGCCAGAGCCAAGAAAGCAAAGCCAAGCAGGTACGAATTGCAAAACGACTCTTTAGGGTTGAGGGGTTCAGGGTTTACAGGTTTACGGGTTTAGGGTTTGGGCCTCCAAAGAGACTGTGCTGCCACTGATGAGGCCCACTTCAACAGTGAGCGACATGAGGCTCAGCCAGCTTCGAAACAGCGCCAGGGCGATGCGACTACAGTTTGATGTAGGCTACGGGCCTGACGAATGAGAATAGGGTTTGGGGTAGTTTGCGGAGTATTATACGATGCCTGAACCGAGGAGCATACAGGGATAACGCGTTAAGTTTTCGACCCCTGTACTTGGCTGACTTCTGAACTCCTCCTAAACGTTAAACTGTTTAACTTTCAGCGTCCCTACTGTTGTTCATGTAAAAAACCCAAAAAGTCAAGGTCCCAAGAGCCAACCAAAAGAACGCCAAGTCTAGGTCCTAGCCCTTCAAAAATAAGCCCCTAAAACCCCAAATCCCTAAACCCTGGAAATCCTTAACCTCCCATACCCCTAAACCCCTTGGCGCCTTTAAATAAGGTCCTCGTGTATAAGGGTTTCAGTTTAGGGTCTGTTGCTGCGTCTCCTATGAAGCGGCCACGAGCCCTACCTTAAGGACGAAAAGAACTCTAAAAGGGTTTAGGGTTCAGATACCTTCTAGGAATTCATAGTTATGGGCCCTCCTTCTTTTAAGTGTCATTTAACTTGGTCCTTAAGGTACTGCTGTTTAGGAAATAGGGCTCAGGGTGAGACTGTGGCTACTACCAGCTGCTGCTTCTGATCATGCCATTATTTTGCCAATTCGGGATGTTGGGCTGCAGGGCATTAGGATTTAGGGGTTCGCAAATTCCGCGATGTCGGCATTGTGGCATAGCATCAGTGCTTGAGCGCTTCAATATGCATGCGCTGACTTCGAAGCCAAAATGCGGCTGGAAAGCGACATGAGAAAACTTAAACTTTTGCTAGGGGCCTTAACAATTAGAATGGGGTTTTGGGGCCCATTATACTATACTTATAATAAGGAACACCCTATACTTACACGTCCAATAAGCCACAGAAATAAAAAGTCAAACTTCCGATTCCTACTAAACTATAAGAACCCAAACAGTTTAAAGGTTGGGTATCGGGGATCTAAGTATATTTACTAGGTCGTCCATAGTTTTGAGAATCACCCACCTCTTGATGGACGTAAATAAACTAGGATACCCAGTAACCTAAGAATAAAAAGGCCTCTCTTTTTGGTATTGGGTAACTTTATAAGGAACCTAGGACTACAAAAAGGGAATCAGGGTACGTATACTACTGGGTCCTAGTAAAGACACCATAGAGGGGAACCCTCAAAAAGGCAGGTTATTTGGGGGCGAGGTAGGCCCTGAGCACCTAAACTCTCCAAGGGTAAAAGGAGGGACCCTTAATAAGGACCCCTAGGTATATACCCATAATTATAGCTATTATATACCCATTATATAGCCCGTTATAGGGTAGGGGTCCCCATTAAGGGTCCCTCCTTTTCCTCTTTGAAACTCGAAGACCCCAGAATTTCAGCCCTAAGCCTGGTAAATCCACGCTGTTCCTTGTCAACGGACCCCAAAAACTGGGTTCCTGAGTGGCCCCTTCATCATAAAGGTTCCTTTATCTACAAGGGTGCGATTAAGGGTTTAGGGTTTAGGGTCTACTATACTAGATTCCTGAGTGGCTCCTTTACAAAAAGGGTACCCTTTTTCCCACCATTGGTCGGTTTTAATAAGGGGGGCCTAAACTAGAAAGGACGAAAGGGTACCACCCAAAAAACGAATACCCCTTAATTAAGGAATATTGCATGGGATAAGGCCCCTTATAGTTTAAGGCATATTCCTTAATTAAGGGGTATTGGGCTCTCTGGGTACTCAGGGACCTCCAAAAATGGGCTATCCTGGCCAACCTGGAAGTCTCTAACGACAGGGGAAGGAACCCTCATCGAACCCTAAACTTAGGATTTAGGGTTTAGGACTCGGTTCACGTAGGATTTAGGGTTTAGGCCTCGGTTCACATTGAAAAGTCATCTTTTGGAGATTCCTATACATTTAGCCAGAAGCAAAAAAACAAGCAAACATCCAAGAGCATAGAAGTAACCCCAAACCCCTGTGACGGAACCCCCTTTAACAAACACACACACACACACACACACACATCCGTTTCTTTGGGGAAGGCCCTAAAGAGCGCAACACTAGGTGAGTGAACTCGCACAACCTGGAAAGGCATTTAGGGCAAACTTTAGGGTACTTCAAGGATGGTTTAGGGTTTACACCAATAAAGGTACTCATAACCTCACTTACCAAGTCCCATGATTCTCCAGGTAGCTGCCCGAAGAATCCCCAACCGCAAGAGCAGGAGTCCAACATGATTGGTAGTGTAAGGCTTAAGACCTTCACTGGTTGAAATGAGTTTCATACGGCTTTTCGGGGTTTGGGGTGTGGGGTTTAGGGTTAGTGCCTACAACCTGAACGCTGCGCTCGAATCCTGCTTCCAACCTTGCCTGAGCTCTCAAATCCAAAGTCTGAACTCAGAACTTGCTTGAGGGATTTACGGTATGCGCACGCCTAAACCCTAAACCCCTGAACCCCTGGACCCAAAACCCCTAAACCCCCCACCCTTGATGCTCATGCCTCATGCTAGGCCAGTCAATAGTGGAAGTTGAAGGGTTTGGGGCTTCAGGGCTTGCAGTTTTGGCCTTGGAACTCTAGAACCGCTTCGTGAAGCGACATAGCATTTCCAGACCCCAGAGTAACAATACTGAACTTAGAACCCTAGCCAAAATTATAATTTCAGCTGTTTCTTAGGGATTATAATAACCAAAAATTACAAATTATTTCTAAGTACCCCTAAGTAACTTAGGAATAAAACAAAGTGGGGTTAAAGGGGCGTTATAAGGGAGCCTAAACCCTGATAAAGGGAATAGGGCCTTACTCTGGGTCCTAGCCTAAATCACTGGGCTCGGGTTAGGGTTCGGCTCGCATTTTCCACAAATAAATTCTGTCAGGGAGCATCAGGAATATAGACCCTAAACTCTAAACCCCATGCCCTAAACTACAGACCCCGAAACCATAAACTTTAAACCACCAAACCTAAACTACGATCGCCCAAACCCTGAACCTCCTAAACTACAAACCCCAAACCCTGAACCTTACTTAAAGGCTCATGGGACTTAGTAAGTAAGGTTATAAGTAGGTTATAGTTAGGATAACCCCACTTAGGGGACTTATAACCCCAGTTATAGCCTACTTACTAAGTCCCATGATCCTTTAAGCACACTATCAACCCCAAACCCGAAGCTGCAAACCCCCAAACCCTAAACCCAAAGCTACATACCCTAAAGCATAATCGAGGGTCCTGATTAATTAGAATAAATTTTTTGGTTACATTATACAAAAATTATGACAAGGAACCTTCATGACACCCTATTCCACTTATTAAGGCCCCTTCAAGAACTTGGCTGACTTCTGAACCTCTCCAAGAAGTTAAACTTTTCGCCTCCTTCTTGTAGTTCATATAGAAACCCCAAAAGTTAAAGTCCTAACAGCAAACCAGAAGAACGCCAAGTCCAGGTCCTAGCCCTTCAAAAATAAGCTCCTAAAACCCCAAATCCCTGAACCCCCTACACCCTTAAATCCTTAACCTCCCAAACCCCTAAACCCCTTAGCCCCTTTAAATAAGGTCCTAGTGTATAAGGGTTATTGAAAAAATTTGCCCTTATGACAAGGAACCCTAACAAAACCCTAGCCTACTTATTCTAAAGCCCCTTTTAGAAGCTTTGCGTGTTCGACAAAGCCTCGCTGGCGACGGTAGTGTCGGCTTCGTTGGGCTCCTCCTGGAAGCATTGGCCGATACTCAGAGACTCCAATATCCCTTTATTCAGGAATACTCCTTAAATTGTGGCAGGATCCCTAATATGATTTAAAGTATATTCCTTAATTAACGGATATTTGGAGCCTTTAGGTACTCAGCACTTAAGAGCTCAGGGGAATCCTTAAAAGGGATCTTTAAAAGGGATTTATGTGGGTTCTCTAAGGGGGGTTTAGGGGTGCTTAAGTGCTCAGGGGACTTAGTAAGTAAGATCTAGGGACGGTTTAGGGTCTATAGGGTTCAGGAGACCTAGTAAGTAGGGTTTCGCCTTTAGCTTTAGGGTTTAGGGGCTTGGCAAGCAGGATATGATTGGGGCTCTACCTAGTGGTAACTTTACTTTCAAGGTACTCACTAGTTCCCTTAAGCCTGTAAGTAGGGCACTTAATCCCCTCCCCAGTGACCCCACACCAAAAATCGGGCCAGCATTTGTGCACGCACCACTTCGAAGCCGAAGCGACGGCAACAAATTGTACTTCTTGGCACTGGTGCACCACTTGGAGGCCAAAGCATTGGCTGCACGTCATTGTACTTCTTAGCACTGGTGCACCACTCAACAACAGCAAATCGTTCTTCTTGGCATTTACGCACCACTTCGAAGCCAAAGAAGCGACAAAACATCGAACCTTCCAGATCTGGTACACCACGTCGAATCCAAAGCCACGGCAACAAATGGTACTTTTTAGCACAAGTGCACCGCTTGAAGCCAAAGCAACGGTAACAAATCGTTCTTCTCAGCCCCTGTGCACCACTTCGAGGCCAAAGCACTGCAACAAATTCTAATTCTTGGCACTCATGCACCAGTTCGACGCCAAAGCAAAAGCAACAAATTGTAGTTTTTTCGCATTGGTGCAGCACTTGAAAGCCAAAGCAACGACAACGAATCGTACTTTTTTGCATCGTTGCACCCGCTTTGAAGCACAAGCAATGACAACAAACCGTACTTTTGCACTGGTACATCATGTCGAAGCTGATGCCACGGCAGCAAATCCTCCCCCCCCCTCCCCCCGCCCCCTCCCCCCCTTCCCTCCCGCCTTTCCTCCACAATGTATCTTTATGTGTTGGGGCTCGCCTTTAAGGCTGCAGTACACCTGCCCCACCGCCTCCCCTCCTCCCCCACCCTCCCGCCCCTCCCCCCCTCGCTGACAAGTGTTCTGGGAATTTCCGACGACACTCTTCGGGCGCGCCTGTAAGGCTGCAGTACCAAGGGAGTCTGAAAAATTGGGGCTCGCTTGTAAGGCTGCAGTAGCAAGGGAGTTTCAAACCTGAATTCCTACAGCCTAACCCCAGCCTGAAAAACTTTCAAAGCCCGGACAACACCTGCACCCGAAAGCACGACGCCCGTCGGAAATTCCCAGAAAGCTCGCACCTGTCAACGGAGGAGGGGGGGCGGGGGGGCAGGGGCGGGGGAGGGTAGCGTGGTTGAAAAGGCTGCAAGACGCCCACGAAATCCACAGCCTCAACGGCCCATACTTAAGGCATCCCGCCGCTTGCGAGAGTCTTGGTATCCAGTGTTTCGGAATGACGACACCAAAATTCGTACTGATACTACCACTACTAATACTACTCACAATCATCCTGCTTCGTGTTGCTATGAACATTACTTTTACTATATGTGCGATTCCAACTGTTACTTTTCCTACAAGAGCTAGCTGCAGATAGTAGCCACTCGCCGCATGCGCGTACAGCCGGGCCGAGGCGGACGACGCGCAGCGTTTCAAATTAAGTCAAATTTAGCGTTGGGGAAGTGAAGACCAGGTAGGGGGCTTCATAATTGGAATATGGTTCTGGGGACTCCTTATCTCTTGTTGTAATTAGTAAACGATACCCCCAAACCCCATTCTAACTATCGAGGCACCTACATGAATATGCCAGGTTTTGTGGATTCTTCTTCTTCTTTTCCTATAGGATACTCAGTAACCTAACAATAGAAAGGCCTCTCTTTTTGGTATTGGGTAACTTTGTAAGGAACCTAGGACTAGAAAAAGGGAATAAGGGTACTACTTGGCATCCTACGGTTGATGATGTAAATCCTTCATTGCCCATGATAAGGAATATATAATATACCATAATTCCCATAGTTTAGGGCCCTTAAGGTAATGCAGGTTTAGATATGCCAGGTTTTGTGGATTCTTCTTCTTTTCGGAGGTCGACCTGGAAAGCCTAAAGAAGCCGCCAAACAGTCGATACAGGGGCCGTAATAGTCAGAGTAGGGTTTTGGGGACCCTTATAATACTTAGAGGATCAGGGAACTTAGTAAGTAGGTTACAAGTGGGGTTATAAGTCCCCTAAGTGGGCTTATCCTAATTATAACCTACTTATAACCCTACTTACGAATAAGGAACCACCAAAATAGTAGGTAACTATTGAGAGAACCCGATAATGCCTCAACCCCGCTTAGGGTCTAATTTTAGGGTTGAATACACGGTGAAGAAGCCGTCTCGATGAATCTAGAAGAAGGTTGTAGGGCACTCATAGATCAGCCTTACGAAGCCGTACTCCCCAAACCCTAAACCCCAAACCCCCACCCCGATCATTCCCCAAACCGTGCACCGTTACGAAACGCGGCTTCAATTTCGCATTTTGCCAAGTCCCTGTCAAGCTGTCAAACAAGTTCAGACGCAAAAGGAACCCAGCAGCATAAAGGTCATGACCGTGCCACCAAAGGGAGGATGCAGATAAAGCGGCACAAACCACCCGCCATCAATGAGATCTCCAGCCTCATTCCTGGAGGCCCAGTTGAAGTCCATTCCGGCAAATGGCCGAATCGCCATGAGAACTCGCCAAAAGAGAGCAAGCCTGGATAGATTTTAGGGTCAGCCCTGAAACTTGCTTTACGACTACTTAAAGGCTCATGGGACTTAGTAAGTAAGGTTATAAGTAGGCTATAGTTAGGATAACCCCACTTAGGGGACTTATAACCCCAGTTATAACCTACTTACTAAGTCCCATGATCCTCTAAGTAACCTAAACTCCCCCTTATAGAACCCCTATATTAAATTATAGCTCCCTAAACCCTAAAGGATCCCTTTAAAGGAACCCTACTAAGTCCCATGATCCTCTAAGTACTCGGAGGCCCACAGAGCCTTTTCCAACCCGTCACTCTTCCAAAGGGAACTCCAGAAAGTTGGAATATGGTTTCAGGGTAGGATCCCCTATAATTTACCTTAAAGGGGTTACGGATAATGATATTCCAACTTTCTGGCTTTTACTATAATCCTTGAAATTAAGCCGCAACATCTAAACCTTAAGACCTAAGCCTTAAACTCTGAACCGCAAACCGTAAACCCTGATCCAAGAAGTCTCTGCCCTAAAATCTCAATGTCTAAATCCGTGAACCTTAAACCCTGAGCCAGAAACCCTGAATGGCACGGTTGATGATATAAGTCCTGCATTACCTTAATGACCCTTCACCATGTGAATTATGGTGTATTCCTTGTTATGGGTAATGCAGGATTCATACCATCAACCGCAGTATCCCTAAACGCCCTCGCACTGATCGAGAGCTTCCCAGCCTCTGGGACCTTCACTTTCTGCCTCCACTTCGCGGCCTCAAACAAATAAAAAGCCCAACGTGGGGATTTAGTGTATACCTCACCCAGACCCCCGGGAGGATCTAGAAAGTAGATCCCCTAACTACACTATATACTAAGCTTATTTTCTAGGAACCCCCATTAAGGGATGCTCCCGGGGATCTGGGACCCAAAAACCTACAACCCCTAACTCACATTAAACTATTTTCCTAGACTCTTAAGCCTCTGCCTACCTGCTACTAGGTTAGGGTTTAGGGTTTAGGGTTTAGGGTTTAGGGTTTAGGGTATACCTTAAGCTACCAAAACTTGCTGTTGTGAGGCTTTATAGCAGAAGACAGAAAGTTGGAACATGGCTTTAGGAGGATTCATGCTGGGATTTCCCTATGCTTTACTTTAGGGTCATGAGGCTAACGATGTTCCAACTTTACGGCTTCTACTCAATAGCAGGGGGATTTAGGAGATCATCATCCGGCAAGAAGCCTTCACTCTGCCCGGTCGAGGGCGTCCCAATCAAAAAACTGATAGAGGAACTTGTCCTGGCTCATCGTGACTGTGCATGGTTTCGCCCGTGTGGTGGGAAACCTGCACCTACCAACTCCAGCGTCCTCAAACGCATCCAGCACGATCAACCCCTCCTGATCCTGAGGTTGGCGGACAATGCCAAAGCTATGCGAATATGGCTTCCACTATGGTGGAGATTCCCGGACCGTGCATGATTCCAACGTGTGGTGGACCTCCCTGCACCTACCAACTCAAGCGTTCCTCCAACGAGTCCACAAATTCAGCTCAAGCGTCCTCCAACGCATCCGGAGAGATCAGGGACCCTGGGTTCCATAGTATTTCTAGGTAATCTCTTATTGTGCCCTTGGGGTTCTTTGAAAAGGGATCCTTTACGGGATCTATAGGGTTTAGGGTTTAGGACGTTAAGGATCTATAGGGTTTAGGATTTAGGAGATTCCAATATCCCATCTTAGTTGCTGAGTTCATAAGCCCCAAAAAGTGTACACTTTCAGTTTTATAGCGGGTAATATTATCACAAAAAGTGTAATTAGAGTGTATCCACTCAGCTACTAAGGTTTCGAAGAGGACCCCCCCCCCCCCAAAGGGCAGGACACACAGGGCTACTTCGATTTCACCCAGACCACCCTTCGGGACCCGTGAGCCCTAAACCCCGACCGCTAAACCCCACACCTGACAAAGCCTGACCCCTGAACCCTAAGCCAGAAACCAAAACCCTAAACCCTCGATTCAAAACCCGAATCCTTTGCATCGTAGACCCTACTTGGAGGAGGATCAGGGGACCCAGCAAGTAGGCTTACAAGTAACTATATTTGGTGGGTTTAACGTATAAATGCCCTCTTCAAACACCTAGTTAGTGAGACCCATGATCCTTCAAGTAGGCCCTGAATTGAAGAAACTCTCATTCAGGCCCGCCTGAGGTCCCAAACCCTAAACCCCTAACACACAACCCCCCCCAAACACAAACCCCTGAGTTTCCATGTGGCTGGGCATCCGAGCAGGCTTCTTGTGTTCCTCATGCCGGGGAGGATTACTTAAAGATAGACCAAAGGTGTAAGGCTTAAAAAGCTTAAAGTTCTCCCGTAGAAAGCTTAAAGTTCTCCCGTTGAGGAAGTAAGCGGTTATTTGGGGTCCAGGTATAGGGTTTGACATGATTTTGCAGATTTGCCTACTTAAAGGATTAGGGGGCTTAGTAACTAGGCGGATAAGGCAACTATACTTATAACCCAAAGTATGTCCGGTGGGCCGGAGAAAGGTTTCTTGAATTCTCAGCCTACTTAGAGGATCATGGGACATAGCAACTAGGGTGTTAGATAAGGCAACTACACCTCAAACCCAAAATAAGCTGCTTGTACATATGCTTTTTTGCTAAGTCCCATGCTCCGGCGAGTAGGAGGCTTGTGGGCTATGAACAGGCCTTAGGCTTCCGGGGTTTAGGGTTTAGAGGTTTTTTTTTAAGGTTTCGGGGTTTAGGGTTTAGGGTCTAGGCGAGGTTTAGGGCTGGGCATTTAGCAAAGAAGTGTGAGAATCTTGAGCTTAGGAATATGCACTGTCTCGTAAGGGTCTTTTCTACTGGAAGCCCTAATATGAAAATTTTTGGGACCCTACCAAAATTGGGTTCTAGTGTTTTAAGGTAGGGTTTACCTCATGTGGCTTTAAGGCTTCAGGATTGCGGGACTACTTTCAAGGCTCGGATGAATGTAGGCTGGGATTTGGGTACGTGGAGGATCATGGGACTTTGTAAGTAAGGTTAGGGGTTATAAGCATAGTTGCCTTTGACATAACCCTAATTAGTTAATAAGTCCCACGATCCTTTAAGTAGCAACCCTAGGTGCGTTTGCTGTCGCTCCAACATCACGTAGAAGCTGCTTATCCCCTCTGCTTTCGCGTGGAGTTCAAAGGATTTTGGTGTGCATGTCGGCTTCTGCTAACGTGAGGGCTTGGTGGTCAAGAACCATAGGAACAAGTATGAGTTGATTATTAGCTAGATAAGTTCAGTTTCAAAAGGTGAGATGAACAAAAAAATAAAAGCCGAAACCCAAAACTTGGAGGGTGCCTAACCCCTAAATCCTAAACCGTCAAGCTTAACCACTAGGCCCAACTCCGAAAACCCAAACTGAAGCCCTGACCCATTGGAATGTGGGCGCTGTGACGGTAATGGCGAATGCAGAGGTGTGTAAGATCAATTCCGAGTTTCCGAACATAGGGGACCTTAACATAGTACCCCGAGTTTCCGAAAATAGGGGACCTTAACATAGTACCCTAAATAGTAGGATCCTCATTATACGGGCCCCAAAATGAGGTACCCCTAATTTGTGGAAACTCCCATTTAGGGTGTAGAATTAGTGCGAGTGGCGGAAGCTACCGACACACTAACAAGAACGACGCGCAACAATAAACAACAATAACGACCACAACAGAAACACAGTGTGCTCCAGTAAAACAACGCAATCTCTAAGCTTCTCTGTTCCATCCTACCCTGACCCTGAGTTGTCTAGATCAGAAAGCATGCACAGCTTCGAATGCTCTGCCGCACGAAATCCAGAATCCATTTGGACTGGACTTCGAGACTCCGCACAGTTTGGTGGGGTTTTGGTTGGAGCTTAGTATAGGGTCCGATTTGTTAGATAACCCTACTTGCTAAGCCCCTTGAGCCCTTAAATCGGGGTCACATCATCCATACTTCTCGTACTACTCGTAGTACTACTCCTTCCTCTTCTACTACTGCTACTACTACTACTACTACTACTACTACTACTACTACTACTACTACTACTACTACTACTCCACAAGGACACTTCGGCGGCTGTCCTGGGCTCCGGCCCGCATGCGCGTCATGCTGCGCCGCAGGCGCTGCCGGGGCGCTCGGCTTCTTGCAGAGAGTCACCGAACCCTAAGCTTATCTACACCCTAAACCGGTCTAATCCCTAGACTTGTCCAAGGCATATCACCTGAAGACATGGTGATCCTAAGAACCACCGGCTCCCATTTCCTGAAGAAAAGTGATTAGAGTCTAATCTAGGAAGAAGGAGGCGGGTATTCCGACTTGCTTTAGGTTTGCGTCGGCCGGTGGGGCCGCGAGAAATGGTAGGTAGTGAAATCTCAAGTCAGGAAGGCCAGGATATATCACATCCAGCTATCCCTGTACAGCAGATGGGGCTGTGTAATTACGTGCGACTAGACACCCTCCTCGATATACATGTGTGTATATATATATATATGTATATGTGTTGACTCATGTACAAGTAAAGGTAAAGATATGGAATATTATAGAATGATGATACAGACAATGCGTCTACGCGATGTGCAGATGTACCCTGCCCTGGGACGTTGCATCTCTGCTACTTCTCCGCTTCGAAGAGCACCCGGCGAAAAAGCTGGACTTTGAGGGATTTTTGACGGAGCAGAAAGCCCAATACCTCTTCAAGGCACCTACACTACTTGGAGGATCATGGGACTTAGTAAGTAGGTTATAATTGGGGTTATAAGTCCCCTAAGAGGGGTTGTCCTTTTTATAACCTACTTATAACCCTACTTACTAAGTCCCATGATCATTTAAGCACTGTAGGAGTTGACCTGGTTCGATAACAACAGAAACCAAAGACCTCGGAGGATCTAGACAATGGAACCCTGACAAAGGCAGTGTCTAATGATTTAGGGTTTAGGGTTTAGGGTTTTGGGTTTAGGGTTTTGGGTTTAGGGTCTAGGGTTTAGGGTTTAGGGTTTGAGAAAAGCAGGTGTTTGTTTGTTTGCAATCCTCCAGGGGGCGTGGGAAACGTGCGGACCGCGGGAGAGCACCTTCAAGGATAAGACGTTTCTCACTCTAACGTAGACCACCGAAAGTCTAAACAAAAAGCAGAACTCCAACAAAGGGCATATCTTGGCCCATGTACTGGCTGGAAGGACACCTGTCGATTGGTTCAATGTCTTGGACCTGTTAAGGGAGTCTGGCCAACAAAGTGCGAACCTTGAAAGATAGACCGATTATGTAAGCCTCAATATTTCAAAGTTCCTCATTAGCTATCTAAGCCCCTGACAGGAGTTTCGGCAAGCGGGTTTAGCATAGGATGTAGGGTCTAGGGTTTAGGGTTCGGGGTTTAGGCATACAAAGTGCCGAGAGACTCCAACATGCCATTTCTCCAAGCGCTACACCTCCATGAGTCTTTCGGTCCCGTCAGTCATGATCTGGGATTTGGGGGTTTCCGAAAATAGGGGACCCTAATATAGTACGCTAAACAGTAGGATCCTTATTGTAGGGACCCCAAAATAGTGTACCCCTAATTTTCGGAAACTCCCACTTCCATCGCTGCAATCACCACTGTGGAAGGGCCCGGAACATGACAGACGACGGATCCGTCGTTTTGGGCTTCAGGATTCCTGCGCGCTCGGCGGCGTCAGCTGGTGTCGCACCATGCTGCTGTCTCCGCCATAATGCGCTACACCCCAGGTCACGATGGATCCGTCTTGTAGGATCGCAGCGAAAGCCGCCTCAGTGGCTTGAACCTGCTGTACGCTCTTCAGTTGATCTCGGACCATGTTGTAGTCCTATACTGAACTTAGAACTCTCACAAAAAAACATAATTTTAGCTGTTTCTTAAGGATTATAATAACCAAAAATTAAAAAGTATTTCTAAGCACACCTAAGAGTCCCCCAAAACAGGAGCCGGGCCCCAGCTCAAGACAGATCCGTCGCCGAGAATCGCGGTGAATCCCCACTTCGTGGCTTGGATCTGATGCACGTTCTTCAGCTGATCTCTCACGATGCTGCTGTCACCACCAAAACCCTCATAGCCCCATGTCACGACGGAGCCGTCATGCAAGATTGCAGCAAATGCCCCGTCAGTTGCTTGGATTTGAGCCACATCCTTAAGCTGGTCTTGTACGGAACTGCTGTCGCCACCGCGTGAAATATCGCCCCAGGACACGACGGATCCATCGCTCAGGACAGCAGCAAATGCTCGTTCAGTAGCTTGTACCTGCCGCACATCAACCAGCTGATGTTGCACAGGGCTGCTGTCTCCATCGGCATAGCCCCAGGTGACCACGGATCCGTTTTTCAAGATCGCAGCAAAGGCTGCTTGACTTGCTTGGATCTTCTGTACAGTCTTCAGCTGATCGCTCACCATGCTACTGTCACCACCACCAAAAGCAGCGCCCCAGGTAACAACGGATCCGTCACACAGGATGGCAGCAAATGCCCCGTTATTTGCTTGGATCTCTTGCACGTACGTAAGCTGGCCTCGCACAGAACCTGAGTTGCTGAGTTTATAAGCCCTCCCCAAAAGTGTGCGTTTTTGGTTTTATAGTGGGTGATATTATCCAAAAAAGTGTCAAGTGTATCCACTCAGCTACTAAGGAACTACTGTCGCCACCACGGGATGTCTCGCCCCAGGACACGACCGAGCCATCTTTGAGAATTGCTGCAAATGCCCCTTGAGTTGCTTGAATCTGCTGAACTGTTCTGAGCTGATCTCGCACCATGCTGCTGTCACCACCAAGATTACCAGCGCCCCAGGTGATGACAGTTTCGTCTCGCAGGATTGCAGCAAATGCCCCACGAGTTGCCTGGATGTGCTGCACATCTTTCAGTTGGTCTCGCACAGCACTGCTGTCACCACCACGAGGAGAATGTCCCCAGGTGACGACGGATCCATCACCCAGAATCGCAGCAAATGCTCGTTCAGTTGCTTGAATCTGCTGCACATTCTTGAGCTGATCTTGTACCGCACTGCTGTCCCCGCCAGCGTCTGCATTACCCCAGGTGACGACAGAGCCGTCACCCAGGATTGCCGCGAAAGCCCTTCCAGAACTGCTTAGCTGAGCTGTTCGCATGACATAAGTCAGGGACTCCCCGTGCGACAGTTCTGCAAGAGTTTCTCCATCCAGAACGCCCCCTTGGTTCTCCAGTATGTAACAAAGGGTGCCGCTCTTCCTGCTTTAAGCTCTATTGTTATGCGGGTATCCTTCTTCCTATGTATACTCTATTGCTATCACCAAACCCGAAAGGAAAAGCCTAAAGGGAAGCTGCTGGGTGACTGGAAGCCTTGATATAAACCCCCCCAGAACCCTTCTAAACTTCAACAAAACCTCTCAAACCCACAAAAACCCTAAACCCTAAACCCCTCTAAACTCCTACAAAAACAACTCTTTCAACCGACACCTTGGGGACCGCAGGACCCTGATCAGGCGAAGCCACATACCCTTATACCATGAACCTCCACATGCCAGATGATTAGGGTTTAGGGTTTAGGGTTTAGGGTTTCTTAAGCCTTTTTTGGATTCGTCCTGAACCCAGAGAGCCCAACACCCCCTTAACTAAGGAATGTAATCTAAATCATAACATTAAGCCTTAGCCTTAGCCTCCCCTATGATTTGGGTACACTCCTGAATTAAGGCGGTTTTGGGCTCGCTGGGAATGCAGTATCAACTCAGACTCCCCTAAACCCTAAACTCCTACACCATTTAAGGAACCCTTCAAGGAAGACCCTGAACCCCTATACCCCAGACCCTGAACCTTTTAAGGAATCCTTAAAACGGAACGAACCCCAAGCCCCTCCTGAAGGAGCCCCTTACAAGAGCCCCTTAGATCCCTTAACGGAACCCTTAACGCCTAAACCCTAAACCCCAAACCCCTAAGCCCTAAACCCCTAAAGCAAACCCCTATACCCTAAACCCCTAAACCAAACCCCTGTACCCTAAACCCCTAAACCAAACCTCTATACCCTAAACCAAACCCCTAGACCCTAAACCCTAAACCAAACCCCTAGACCCTAAACTTGTATAAACCCCTAGACCCCTTTCAGGAAGCCTTTTGGGAACCCAGGCTCCACGGGAGTTCAAGAGCAGACCACTGCCAACTTTCAGGGCCGCCTGGGCTCGCAGCCTGGGTTCTTGTTAAGGAGTCTAGTTTAAGTTATATACCATAATGAGGATCTAAGAATTCCTTTAAGGCTTTAGGGTTTAGGAGTTTAGGGTTAAGGAGTTTAGTTTACAGTAAACCCCATAAAAGTTGGAAACCGGATTACGGCCAAATGGTGCTGGGATTCCTCATGCAATACTCTTAAGGATTGAGGCTATGGGGTTTCGAACTTTTGGGCTGCTACTGTAAGTTACCATAATGAGGATCTAAGGATTCCTTTAAGGCTTTAGGGTTTAGGGTTTACGAGCCTAGTTTAAGTTTCTTAATCAGGATCCATAAAGGTTCCTTCAAAGGCTACTATGCGGCGATATGATAGGGTTCCTTGTTAAGGAGTTCAGTTTAGGTTACCATAGTAGGGATCTATAAGGATTCTTTTGAAAGATCTATAAGGTAAGAGGCTACCATAAGAGGGATCTATGAGGATTCCTTTAAAGCTTTAGGGTTTAAGGTTTAAGTTACCGTAACAGGGGTCTATACCCAGCAGCCGTAGGGACTCCAGTGACTCTTCCGGCTCCAGCTCCAAAGAAGCCTGGTTAAGGGTTTAGGGGTTTATGCATGCAGAGTTTAGGCTTCAGGGGTTTAGGGACTTTGGGGTTTAGGGACTTTGGGGTTTAGGGACTTTGGGGTTTAGGGGCTTTGGGGTTTCGGGGTTTATGAGCATGTCCTTAAGGGGGGGTGGTCCAAGGGGGGTAGGTAACATAGTAATCCCCATTATTCCCCAATACTCCCAAAGCTTCCCTAAGGTTCCCCAAAGCTCCCTAGTACCCTCCCCCCTTGAACCACCCCCCCTTAAGGACAATACAAGTTTATGCATGTAGAGTTTAGGCTTCAGGGGTTTAGGGACTTTGGGGTTTAGGGGCTTTGGGGTTTAGGGACTTTGGGGTTTAGGGACTTTGGGGTTTAGGGGCTTTGGGGTTTA